TCCAGAAACGCATTCTCAACACGTACGAGCATCAAGACGCCTGCCCCGCCGGTCCTCCGGCTCCGCAACGCGACCCAGACTTCCCTCGTCCTCGAATGAGGACCCCGATCGACCTGGCCACCGCCTCCATCAAGTCGCTCTCGCTGTACCGCAATGGCTCGAAAGCCGGCTCGATACCGCGCCCGCTCGAGACGCGAAGCACCAAGATCAGCGGCCTCGCCATCCACACCGAGTACACCTTCCACCTGGTGCTCCGCACCACGGCCGGCACCTACCAGTCCGAGAAGTTGACCTGCCGCACGCACAAGATGACCGACCTGTCCGGCATCACGGTCACGCCCGGCGTGCTCCCGCCGCAGCAGAAGGACGCCCTGGCCGCCGCCCTCGACCGCATCGGCGGCAAGCTGATCGACTCCGTCCGCATCGACACTACCCACTTCGTCTGCACCGAGGGTCGCGGCCCTCTCTGGGAGAAGGCCGTCGAGATGAACATCCCCGTCGTCGTCCCTGAATGGGTCGACGCCTGCGAGTCCGAGGGCACCATCGTCAGCGTCCGCGGCTACTACCTCAACGCGGACCCCAAGGCCCGTCAGCTCGGCCCCATCCACGGCTCCACCCAGCACCAGCGCACCACGTCCACGGCGACCTCCTCCGCCCCCCGTCCCAGCACCCAGCCCAAGCCCTCCCAGGATGACAGCCAGGCGCCGCCGGAACCGCCGATCACGCCTTTCCCTGGCGCCGGCCAGAGCGGCCAGCCTACGGCTGAAGAGCGCGAGCTCGAATCCGACGAGGATGACCAGTCACCGCCCCCTCCGCCGCCCAAGGATGGCGACGAGGAGGTTGCCGAGCCGTCGGTCAACGGCCACGCCGAGCAGAATGGAGATAAGCCATCAGATACGGAGGTCCCAGCTGAGAAGGTCGAGGAGGATGGAAACGATAACGCAGAAGCGGTGGACAAGCCAGACGAGAAGGAGGAAGACTCGTCAAGTAGTGAGAGCAAAAATGGCAAGGGCAAGGAAGGCGAGGGAGACTTTAATGAAGTTCCCCTGTGAATAAGAATTCCCGCCCCGAATCCCTAGAGACGCCCTCCTTGTTCCTGATTTCTGGAGTCTGATGATATATGGTAGCGAATGAGTCCTTCGTGGCACGGAGCCCCGAGTTTGATCCTGTTCTACCATTTGTATGGTTGCACTTCGTGTTTGAGGTTCTCTACTTCTTTTATCCCTTTTATACTACTATTTCTTTTATTGTGCAACTATCGTCTGTACAGTAGGTAGTCTAATGCCGCATGATCTTCCGTTCTAGCAGAACTGGCGACGCTATCATTGACCCGAAAATTGTTTACATCAAATGTTTGACTTGTACATTCTGTCCTGAACCAAGGTTACAGCCGAAATGCAAGTACCATGCAAATGCTGTGGCTCTTTTGAACATAGGTGGGATACAGCTTTATACTATTTTTCTTTCATTCATCATAATCCGTTAGTTGACGTTGCGGACAACATCGTTGATGGCTTGCGCCACGTAGGCGACGTTCTTCTTGCTCACTGCGTCTGTTAGACTGTAGACAAGAGGAAGGATGGATATAACTTACGACCGCTGATAGAGGCACGACCCGACTTGAGGAGGTAGATGTGGTACTTCTCCTTTAGAGCGTACACCTGCGACGGGGTCAAGCCAGTGTAGGAAAACATGCCGTTCTAGGACCGATTAGTATCACACACCGCACTGAGAACGGGCTAGACCTACCTGCTCGACGATGTGCTTCCAGGAGCCGGGCGTCTCGAGACGGACCAGCTCGTCATACAGGGCCTGACGCATGGACTTGATGCGCGAGCTCATGACCTTCAAGTCCTCGTGCCACTGGGCGGTGAGCTCAGCGTTGGTGAGGACCTTCTTGACGATGCTGCAGCCGGCGGTGGGGCCCATAGAGAACTCGCCGCGGATGAGATGGCAAAGGTTGTTGACGACGGTGTCGCGGAGGTGCTGGGCGCCGTCGTTAAGGACGTAGTGGAAGGCACCGACGCGCTGGCCGTAGAGGCCGAAGTTCTTGGAGAAGCTCTGGGCGACGCACATCTCCATGTTGGGCTTCTCGCGGAGGAAGTAGCGCACAGCCCAGGCGTCCTCGTCGGCGGAGCCGGACGCGAAGCCCTGGTAGGCGCTGTCGAAGAAGGGGAAGAGCTTCTTGCGCTCGCACAGGTCGGCGATGGCCTTCCACTGGTCGGGCGTGGGGTCGAGCCCCGTGGGGTTGTGCGCGCAGGCGTGCAGCAGGATCGCGTCGCCCTCCTGCGCCTCCTCCTCCAGCGTGGCCATCATGCCGGCAAAGTCGAACGCGCGCGAGGCGGCGTTGTAGTACGGGTAGGTCTTGCGCGCAACGCCCGCCAGCTCCCAGATCGTCAGGTGATTCGCCCACGACGGGTTCGACAGCCAGATGTGCTTGGGCTTCATGTGGTGCGCCAGGAACAGCGCGCCCAGATGATTGGCGCCGGTGCCAGCCACCGTCTGCACCGACCCGATGCGCGCCTGCGTCTGCGTCTGCTGCGGCGTCGGATTGGCCGCGTCGAAGCCGAACATCAGGTCCCGAGCCAGCTCGAGGAAGGCGACGTCGCCCTCAATGGCGGTGTATTCGTGTCGGAAGAGGTTGTCCTCCTCGTGCAGCTGCTTCTCGGCCTCGCGCACCACCGGCAGCGGCCACGGCTTGCCGTCGTCGGTGCGGTAGACGCCGACGCCCAGGCTGACCTTCTGCGGGTAGTCGTCGGTGGCATATGCGCGGTTCAAGGCGAAGATCTCGTCCGCGGGGACGGGTGCCAAGGTGCTGAGGACAGTCATGATTTGGTATGTGTATGAGGTTATGAAATGGTGGAGGAGAAGGATTGAAAAGAACGGGAAGGGAAGGAGAAAACAGAAGAGGTCAATTGCGGGAATAGGTCGACAGAGGTATGACTGTATCACGACCAGGTGGGAAATTCAGGAGGGGCAAACGGAATGCCGGGGAAGGAATATGGACGAGCTGGTGGAGCACGGCTGCTGGGTAGATCGGGACCTCAGCCTATGTGGTAATTTCTCCCAGCTAAAGGAATCGATGGCTGATCACTGGGTAATGGAGAGTCAGTGGATGTAAGATGGTGGTGGATGGTGGAGGAAAAGTGGAATCTCATCCCGATATCGCTCGGCAGTCCTTTTGGTAATCAATTTTTTCTTCTTCTTTCTTTTCCATGATTTGCCATCGTTTGCCTCCCGACAATCATAATAATGGCCGAGTTTGAGTTCACCGACGGAAAAGCCCGCTTTGCGCAGGTAGGGCTCTGATAGTGTGGGTCGATCCATGATTCAGTCCGTCCGTAGAGGCACCAGAGGAGCTGCTTGGAGATCATTTCCATGCGGTTGATCAGTCTCTCGCAGATAGAACTGCCGACTGTAGATCTGTCGTTGCTTTGTCCAATCCTCGTATCTGCATTGTCGTCTCGGGACGAATCGAAATCGAAGAGGATATCGATCCATTTGACCAACGACAGATCGTTTTCTGGTCCAGGGATTCATCTGTTTGCCCTTCGGGGCATCGGAATGGAGCAACCCCAGGGAAGGGGAAGAGTATATCGGTCTTTTCGGACATGCATAGTTCATGTTGGGCGATCTCTGGCGAGTCGACGGATGTTCTATAAGCGAGATGTTCCGGTGGCAATGGCCTAGATATATATATCCAGGCTGAAGCTGCCAAAGAACACTCCTTCACACCACGCGAACGCGAGGTCCTGTAGTCAAGACAAAGTAGACACATAGAAGAGAGATGAAGTCAATTCCTCGCTAGATGCTGACATGCGCACTGGACTATACCGTCTTCAGCAGTGGCATGTCTCAGTCAGCACAGCGTAACTAGTTATTCAATACGACGATAAGATGAGGAGAAGAGGGGTTGGAGAGGGGAAGCCGACTGCGGATTTATAATCGCTACGACTGTCCATCTAGATACCTTCTAGGTACCTTCTAAAGTACCTATTTACCTACAGCTACCTTGTACCCACAGAATACTATTAGTTACGACCAATATGACCATCTCCCAAGATCCTGGCGACAGAGACCTGCATGATCTGCGTCCAAAGGTGATCATCCAGCCACTCCACAACAGTATCCCTCCGGAATTGCTACCTCGATTCGACCCAGTCTACGTGGAACACTACAACAAGTATAATGCCGGCCGTCTACACACCCACGAGGTGCCCATTGAGGAATTTCGCAAGAATCCCGCCAAGTACCTCACAGTCTACGGCCGTCGCGAGGGCCCCGATGTCTTCCGCATCACCGAGCAGAAATGTCCTGTGAAGGGAGGCGAGATCAAGATCCGCATCTTTGAGCCGGCTCTGGCGCTTGATGACCACGGGCAGCCGAAGAAGAGAGCCGCGTATGTCAACTTCCATGGCGGGGGATGGGTGTTTGGAGACCTGTCGAGCGACCATGACTTCTGCAAACGACTTGTGCATGATCTCGACGGCAGTCTGGTTGCCTTTGACGTGGATTATCGACTAGCTCCCGAGAACAAATATCCCATCCCAGTGGATGATTGCTGGGCGGCGTTCAAGTGGGTCAGTTGTATCCCCCTCCACCCCGACAATACGTTGTGCACGGGCAGCTAACTTGTGGTGCAGATCCGATCGCAAAAAACCGAAGAGTTCCATATCGACCCGGACCGTATGGCTGTGGGTGGCGCCTCTGCAGGAGGCCATCTATCCGCCGTGGTAGCCCATCTCTGCCGCGATGCCAACATTCCACTGCGCTTGCAGGTTCTCAACGTCCCCGCCTGCGACCTGCATAGTATGTTCACCCCAGAGGGAGAATTCGACCGGGAAAACTGTCCGTATGAGTCGTACCGAGAGATGGAGTTCACGGCGGCACTCCCAGCGGCACGCATGGCGTATTTCCATCGACACTTTCTGGGCGTGCCGCGACCTGCGAGATCGGAGGAGGTAGGTGACGACTGAAGGATTCTGTGGAAGAAAATGTTCACAATTTCAATCCACTAACATGCTGGTCTCAATTAGGACTGGAAGATATCCCCGATCCTTGCGCCCATATTCGAGGGGTTGGCGCCGGCTTTGGTGATTACTGCGGAGATGGACACTCTGCGCGACGAAGGCGAGGCGTATGCGGCGAAACTGAGGGCCGCAGGATGTCGGGTGGAAAGTAAGCGGATGGCCGGGGCTCCGCATACGTTCTCACACTTGGACGGGATTTTGAAGACTGGTGAAGAGTACAACCAGATGGTGGTGGCTGGGCTGCGGAGGGAGCTGTTGAGTTAGTTGTTAGAAGTCCGTAGAAGTATAGAGGATCATGGTTTATCCGACGAGAATGCATACCGTACCATACGATAATAAACCCTCCGCTCGACCGTTATTATGGTAATCGTGGTACTGACAATACCGGCCCGGGAGATTTCGGCAGGCGAGGTCGGAAACGACAGCAGCTGTTAAATAACTCTTTTTTCCCCGGTTGTTGTCGAAGGCTCTCCTGCGTTTCCCCCAGATTTCCTCCTCCAAAGCCCTCTGCCGGTATGTAGATTGACTTTCGTGGTGTTTGGTTCCAGGTGTTCGGGGCCATTCCCTTCCAATTGACCCCCTCCAATGACTGCCCACTGACTCTGCCAGTGCCACCATGTTGACCTCTGCCAACTCCTCCCGAGCCGCGGTGCGCTCCATGGCGTCTCTGACACATGCAGCGTCGCGAACCCCCGCAGCCGCCCGGTGTGCGCTGACGGTAACTGCCCGGTCCCCCGCTTCGTTCAGTTGCCGCCGGGCTCTCAGCTCCAATACCCGGTCTCTTCATCAGTTCCCCCGCTTCCAGTCCCTTTCCTCCTTCTCCAACAAGAGAGCTTTCGGCACCACCGTCAGAATGGTATGTCCTCCAACGGAAGAAAGGTCTCTTCGGGACCAGCTTTGGTCCTTCGGATCTGGAATAGCCTTCCGGTGACGGCATTCGAACCACCGTGACTGACCTCCCCGCAGTCTTCCGCTACTCGTACCGAAACCGATGCCTTCGGTGAGATCCAGGTCCCCGCCGACAAGTACTGGGGTGCCCAGACCCAGCGGTAAGCTTTCGTCCGCCATGATCCTGCTCGTCTCGTCGAGTCCAACCCAGTCGAACGATGCTGATAGTCATGGAACAGCTCTCTGGGCAACTTCAACATCAACCAGCCTCAGGACCGCATGCCTGAGCCCGTCATCAAGGCCTTTGGTATCCTGAAGGGTGCTGCCGCTACTGTGAACATGAAATTCGGCCTTGGTAAGGTCTCATCTCGTCGCATACATCCAATGACACCAGAGCTAATTTCCCTCCAGACCCCAAGATCGGCGAGGCTATCAAGCAGGCCGCTGCTGAGGTCGCCGAGGGTAAGCTCATGGACCACTTCCCTCTCGTTGTCTGGCAGACTGGCTCCGGCACCCAGTCCAACATGAACTCCAACGAGGTCATCTCCAACCGTGCCATTGAGATCCTGGGTGGCACCATGGGCACCAAGAAGCCCGTCCACCCCAACGACCATGTCAACATGTCTGCTTCTTCCAACGACTCCTTCCCCACCGCCATGCACATTGCTGCCGTCTTGGAGCTGGAGAACACTCTGCTCCCCGCTCTACGCAGCCTGCGCAACGCTCTTCAGGTGAAGGTGGAGAAGTTTGACAAGATCATCAAGATCGGCCGTACCCATCTGCAGGATGCCACTCCTCTTACCCTCGGCCAGGAGTTCTCCGGCTACGTCGCTCAGCTTGACCGCAACATCGAACGTGTCGAGTCCACCATCCCCCACCTCCGCTACCTCGCTCAGGGTGGTACCGCTGTCGGCACCGGTCTGAACACCTTCAAGGGCTTCGATGAGGCCATTGCCGAGGAGGTCACCAAGATGACTGGCACCGAGTTCAAGACTGCCCCCAACAAGTTCGAGGTTCTTGCTGCCCACGACTCCATCGTCGAGGCCTCTGGCGCCCTAAACACCCTTGCGTGCTCCCTCTTCAAGATCGCCCAGGATATCCGTTTCCTCGGATCCGGCCCTCGCTGTGGTCTGGGCGAGCTTGTCCTCCCCGAGAACGAGCCTGGCTCTTCCATCATGCCTGGCAAGGTCAACCCCACTCAGTGCGAGTCGCTCACCATGATCTGCTCCCAGGTCATGGGTAACCACGTTGCCGCGACCGTCGGTGGCATGAGCGGCCAGTTCGAGCTGAACGTGTTCAAGCCTTCCATGATCCGCAACCTCCTTCACAGCGTGCGCATCCTCGCTGATGGCATGAAGAGCTTCGAGACCAACCTGGTGCACGGTCTGGAGGCCAACGAGCAGAGAATCGACACTCTTCTCCACGAGAGGTATGTATCCTTTTCCGCCCAATAACCTCAATGTGCACGAGCTGACGTGATTTTAGTCTGATGCTTGTCACCTGCCTCAACCCCGTCATCGGCTACGACATGGCCTCCAAGGTGGCCAAGAACGCCCACAAGAAGAACCTCACCCTCAAGCAGAGCGCTATGGAGCTCAAGGCACTAAGCGAGGAGGACTTTGACAAGTACGTCCGTCCCGAGCTCATGCTGGCTCCCAAGGAGAAGAAATAGAGGGATCAATATGGCTTTGTGGTATAGCGAGGTAGCGACCATTATCTGTGTACACTAAATAAATATTCTGTTACGTTCCACCGTTAGAAATCATGACTGGTTAGATTTGAGGACATAGTTGGCGATGTTAAGGCCTAAATTAGCCACAACCATCCGGACGGATCGCCCTTCATAGCGGCGATCTTGGATGCTATATTTAGCCCCTCTGCACCGTCGCAGGTTTTCTAACATCTAACTAGAGCCCTGCAGGAAAGGGGTGAAAATAGCAGATTCTGCAAGTAGACAATTTTCAACCCAGTAGTCCATCTCTAAAGTTATTCAGTAAATTTTTATTCGGTCGGGGCTAACGAACCAAGCCACCCCAGGGACAGGGGAGCTATAAATATTTGTGGGTGTCTCAGATTTAGACCCGAACGGGGGGTTTCCTCCCGGTGTTTATCCTTTAAATCCATCCTCACCAACGCTTCTCCCGCCTTCATCCCACCACCCTCGTCTTTCGTTCGCCAACCGGGTTGATTCTCGCTCTTTCTCTTCGTACAATTCTCCCATTCTTCTGTCAGGAACCGTCCGATTCGAATTGACCCTGCTACCTCCTGTCCACCACAGCAACCGCGAGACCACACCCCGCAACAGCAGCGAACACCGACTGACTGATCTTCACCTTCACCACTACCTCTCCCTCCCCTCAACCGATTCCCAGTCTCAGGAAAGACTCTTTATGATCTCCCAAACCGACACCATGACCAACATCACCAACACCAACGGCACCACTCCCACACCTCTCCCCGCAGCCAAAACTGCACCCTTGAACGGCCACAGCCACGTTGACGACTCCCCCCTCTTCTCTTCCTCCCTCATCTCCCCAGACGTGCTTGCTGCCCTTCCGCAAGACTACATCATTCGTCCTATCCGCCGCTCTGACTTCCACCGCGGCTACCTCGACGTCCTGCGCGTGCTGACCACTGTCGGCGACATCTCTGAGGAGCAGTGGAACCAGCGCTATGACTGGATCTCCGCCCGCAACGACGAGTACTACCTCCTGGTCATCTGTGATGGTGAAGGCCGCGTCGTCGGCACCGGCAGCTTGATTGTCGAGCGCAAGTTCATCCACTCCCTCGGCTTGGTCGGCCACATCGAGGATATTGCCGTCGAAAAGGGGCAACAGGGGAAGAAGCTGGGCCTGCGGATTATTCAGGCGCTGGATTATGTCGCTGAGCATGTGGGTTGCTATAAGGTATGTTCTTTTTTTTTTTTTTCAGTCTCTTTTTCACTATCTATACATCCCTTTTCTGGTGAGGTGGAATGACTGAGCTGACTGTGTTTGCGTAGACGATCCTGGATTGCTCCGAAATCAACGAGGGCTTCTACATCAAGTGTGGGTTTAAGCGCGCTGGGCTAGAAATGGCCCACTACTACTAGGCCTGTTGAGTGTTGTATTACTGTTCGCACATATTGTCTCCTTGCTTTGTATAGGCGTTTTGTACTAGGGCTGGGATTGGGTTTCGTGAAGCGCACGCATCGTCTTTGGCACTCGGATATCTTTGGCCGCAGGACTGTACCGTGCGATTTCGACTGTTAGACGGGAGTCGCCGCTATGGTCACTGGGTTTGTTTGCGTGCCTGGACGCTTTGGAGGATAATCCTTTACTTTGTATCTTCGATAGAGCCACATGTTGTGGGCACCGATACCTCTGCTGTAATCAATGCATAATGATGTGATTTTAACATCCATTCATATACTGCGCAGAAAGGACTACAGTAGTCTGCACCGTCTGCACCGACAACTACGGGACGGGGAGCATTGGAAAACCAGAATCGATTCAAACGCCAAGTTTCCAGCACAAGAGCTCTGGAGCTTGTACACCGACACAAACAACTGAGACATCGCACCGCCTGGCAAAGAAATAGAAAAAGGATCGTGGAGACTGGCGCCGATGGACCAGGTGACCCATGATGGCAACGGCGGACGGAACAGTACAGAGACACCCTCGTGTGATTTCCAACAAGAATTTCCCATTTGATATTGATGTTGTGCAAGCCCATTAGCTAGATTCATGAAACCCCGTTAACGACCTTTTCCAACCAACTTCAAGCCTTCTCCGTCCGGATATCCCCGTCGGTTCAGATGTACATCCATTTTCTTTTCTTTTTCCCCGTGGAGCAACCACACCGGACGTCGGTTAGACAACCCGGCATGGCCAACGCTGACGATGATGATGCTTTCGTTTGGCTTGGCGTCGTGGTATCGTAACCCCTTCCTCTCATCACCTATTTTCCCATTCTATCGTCGGAAAATATATCGCGCTTAGTTGCCGGGGTTGGGGTTCATCTGGAATCCGTCAGCTTCAAATCCTTCCCCAGACATATGCATTCCGACAGTATTCCTATCACGGCACACTCAAGGCATCGCCATGCCCGAGCACCGTGATGGGTATCCTGTTGCTCCGCTCCCGACGTACCTTGCGCTTGCCACCGGTCATGGTAACGTTGACGAAACGGCGGGTGTACTTGACGCGCTTGAGGGCACGGCCCTTGGGCTGCTTGGGCTTCTCTTGCTTCTCGACCTGTAGGGGGGCAAATACATCAGCGTTCTGCTCTCTCATCTCATCTCATCGAAACCCGTCCAGAGCCCCAGATATTTCCCGTCCATCGGCACCGTCGACATAGACCATCGCACACATATCCGCTTAGTCTTCGTGGTTGTCGAGAAAAAATGCATCCAGTCGTCTCGTCGGCGGTGGCGATGGCTCACGTTGCAGGGAAATATCCGGCCAGGTTGGGGGAGCGCACAACAGGGAAAATTCACCCACCTTAGGAGTCGCAGACTTGACCTTACCCGCACGGGCGAGAGATCCGTGAACCTTACCCATGGCTGCTGGTGATGTGTAGCTTGTCGGATCGAGATGGAAATGCTGAGATTGAGGGCTGTCGAAGGGGGGCGGGAGAGGGGATTCAATCTGACTCTTGTGGGCAAAGCGCGCTAGTAAGCGAGATGGCGAGGGCGCTGATTAGTCAGAGGCGGCTTTCCCGGTTGGGATCGATGCCTGAGGCAGAAGACCTGCAAATGGGATCTGGATTGCTTTCGTGTTGTTGGACGAGTCTGATATGAGATTTACGAATAAAGAAACGCGCTTTACATCTAGTGGCCTCAGATGCTCATTCTCTGCTCTATATACCGGTTGACTGTCGGTGATGTTCAGTGTCGATGAATCTGGGGTTGCGGCATGCCTGGAAACGGTTAGCGTAGGTTTGTGCCCTATCTTCCTCTTTGGGTAGTTACCCAGTCGCCATGCATAGATACAGAGTACAGCATATGGTGATTTGGGTATGATGTACTCAGTAGGCACCTGCTATGTGCTATCCTGGCCTTTTACGGATACTTCTCTACAATGATAGTACTCTAGAAAAGAGTCCTGTAAACAGTTGGCGGAGATGGCTGATAGGAGGTCGAATTCTACTCGATATAGCTCATAGAGCGTTCAGGCCGTATATCATGACATCAGTCTAACCCCATGATCTACACCAGAGCAACAGAAACCATGGCTTATCATGTCACATCCGTTTTTCCATTTCCTGGTAAGTACTATACCATGGCGTGCAATGATAGCCATGCGGGTTTCCCGTCCGCAAGAACCCAATCGCTCATACGCCGAATTGTTGCATTCACGTTTTCTGAAGGGAAACACAAAGAAAATAATTCCAGCTCCGGAAAACCTCCCAAATTTCAGCCGTTCCGTAACTTCCCCAGCCCAAGCCAGACCGCTCCAATTCCGTTTAACGCGACTTGGCAGCGACCTTGGGGGCAGAGCCCTTAGCACCCTGCTTGCTCTGGATGCGCTGGGCGGCGCCCTTGCCACTGGCGGCGAGCTTGGCCTTCTCGGCCTTCTTGCGGCTCTCGTTGGCGGCCTTCTTTTCCTTGGCCTCCTTGATGGCCTGCTGGCGGGCGGCGGCACGAGCCTCGGGGCGCTGGTTGCGGCGCTCCTTGATCACATCGAGGGAGGCACCGACAACGGCACGCTGGTGCTTGACGACACGGCGGGTGCGCTTCTTAGCAACTTCCTGTTCAGAGCGAAAATCTCCCGTCAGCATATGTCCTCCGATTATCGTGACCATCCTCCATCCGTTCTGCGTTCCATGCCAAAATCATCCTCCTCCCGACATTCGATGGGGTAGACAATGTAACCCTTCCTTGTCCATGGCCCTTCTTAACCCGCAGAACGAACAACTGAAACGAGGGGATGTGGCGGTACTGACTTCAGAGATACCCTTCTTGTGCTGGCGACGGAAGAGGACGGTCCAGGCGATGCGGCGGGGGTTCTTGCGCTGGAGGAAAAGGGACTCGGACTTTCCATTCTGGAAGCGGAAGATCTTGCTGTCGCCACGGACGTACAGCTTACCCTATAATTCCCATAGATGTTAACATTATTCTTCGCATTATAGTCCAATTTCTGTTGGAATATCGGCGGGAGAAAATATTCTCCAACAGTTGAGATCGAAAGGTTCGCGGGGGACTTGTATTCAAGGGTTCGTGGGCGAGATGAGGGTTTTCGATGTCGATGGTGATCCGCCGACGAAAAAAAGGGACAACGCACCTTTCCAGGGTAGATCTTCTGACCGCTGAAAGAATCGTCGTAGGTACGCATCTTGAACGTCGGAGATGCGCAGCCGGTCGAGACGAGTTGTTGTCGGTTGGCGTTGGGTGGTTGAGTCGAAGCGGTCTCTGCGGCGAGCTGTTCGCGAGGCCTGACACAATTGTGGTGCGGTGCGGAGCCTCGCTAAAGCCTACCACGTGACCTCGTCTGCCCTTGGCCTTCCGCCTTACGGACATCTGACAGACAACCCCATACAACTTCTGAAGTATACAATTTTCTGCTTAATAGTCCAGCTTCCATGTCGAGTTGAACATGTTTGGATTGTAATATCCTCACTATCCTGCCATCCATCGGTGACTGCGCAACTAGGCGCTATCTCCCGGCGACCGTAGATACAGTGCCAAATACATGCAAGACATTCGAGTACCAATCCCAGAAGAGTTCCAACTCCATGATAGCTCGTTCATAAATCGTATTATCGCTCTCGTTGCGTCGTTTCACATCAGTCAAAACCTCGTTATCCCATCTGTTTCCAGTGATCCAATGGCTCGGGCGGGTTCAATCATGCCAATCGCAGTTCTCCCAAGGGTTAGGCTTGCATTCCTGTTTGAAGGATGTTAGACCTCGATGCGATATCAGTGTAGAACGCGGAACCCAAATACCTTGCACTGGATGTCGTGGCAGATTTCACTAGGACAAACTCCGCAACAGTCCGGACATACATAGCGGCCACAACCTCCTGGCTGACTGCACAAAGAGAAGGTGCTCACGTCCTTTGCCTGAGGTCCAAGACTCTCAATGACCTTGATCATCTGGCTCGCCTTTGCAGCACGCTCACGAGCAACCCCGTCGGCGCCAGGGCCAGCCTTGGCTACAGTCCGTCTGGCGTTCTCGTACACGCAGCATGCGGCGCCGCAAAGACCACAGTCAACGCGACAGCTAGTGCAGCGCAGGTTGACAGAATCCCAAGTTCTGACATCGTCCACGCGATGGGCCTCCGATTCACTCAGGTCACGAAATTTCACCTCGGTGCCGGTGACGCTGCGGATATAATCAATCTGTTCGGGGGTCTTGTTAATGCACCGGGGAAACAGATGATCGGGGGAGGGGACTTACGAGTTCTTCGAATGTGTCCTTCGCCATCTGACGAGCTCTGGCTGGGACTTTGGCGTGCAGTGCAACTCTGTGATATTCTCCCTGTAGCTCTCCATTGGAGGTCTGGGGCTTGGTCGAGATTTGTCTCATTGCGTCTTTAGAGCGGGGAAGAGGACCGTCGTGGACTGGTTTTTCCTTTGACTTTCCAAAGTCAGCGTCGACGAACATGAAATCTAGCTGAGGTCAGTTATCTGCGTTCTTCCAGAGAATCAAACCTATGCGAGGAATGAACATCGGAATACGTACCCTGAGGTGAACCGTAGTAGTATTTCGCGGACGGAGCCGTGAACGAACGCTTGGCAGCAGGTCTGCTCCTATTCTTTTTTGGACTCAGGAGGACGCTCTTCAGAGTGCTCGAGGTGCTGGTAGCGCTCCTGTTTGTGTTCTGAGTAGCGACGGAATCAGATCGCAGCGAGCGTCCGTCTTGGGATTGTTTGCTGGGGGATTGGGGTTGCTTATCACTGAGACTTCTCGCCAACTGAATGGACGTCGCAGAGCCCCCAGTGAAGGACCTCAGTCTTCTGGTGAAGGAGTTTGCCCTAGGGGATCTCTGCGCGACAGTATCTGCGTCGGGGGCAGTCTGGTTGTTGTTGCTGTGGTTTTCGTCTTCGGGTTCGTCTTGCTCGGGGACCTGGGGAAGGGGAAGTGATAACTCGACTCCTGAAGTTTCTCTGATTTGGTAGGCAGACTCGAGTTGACTAGAAATCTCCTCAGAGAACTGACCTATATCAGCTCCCTGAGATGGATTCTCGTTCTTGGAGTCGCGAGTAGCCGAGGACCTGAGGCTGGTGTTTAGAAGTCTGAAGAGGGAGATGGATGGCCTGGAAACTGACTTGCCAGAAGTTTTCTTTTTGGCATTACCTCTGGATTTGTTTTTGTGTTTGGCTTTACCTGCCATGGTGCAGACGATGATGTCGTCGTGTGTGGGATGATGTCGTTGTAGGTGGTAGTGTGCAGGTGTCGCGTAACGATAGGAAAACGAGGAATAAAAGCAGGAGAAGGTTTTGGTAGGAGCAATTGTTGTTTACAGAAGCTGCCTACATTCTGTTCCTGAGCATGTTTTTCACAAGTTTCCCCCTTTCTGTTACAGAGTAGGCTGGGATCAATTTGCTCAATGCACTGCACTGCTATAATTCTCACATAAATACAGCACCTGTGAACAAATAAAGCCCCCGTGGACATTCACTACAGAAATCTCCTCAGACAAGGTATCTATCATTTACCTATCTTGGGCTATATCCCTACTTGCAGGAGACAGACTTGATACTCGACGCACACGTACACTCTGGGGCTATATAGAGGGCTACATCCTTTCCTCAATCTTACGTACAAGAGCCTATACAATCTCTCTTTAGGGAACAGATCCTGTATTATGTATTGATACAACATCTTCTTTTGGGGTGGAATGGCCATGCATGATACAATTCTATTGACGAAGCGGGGCTCTAAAAAAGCAACAAACCGCAGTTTTCAGGGGTAAAAGAAGACAAAAGACAAGAAAACCTATAAAAGCTTTGAGAAACAAATCTGTGAAATGCCATCAAGGGGAAACAAACCAGCCTGAGGAGTATCAATGCATCTGCGAGAGGGGCATGCATTCTTATAAATTCAAAGCAAGACATAAGTGTTCTTAAGTGGCATAGGGCTGATCCAATCCAATCAATGAATGCCAGTGTAATCTGGACTGCAGCACTTTTCCTTCATGGTCACATCACAACGTTGCTGCTCACAGTTCTGCCATATTAGCGAGTGAGTATGCTCCCCGACTGATCTAGATCGTCGCATGAATCTTGGTCCATTCTTTGGCAGTCTGGATGGCTGCAGGCTCATCTTCCTTCCAACGTTGGGCAACATCATTTGCTAGCGGGTCATCCGGGTTGGGGGCTCCCAGCAGAGCTTGGATCGAAAGCAAGATAGTGCGAATCTGGAGAGCGGGAGACCAGTTGTCTGTTGAATGAGTTAGCGCTTAACTATCCGAAATAAAAACGTAGAACGAAACACTCTAGAACATACTCTTGAGCACATCCAAACAGATCCGTCCAAGCCGGTCGATATTAGGATGATAGATCTTGGTCAAGAATCGAATCTTCGGCGGGGTCATGGGGTAATCTTCAGGCAAGAACAACTCAAGGTGAAAGATCCCACCTGGCTGACAATTAGCGGATACCCAAGATAAAGCGTTGCCCTGTAGCAACCAAAGAGTGTATACCTTCGTAGGGAGATTGCGCCGGTCCATGAATGGAAACATCGAAATACCGCAGGTTGTCCTCGTGAGGCACAGCATTGATGCCGGGAACCCTGGAGAGACAAACGACGCTCAGCTATGATATCCAATGTGACGCTGACTGCGATGACTTACGGCTCAGCCATCAGGCGCTCAGTCTCTTTCACGATTCTCTTCGGCAACGCCATCTTGACTAAATCTTGATAGTCTCGCGATCACGCAAGTGGTGGGGTTGGCACTGGACTTGAGGGGGTATATATTTATCAAACAAGCACTGAAAGCGTCAACTTCGAATTGCCCGTCAGATCAGTCTCGGAGAGGATCAACACACCGGCCACAGACAGTCAAAGTCTGGATTAGAGATAACGGAAGCGTGAGGATCCTATCGCAACGACGGTCAAAACGACGTAACCGACAGAGGGGTGTGTCGCAGTCACCGCCTTCCTCCTTTGGAAGAGATCTTCTAACCCCGATCGGGATATCGGCATTCCTGCAGCTGGTCGTATCAAGAACCTCCGATCCTATCGAGGACCTCTCTTTCTCTACTACTGGGAGACTTTGTGGAGTGACTTTCAGAGGACTTTGCTGTCAGTTTGGATCCCCAAGGTACGTTGATGCCGATTGATTTGTCGGATCCTGTTCCCTAACCATCATTGGACCTCCTAGCCCTCGACCTCCAGTCCCAATTGCTCCCGAGTCCACCTGGTCGACCTATCAACGCGCAATGCGTGTGCGCGCCTCTTAGATCTCCATCACCTCGCACGGTTAATCCAATGTCCCCGCGGAGGCCAGCGAAATGAAAGCAACACTTCCTTTCACTGATGATCTCCTCGTTTGCCGTGTATAGTCTCCCAGACTCCCTGGATACCAGTCGCTAGATCCCTCCGACACGGGCAGTCGAGTTGAATGCGGTATCTATTAGCGGGACACAACGACGTAACATACAATGGCCGACCCTCTCGAGCCCAGGCCTCTCACGTCGGCCTTCGAAAGCCCAACTTTTGGAGAAGACAGTTCGTTCCATGTGGACCAACCAGTTGGTTCCATGTCCATATCGCCGTGCGGACGGGACGTTGTTTTAGCTTCCAAAGAAGGCCTCCATGTCATCGATTTAGACTCCCCATATTCGCCCCCACGATACCTTCCGCATCACACGCCATGGGAGGTCGCCGATGTCCAATGGTCTCCCTTCGCCGCGCGAGATTACTGGGTTGTGAGCACATCGAATCAGAAGGCGCTGGTCTGGAACTTGGCGATGAAGACATGGCAGAATTCTATTGAACATGTGCTGCATGCCCACACACGGGCTATCACCGATATCAACTTCTCCGCGCACCATCCGGACGTCCTAGCGACGTGCGCCGTCGACAGTTTCGTCCATTGCTGGGATCTACGGATTCCGTCTCGGCCAGCGATTTCCTTTTCGGACTGGTTTGCCGGGGCCACGCAGGTGAAATGGAATAGACAGGATCCAAATGTCATAGCCAGTTCTCATGACAGGTTTCTGCGTATCTGGGATAAGCGAATGGGAGCCTCTCCAATACGCTCCATCGAGGCGCATGACACCAAAATCTACGGCGTCGACTGGAATCGCGTACGACCCGGAGCTGTTGTGACGTGCTCTTTGGATAAGACAATCAAGTTCTGGGACTATATGGTGGAAGACGAAGTGCCCGAGAAGGTAATCCGGGCGCCGTTCCCTGTATGGCGAGCACGGAATACCCCGTTTGGATGGGGCGTTCTCGCAATGCCTCAGAGAGGCAACAGTGATCTTCATTTGTACAGCCGCCGGGCTGGAGAGGGTGCAAACCCCGCTGAAGACCTTCCCCTCGTGCATAGCTTCCCCGGACACAAGGGCCAAGTGAAGGAGTTCCTTTGGAGGGCGCGTGGAGGGGTTACGGATGGAATTGACAATAGGGAATTTCAGCTCGTTTCTTGGGGAACGGATAAGGAACTTCGCCTACATCGGGTCGACCCTGATATCCTACAGAGTGTCGGCTTCGAAAAAGGTAAATCATTCGTTTCCAATTTGAACCTCACACGCCATGGTGCTGTGTACAAGAGCTTCCGTGATGTGGGTACAAACCAGGAAGATGATGATACAGACTCTATGTCTGCCTTCCAAAACTCTACCCACTCATCTCATGGATTGGGCATGAATACGATATCGGTTCCGTATGGCAGGGCCTGGACTCAGGGAGGACAGACCGATTCGAGGATTGGTATGCAAGGAAGGTCAAACCTTCGCGCCGACACCAATCCTATCAGCTGGATGCGAGGTGTGAAAATCTCGGGCTGGGATATAGAGACACTTGGTGACGAGATTACGCACGTGGGCGAGAAGTTCACGAAAGTTGCTTTCGAGTCCGTTGATGTACGGCAACGCAAAGCAACGATATCGCTTCACGGACCGTGGGGCACTGATGGCGACTCCCTCTTCCTCAAAGTTGATATCAAATTCCCTACTGACTATCCGCGAGCTTCTATGCCGTCATTCAGTGTGCAGAAGACTGCCGCAGTTACAGACCAACTTGCCGACAAGATCATTGCTGAGCTTCGGACAATCGCGGAGACATATCTGTCTTACAAGAGAGGATGCCTTGAAGGAATCGTCCGTTATCTCCTAGGCGAGAGCACTCTTGAAGAAAGCATTGCTTGGATCTTAGGAGAAACAGCCGAAACGGTGAAATCTCCTGTTAACGGTCAAGAGGGCGAAGATGAATCGAGTGACGAAGACGAGGTGGGAATGTCGCGGAGTCAGGAACTAGGGATGAGCTCCGAACTGCTTCGGCCCGTCAATGCGAATGTTATGGTGCCCGTGGCGAAAGAATGCGGTGCACTTTGGGCGAATGATGGTCGTTTAGTGTGCTTCTTCCCAACAAAGAAGGACAAATCCGCTATTCTTTTGGAGAACTTGGGCTTTAAGGAAATGACCAGACTTTCGAGGGCAGACAAAGTCTTTGAAGGCTTTGGTCGTTTACAAACGAGCTCGCCGGGGCCGCGTGCCAGTGGAACTATTACTAGCACGGAAGATGGTGCTTCTGACTATTCAGATGACTCGGATGCAGAAACATCCAGCTCTTCCGGGTCATCAGGGATCTTGTCTGGGCTGCAACACCGGTTCCCAACTCCCCAAACCTGGCGCAGCGCAGGCAGCCTTGGATTCTATAGACCAAGATCGACGGACAACTCGCAAAGATCTACTGTTGGCGGAATGACTACGAAATCGTCAGACGCTCCACAACATACAATTTCTATACATGACTTCAGTGACTTGCTACCAGCAAAACGCGAACTGGCAAGCCAATATCGAATTTGTGGCAGAGGAACCGACGTCTGTGCTCACAATGCTTCGGTAGCTCTTGACCATGGGTACTATGAACTCGCTCGCATCTGGGGTCTCGTGAAGTTGATACTCCACAATCGAGGTGGTACCGCTGCTCCACCAGGCTTGGAGGTCCCACGGAAGCCTGTCCACATGCGGAGAAAGGACAGCGCAGTTGACCTAAGTTATGACACGAAGTGCGATAATGACCCAAAACATATGCTCAGCACAGTAATTCAGTGGGGAGATCATCCTTTCGGTGGACACTGGCTTGTTCCTGCTCTCTTTGACCACTTTGAACGGATTGGTGACGTTCAAATGGTCGCAATGCTCTCTTGTGTTCTTCATGAGGCAAATATCCCAAGACCACCACCCGCAGAACAACCCCGGAATAACAGCAGTCCCTCAAGACCAATGGAGGAACAGTCATTGTCACTAGACTTCTATTCGCCACACGGAGCCAAATCACAAACCACGACACCTCTCGCTTCTACACCAAAGGATGTTCACGCTACACCTATTACGCAAAGTTCTGGACGTTCATCATCTGAGATCTGGCGTGCTGATTCTACACCTCCATATTCAACCGGCACCACCCCTCCTTTGGCCTCGCGCACTGCAGGGCTAGTTGCGGAGAGGAAAACTAATAATACATCCGTGGCTGCTTCGCCTGACCAAGCGTCTCAAAGTCGCACTGGCTCAGGTCTCGGATCAGTTCTTGCCTCTTCCTTCTCTCGATCTTTTACCTTTGGTCCATCTTCAGCCTCACCTCCAGCGCATGCTCTGTCCAAGAAAAGGCAAAGTCCAGCTGACAGCCCTAATGCATCGGGAGGAGCTGGCATATGGGCTACAAGTGCCTTCTCTGGAAAGCCAGTATCGGCAATCCCAGATTACCTTACTACTTCAACTGCGGTCACTTCCCGAACACACTCTGACACCGAGAGTGAAAGGCCTGAAAAAACCCCCGGGAAACCAAGAATCCGTGCGTCTCTCAAGAATATCAACGCTTTTGAAAGCGGTCGCCGGGCAGTGAATTCTTTCATCGATCCCAAAAAAGAAAGGCTCTACCAGTCGTACCGTGTCGCTTACGCACATTTACTATCGATTTGGGGATTGCCGGTGCAGCGAACTGAAGTCCTCAAAATTGGGGGAGCCACTGAAGCCATCGATTCAGCTCTCCAAGTCGGACATAGTAGCCCAAAATCATCATTGTCACTTCCCACAATCGGGCGCAGGGGCTCTAGCGATGTGACAGATTCCGGTATGGAGGGACTGGACCTTCAGCGGCATTGCATTAAGTGTGGTCGTCCTCTTCAGCTTTCAATATTCTCGACACGTGCTATAGCAGATGCTGCTGCAAAGCAACATGCGAAGGGCAATGTCGTGTATCCCGTTTGTACGCACTGCAAACCAAGACAGCCCCTACCTCTGAACCTTCCATGTATCATCTGCGGCGAAGTCGTGGAAGGAATGTTGGCTCCTTGTCTTGGCTGCGGTCATGTTAGTTGTTTTAACTGCCATCGGGGCTGGTTCTCGATGGCTTCGACCACCCCACAAGATGAAAACAATGCCGCGTACTTACCAGACAACGGACATGAGTTCCTCTTTTGCCCAAGCGGATGCGGATGTAAATGCTCCGACCATATTGGCACGGATATCCCAACCTCGTGGAGCACATCATCTATGGCACAGGAAGGCACTGGTGCGTCCCACAGTCGATCCGGAACACGGCGATCGGACGGGTCAACGAGGAATGGACATATCCCGGCCGGGAATGTCGGCCAACATGAAGATGATCTTCTTGACCACTGGCAAGCGTCCCCGTTCGCCTCTCTCGCAAGAGGCCTGGGTGGAGGGCTGAGTCGTGGTTTGCGGCCAAAGGAAGACAAACGAAAGACAAAGCCCCTTGGAGCTTCGTTCATCCCGAAGAGATCATCCATGAACCAGGTAGAGAGTGGATGGTAACCTGACCATGTAATGTTGCTGATTTTTGCGTTTTGTTTGGCTTACGTATACCCCTATCGTTTTGTCATGTTGTCATAGGTCGGACCTATATATTTGTGTAGAGGATGAATGCTGCCAATTTCACAGACCTTCTGTGCCTACCAAATGAAAGTATTTCGAGACCTTATAGTGCTCCGTGCGATTATCAGGACAGAGTAGAGTAACAGATAGTCATTCCCGGATATAGGCCAGAATTCGAGGTTAGGTGATCGTGAGAGACGTCCATTGGCATACGCTACTAAAGCAAGTCCTAAGGACATCCACTGTACTTGTGAAATGACCCAGAGAATAAACTCATGAAAAAAATAATAGATCCATCCGAAGAAGCTACTATTATCGGCGTACGACAAGTCAGCATAACCTTGCAGCTTATACTTGACAGATCCCTCCATCTATCTCTCCGTTCCTAGAAGTGACGGTGCATCAAATCTCATTTATCAGAAAACAAATCAGATCACGACAGCCACATGGTCCGTCATATAAGGGCTGATATCACCCAGCATAAACGCCGCAATAATAGACACCCCGCCGAACCCAATGCTAGCATAATACACCCACTTATAGCTCTCCGCGTAGGCGATCTGCCCGGCCGTCACAAGAGCTTCGTAGGCGGTATCGTTGGTGCCGATGCCGGGGATCTCGCGCAGACTTTCCAGCAACGAGCTGGCGGTGATCTGGATGGCTGTCGCGATGTACTTGGGGTCTGTGATGTTGAGCTGTGTCATCATGACGCCGCCGATGTAATGCTCGGCGTTCGGGACGAATTTGGAAAGGAAGATGTTGTAGTAGATGCAGTAGCCGATGCTGCCTCCCACGACACGGATGGATAGGGTGAGGGCCGAGATGGTTGCGATCAAGTCCTAGGGTCATGGTAAGTACGGTGTGTTTCTTGGGGATGGCGATGGGGACGTAGTTGCTCACATCGGGGCAAATAATGGTAGTTATGATAGACGCTGGAACGACAATTCCTCCTATACCCAGGCCAGCCACCGTGAGGATGCCCCAAAGTTGGTAGAGGTTATCAATCTTGGCGACAGACATCGCGCCGCAACCTAGATGGTGTTATTTCCTGTGAACATGGAAGGAGAAGATATGCGACTGACCAGCTGTCATAAGGATACTGCTAACAATCAATAGCTCCTTGTTGTGACCCCGGAAAACACTGAGCAGCCACAGAACAATACAGGCGCCACACATGATTCCGAATCCGATAGGGATACTTCTGATGCCGACTGCAACGGGGTCATGTCCGTAGACATTTTCGGACTGGGTGGGCCAGAACATAATCACAGAGAAGAAGTTGGCGCCTGAGATGAATGTGATCACGAGTGTCATGCCCAGTGTGCGTGGTTCCTGCTTGAGCCGGCTGGGGAAGATGGGGTATTTTGTGCCGTAGATCTCCCAGAAAGCGAAGGCGATTAGGAAGACGACTCCGAGGATAAGAGGAGCAAGTACATGGGCTGAGCTCCAGGGATACTGCAAGACATAATTAGTTAGAGTATAGTAAATTATCGTCTGGAAGGCTGAGAGAACGCACCTGATAGCCGCCCCATTGCATCCCAGCCATGAGAAGAATCAAGCCGACAATGCTCAGGAAGCCACCAACATAGTCGACTCGGCTGACAATCTCCCACCTAGTCAAGCCTTGTGAGTTGACTCTGGGGGGTGGAAAGTAAAACAAAATCGTGATGAGCAGTCCGAAGCCACTCCAGGCAGCACAAAATGCACCGACATTCCGCCAGTGGCTGCTGGATGCGATAAGTTGAGCCCACATGACCGAGGGCGCAAACGGCGCGATAGTGAAGATCAATATGGCAACATATTTACCACGTTTTCTGGTCGGGGCCATTTCAGAGGTCGCCGCCAATGCTGTCAGTTCGTTGACGCCGGCGCCGGCACCGGCAATTGCCATGCCGCCTGTTTATTGTACCCAGTCAGACATCGAATTGTATTTGTGTTATGGATGTCTAGGACGTACCGATGAAAATGTTCATGGTTTTCGCCGTGGTGCATACGATCATCCCGATGACGACAAGCGAAGCACCAATGATGGCGACATATCGACGGCCGATTAAGTCTGAAAGTGACCCGACAAAAGGGCAGACACCGGCAAGGGCCAACAAATTTGCCAGAACCTGCGTGATGTTCAGTTTTGTCCCACTGGTATCATAGGAGATCGGGACACCTACAAACCACACCCATCGATCAACACCCCCAATGTCGCCGTAGATATAAGGCGGGATACCACCTGCCAAGTACTGTCAGATTGGATAGGAATATTGTGTGAGAGGTGTAATCCAACCGAGTAAATAGACGGGAATCTGGCTTCCAGTCCACAGAAAAGCCATGGCTGTGAATCCCATGAACCGGCGGAACGTCATCTGAAAGCGAGAAGAGGACGGTCAAATGACTTTTCTAAGGCGTCAGATTCCAGGACAATTCTACTTACCGGATACTTGACCTCCGATTCCAGAGCTTCATCTGCTTCGTTATTCGGGGTAACATTCTCGAGATGGCTGCAATTGGGATCGGAATTGTTCTTGTGAGCAATGTGTGCAACAGCCTTCTCGTCTATCTGAGACTGGCTTGAATGCTCAGTGAGCTCCATGTTTGTCATCGTCACAGCCTGTCAGGGTTGATTCTTGTGGTAAAGAAGTAGCAAAATCCCTAAGGAGCGGGCTTCTCCAGGCTTAAAGGGCTCGACCAGAAGGTGGGCATTATGCCAGGGCCTATATAATATATCCTGCTAAGAAGACCAAGAAACGATGAAACCAACAGGTCCGCAGACTGGGTGGGTCGACAATGCTTAGCCATGTCAAGGCGGAGCAAAGACATCATGGTTGCGGGGGATGTCGATTCCCTCGACGGGGGACAACCCCCTTGCGGACAGACTGAGTCCAATAACGGGAGTTGCCACCATTTTGGGACACAGCCGAGGCACTTTCTGGGTTTTGAATCTGTCGGTGCACAGTCCATTGCCGACGCTGGACTTCTTACTCGCGGTTGGAGCTCCCCCAGCCGGGCGAAATGCGGGGGAAAACGTGGAGACCACGCCATCAGAGTCTATCTCGTCCCGATGCGGCAATGGGCCGAGCGAATGGTCTGCACTACCATGGTTCTAGGAGGATTTGGAATGTGTCACCTTAGTTCTGGCTATGCATCAAGTCGAGTTCCATAGTAGTATCGGTAGGACCCTGACCCACACACTGTCATTTAGATCCTCAGTTACTAGTGTTTCCAAATATGTTTATGCACAAGTTCGTCCATTGTTGGACGCTAGGATGTGATCCTGACATGCTTGGACACGAAAATCAACAGGCACAGGCATCTCTATCTATCGCTTCGAAAACAATCCGGAACCGGAGAGCCCATCTGAATGGATACCAACAGGCATATCGCGTCGTCTGTTGTTTCCCTTCTCTCGCCACGAGATCCTTCTGGACACAATGTGGCGCCCTAGCCTTCGTTCATGTATGGTATCGTCGGGAACGCGGTACTCCAAAGATTCTGGACTATTGGGATGGCAGACGACCTTCAGAACTTGTCTCCAATCCTCTGGAGCTTGTACTGTTTGGGGACGACAAAAAGCCCGGAAGCTTCGGCGCACAACCGTCCAGTTGGGTCGCGCACTTCTCCCGTCACGTATCCCTTGCGATCCGTGCTGCGGTCCATATCAAGGGTAGCATGGATAGAGTAAAAGTTACCCGAATATACCGGGGCGCGATAGTTGATCTCCAAATTCGCTGTCACCCCAGTCTTTTCGGGGAAGTGCCGTACGGCGACGCGGCCCACGTTCTCATCTATCACGGTAGCAAGCGCACCCCCATGGACCATTCCAGGCCACCCCTCCAACCCCGGTCCGAGAAAGACGACGCTGACAGATTTCTTTTCCTTATCATTCCAAAAGACTTTCTGCTCACAACCAATCAGTCAGACATGGAACGATCCGAGGTGCCGGTAATTGGAAGTTTCGGCATTGCAGGGGCTCAGCAGGACGAGCGTCGTATCGGGTCACGCGAAACTCCCAGCTGCACGGCACATTCGTCGAAGTTTGCAAGAAATGTCAAGCTGTAACGATAATGAAACGGGCAAACGAACCTGATGCGCCAATCCTCGGCTTCCACGCAGTGGCCCCGACGTTAGTCGGTTTACCTTGTGATCATCCCCATAATTCGCGTAGACATCGGTTTCCACATAGTCTGGGTTACTTCGCAATCTCTGGACGATGGGCAGGCCATTCTCGTAGACGCGAAGGATCTCGCCCAGCGCCGTTAGGTCCTCTGGTGAATCTGGTTCGGCGGGCGCAGTGACCTTGTCGTTCACCAATTTCCCAACACTGGCGCCCAAAAAGCCGAATATCCCAGCATAGACCAGACGCCGTGGCCATTTCGTTCGCTCGGGAGAGGACGCCTGAGCTATGGTGCTGGCATGTCGTGAAACCTGCAGTGTGCACCGGGAAGCCGGCGGTACTTGTGTCGCAAGACTGCGCACTTGGGACTGAAATACTCTGCGAGGGCCAAACATGGCTGTTCACATCGCAGTCTCACTGGACGATAAGGAGGGAGTGATTATTAGACTTGGAAGGGCAAGATGCGGATCCAATTATCGGATGGTTATGCCGAGGTTGCTTGGTTATCAGTCACGTGACTTTCATCTAGGACCTAGGATCACGAATTTCACTCAACAACGACAGTGGTGGTCTGGTTCATTCATTTGAGTGGGCACTGGGTAGTAATATGCTGTCTAATTTCACATACAAAAACCCAGGTTACGAATCGAATGTACTGGCATGAATGAAATTAAGGCATAACGGGCGAATATAGTAGCTTAGTACATCAACACTTTTCTTTAGCCATACTCGCGCGATCTACCCAAATAGATCTATCCTTTGTATGATTGGGGGATGAAATTCTCGCAGTCCGTAGCTCCTTAGTTTGCCGTAGGCAGGTCAATTGCCCGGTACAGCAGAATAAGGGCAGAGTGGGATTCACCTGGTCACCTGGTCGTTAGCAACGGCGGTAAAGAACAAAGATCAGAATGGAGAAAGCACTTACCACCGCCAGCCAAAGTCTCAATCTTTTCGGCCTCCACCTCGGTTACCTTTTCATCGTTAAACCACCACCACTTGCCATCCTCTTCTCCGTTGCCGTTCTTCTGCTTCTTCACATACGCCGTGTAATGGCCGCTGTCCGCGCTGGCACCTTGGTGGGTAATCACTCCTCGGAGTTCATAGAGACCCGACTTGTTGGTGCCGTTATCAGAAGCAGTCTTCTGGTCAAGAAGCTCGGAAAGCTCTTTCTTCGCCGCGAGGATGGACGCAGCCTTCTCCGCTTCGTAGTCCGCCTCTGTTTTGAAGGCATCGGTCATTGCAGTGTCCCCGTCCTTCGCAGCCTTCTCAGTATCTTTGTTCTCTTCCGCAACTTTCTTCTTCTGCATGGGCTCCATGGGTCCTGAGTTTGCCGCCTGTTCTTCCTCCCTCTGATGGGCGATCTTCTGACGCTTCCGAGAACGCTCCACGTCGAGCTCCTCTTTCCGAATCTCCCGCACCTTGTCCCTGATCGGAATGAGCTGCTTTTTGAGTTCATCGGTGCAGAACTCAACTGCATCCAGTTCGGCTGGGAACGTCACTTTGCGCATGATCTTGGCCTTCTTCTGGGTCTCTCGCTTCCAGAAGAACCGGACAAAGTGCACGGTCAGATATTTCGGCAGGCGGGCGATCCGTGAACGCTTCGTGTAGACGGCGTCGCGGTCCAGCGTGGGGGAGTGCTTCTCGATCTTCTCTTCGAGACCTGCAATGATACCATCGTGTAGATGGTTGGTTTCTTTTCCGATGTGACAGTCGAGCTTGTAAAAGACGTCAGAGCTAGGGGTTGGTTCCTCTCCAGCAGCCTTCGCAGCAGATTCATCACATTCCGTAACAGACTCGAATCTCCCAGCCATGTACTTGTCCACAAAGGATGTCTCTCCTTCACCATCCTTGATCATCAACTTACTGCGCAGTTGGGTCACAATCTGTGACCAAGCTTCTTCCGCGTCCTGCTGAGCGTAGCCATGTCCGTTGCGGTCTTTCTGAGCGAACTGTGGGAAGACGTTTCGTAGGGCATTGAGGAAGATCAGAGGAGGGAAGCCTTCTTGGGTTTCGGACATTTGCTTGAAAAGGTCTCGAAGGGAGGCAGTGAGGTCCATAGACGATCCCAGACCTCCGAGACCAAGACTACTGAGGCTGGACAAATTCGATGAGCCAGCACCAGCAGACGGCCGATATTTCAGAAGCTCTTCCTGAAGTTCGGGAACACTCCGCAAGGTCTGTAGCGTAGAGTTGAGGTAGCAGGTATTTCCCAGGTTCTGCAAGCCGGCCGGGGTAGCTCCCTCCGCTCTTGCAGCCTCCGCCTCCGTCATATCCTCGAGGAATTTCACGACCTCCTTGGGCCTTCCCAGGTCTGCCGCGCCCTGACCGCCAGAGGGGGTACCCATCATCATGAAGGTCTGGCCAGGTTTGGCCTTCAATGAAGACAGCGGGGTATCATCCTTGAGCTGACCTCCTTTCACCAAAACCTTCTGCCGTTCCGGTTCAACACCAGTCAGAGAGTATAGTTGGAGCTTAAGCGTTTCGCCGTTGGAGGAAGGGTCAAGCTCGACCTCATGACGTTTACCTTGATGCTTCACGATGACTGCGACCTGTGGTTAGAGAGCTCTCTCTGGGGAAATAGCGTAGGCCATTTGGAGGCAACGAACGTACTCGGTATGGAAGCCATCTTGTCTTGTCTCTATGAGTAGCTTTTTTTGATGATTCAGAAACGTTTTCTCTGGGTTCTTCGGTCAAGTGCAGTTGCATAAACACGAGCGTCATCCCGTCCAGCATTGGAGAAGCGTGGGGCTGGGATGCAAACACAGCAAACAACCCCCGGCGACATCACTGCCTGAGCGGGACTGCCCGCTCCTGAGCATCACTCCCCGACCTCCTGTTGCTCATTGAAACTCACAGGCCTGCGGTTCACGTCACAATTTCAATATGGTACGCCGGATATCACGCAGGAATACTGGGACTCCAAGCTAACCGTCAAAGTCTCAATCATTGCGCCCTTACCTGCAGTGCACCCGAGTGTCACTGACAGCCGCCCTCGCGATCTCGAACTTCGCTTCCCAGACCTCCGAACGCCATAATGTGCCCGAAGTAGAGGCCAAGACGTCGCCTGAACTGCTCCTGAACCCCCTCACTGTTGCTCGCAACGAGGGCGAGAAGGTTCTCATCGAGCCCAGTGTAAACAGCGTCCGGGTCAGCATTAGAATCAAACAGGCGGATGAGATCGAACACATATTAGGTACATGCTCTGTCATAACATCAAGGGATCTACTCTAACAGATGAAAGCTCACAAACTTACGCGCTTTCTAACCCAACGTGCCGAGTCGTTCTTTATTCTCAGGAGAAAGCCGGTGGAGGTATGCGACACGTTGTATACACGTATAGCTACAGGTGATGCTAACGGGGGACCAGGGCTATGACATCTCCTTCTTGATTACCAACTTCCATACGGAGACGATGCTCAAACACAAGTTGGTGGACTTTGTGATCGAATTGTGCGGCTCCCCCTTCTATATTCGCTATGAAATGGTCTAACGATGGTACAGCATGGAAGAGGTGGATAAGGAAATCTCCGAAATGAAGCTATTCGTACGCAATCAATTTTCCACGATGTATCAAGAGGCTGTCGCTAATTCTCTCCAGTTGAACGCCCGTGCCCGATTTGTCGCCGAATCCTTCCTGACGCCGGTAAGACACACTTATCTCCTTCACTGTAAGCTAGTCTAACACGAAGTCCCAGTTTGACTAAATTCGCGATCCTTTGGCCTTCGACCCGGTGAATATTCCATGTTCTTGAAGTTTCTATTCCAATAGCGACTGTTGTACAGGTGATCTAGGCTGGTATTGGGAGTTGCATGGTCTGCTCAGTGCTTTGTTTCCCTCCTTGAGAACCTCGAAGATATCTGAATTTGAATCTATTGTTAGATTGCTTGTTCCCCTGTAGATATGGTTGACACCATCCTTTGCATCGAAGACCTCTGGGTTTCGGGAAGGATGGCATACAAATTCATGAAATCATTATGATATTAGGGCTCAGTGGACGATTTTCAGCACCATTCTCTACATAAAAGTTTGGCCATTCAAAAGCTGACTCTTTCAGTGCTACATGCATCCTCTCAGGGCCTCGCAACCCCTGGGACCTGCCTGCATTAAACCATCCTTCGTCCAAACTGACATCAACAGACCAAGATAGGGATGTACTTCTACTCCTCGGATTATGTGGTTTTGTAGTAAGGTATATTGGATAATGCTGGGGCAGTCTTCCCTATACTGACAACTCACATTCTATCATGACCCAATTCTTTTGTTCTATTGATTTGTGCCTCTGTTCTAAATTGAATGGTCTTTCTGCGGTAAATGAACTTTTAAGTCATATTCTTTTTACAATGGAGCTGGGCCATGCTAGCAGTTGACAATATACTCTGCCCTAATTAATCCACTTGGTGGTCCAGCTATTATCTCTGTAGATATCTATTGATAGTTTCTATACAGGGACCCAAAAAAGAAAGTGAATGAAATACAAGCTGCCTATTTCACGATAGATAACGCCGAGCCTTCACGTTGAAGAACTTCTGTTCCTCTCCTCTCCCTCACATCTGAATATCTTCATATTCTTACACTCACCAAAGCCATACAATCTCCCACTCTCCTCCCTTCTGTCCCTCTACGGCGTCTGTACCATGTATCGCAGAAGAGTTCCTGAAGAGGGCCAGTCTGCCCCATTCTCGCCCACCCTCGCCTTCTCTTATCCTCCCCCCTCTTCCTCTGGACTCGGTATGACCTCACGTTTGGACCATCCGGGTATGTCTAGCCTTCCCCATCATCAGAGGCAGTACGTTGCTGTAAGAAATCCAGCCTTCGCTCAAAGCCCTTCTCGTGAAGACGAGACCGAATACGACCCTGCAGAAACACCTACTCCCACTCTCATGGACCCTATGGGACAGCGTCGCATTATTCCGCAGTCTTCAGCTTTGAGCCCAATTTCAACTCCTGTGGTCCGCATGCCAGGACATTCCAAGGCACCAAACATTGTATCACCTGTCTCTCGTCGTGCTACTCACCCATCCTTACACCACATCATGAACACCGAGCACATGGGACAGTTTGGAGCCTCATCACAGGCGTCTGCGGGTGACAAGAGGCGCGAATCGCTCGCCGTGTTTGGCGAGCTGCCAATTGGTAGTCTCGTCCATCACAAAGGACCACCTGACTGGGGTGTGATCAAGATCTCGAATGTCAGTTCCAGCTTACTTGAGTCCCAAGCTTGCGCTAACATGTTCATCTACAGATCCCCTACTCGGTCACCAAGCAGGAGATTGTCCAATTTGTTGGCCGTCAAGCTCGCCTGATCAGTTCGGATAAAGGCTGCCCTATTCATATCATCATGGAACGGTCCACCGCCAAAACAATGGATTGCTATGTTGAGTTCGAGACCCCCTCTGATGCTCAAGAGACCGTCGATCGTATCAACAAGGTCTATGAAGTCGGTCGTGCACCTCGCCTCGGAAACAGGCATGTAGAGGTGGAGTTCAGCAACCAGGATCAACTGTTGAAGGACCTCTTTCCCCGTGCCAAGTGCGTTGTTTGGAATAAAGGCTTTCCCTGCGCCCTGGTCAATACAGACCCTTATTCCACTGGCTTTGCTGGTTTCTTCACTAGTGAGGAGATCATCGGGGCTATTCGCCACGCTGAGATACCCCATCGTGTAAGTCATGCTACTGATCACTCTTTACTGGTAAGGAGCAACTGACGCAAAATCTAGTCGCCGTTCTGTGTCAAATGTCCTCAGCGCACGTACGAATCCACCATCAGCACCCTTTACAAGGTAAGGCTTCTGTCACATAGCCCAAGGGATCTCTCTCATCTTCCTAGTTCCCGTGGTATGCAACTGAACTGTACACCGTCGATGACCGCAACCAGCTTTTTGAATTGACCAACCGCCATATTCTATCCCTTGTCTCTCGCATCCAAAAGTCTAATACTATCGGCCTTGACCAGAGACTGTTGCGCAGCCTGCTACACGCGGGGCTTGATTGCCCAGCCTTCAACGATCGTCAGAAGTACACGCTCTGTGTCAACTCGGAGGACATGTCGGAAATAGTCAACTTTCCTGATTTCGGTAAATGGTTCCCCTTCGATACTCTGGTTAGCTTGCCAAACGCCGATCGTCAAGCTCTGCAGGTACGCCTGATCCTCCTACCAAGTTGTGCCGGATGCTTACATTCAAGTGGTGTAGTACTACGCGGGTCTCATCTCCAGAGGAACTGTCCCTGAGGGTGTGACCCGAGATCTTCCCAACAAATTTCCAGTGCATAATCGCGATCTCTCCTCGCCATTCGGTCGAATCTGGTTTGAATGGGATGGGGATGCCGCAAAGAGGGCGATTTGGAACGAGGCGGTTCATCACGAGAAGATGGTTCTACGTCACCTCGTCAAGACTGGGTGGGAGAATCACAATGGACAGAAGAAGATTGATCATACCGACGGCTCGCCTACCCCTACCCGTGGCATCGATGTCCAAAAGTCCAGCAATCCAAGCGCTCCTTCGTCCGCGGCCCACCAGTCACGACTTCGTGCTGAATCAACTTCGAGAGTTGATGTCTTTGCTACACCCGCGCGGCGTCCAAGCATGCATATGCCTCATAACAACACTCCTGTTGATCAGAACGAGAGCCCTTGGGGTCAGAAGCTTTTTTTTTACCCTTCGTCCAAGGCGCGCAACGGGTTTCCTGGTCATAGGATCACCCAGTCCTCTCCTAATTGCATCCCTCCAGAAGACGTCTAGCTTCAGGTACTCGGGACGGTTTTCCGGCAGGTCACTTCAGTGCATGACTATGTTCATTTGGATTTAACTCACCATCTTTGGTCTCTGTAGGCATCCATCGTTACTAGAGCGGACATTGAAGATGGCTTTCTCTGTCGAATGTTCGCTCGTTTTGGTATTGCAACCCCCATTTGTCCTCTGGAATCCTGTTGAATAGGGAAAATCGTTGGCGATGTTGAGTCTTCTGACTACATACGTATGCACTTGGCTGGTTCTTGTTTTCCACTTTGTCTCGTCTTCTACTTTTGTCTGCCATGGATATCATGCATTGCACTATGCAGAGATCTTTCAGCGAATCATGGACGCTATTCTGTTTTTTTTTTATTTTTTTGCCATGTTATGTTACTCGGTTTATTCGTCTGTCGGCATTTGGCTTGTTCTTGAGGGAAGTCATTCTCATGTACCCACCCCATGCCAGCACATTTGTCCATGACTGGTTGGTCATTCATAGCAACGATCTCATCAAGTATCTTCATTTATTCGTGATGTTCATTCAATAGGTACAATTGTTCAGTCTCCTGTTGGTAAGACAAGCTCTTCCGTAGATTCCGCCGAAGATTGATTGTCTTGCGCTTTCGTCTGCTTCTCAAGAAGCTTTTTCCTCATCAACCCCTCAGCTCTCTTCCTTTCTCTTCTCTTTTCAGGGTCCTCCCATCCAGACGGCCTTGACTTTCCCTTCGTCTTGGAAGCTTCCGATTGCACGGAAGAGCATAGTTCCAGCAGATTCGTCCGGAAACGGGATTTACGCTCTGCGTTGATGGAGAACCTCTCATTGGAGATTGCAACCAACATCTGTAAATACTCCTCAGTCACCAGACTATGGACAACAGGCTCCTTGCCATCTTGATCACCATCATCAGTATCGTCACAGTACCCGATGACAGACTCGAGAGCTAGACCTGTGGAGCGCACTGCGACAATAGGGCTTGGGCCATCATCATCGCCTTCTAGGCATCGCAAGCTCTGTAAACCGCTTTCGCGGAAACCGGAGCTGGAAGCGGCTGCTAGAACAGGACTTGCATGGTGGAGCGTTGCAGCCATTATGTGAAGAATCTAACCATCATTGTCAGGACAGAGAGACAGGTTGATACGATGTCGTGTAGACAGCATCTAGCGCTCTATAAAAAGAAGGAAAGCTTCAACATACCATCGGTTCGTAGTGAAAACGGACAAGACGCGGGGCCTGTCCTGCTTTGTTCGCCGCAGGAGGTTTCCCATCGCCCGGCGTCAGGCCGAATCTCTCATGGAGCGACATTGCTTTTTCTTCCAGAGGGTCATGCGAGACATAGAGCCATTTCCCCGCCCCTTTGCCCCCCGACGGCGCAAACTGTCGTCGCTGCTCTTCTGAGGCTCTCTGAGGTTGTTTATTTCTCCCCTCTAAGAATACACTGATCCGCCCAGCACAGCTACTCGTGGTCACCAGTCCGGGCAGCCCGTTGATGTCCTGGATGAGATCGCGGATGCCTTCATCCACGGACCCTTTGGGGGACAGATCCGTGTACTCGGCATCTGGGATGGAAAGGTCTGCGAGGATCTTTGATTTCCGAGCTTCAAAGGCGCTTGGGACAAGTCTTGTGTCTGCCATGGTACTGGTGAGTGACGGATCTCTTCTTGTGTCTCTCGAGGACGCTGCGAGCGGATCCCACGTTTCAAGCTGCGCGTTTCTTTCTGGATATTTTTGTCGCAGGAATCGATATGCAAGAAAGATATCAATAAAGAAGCTATACGTGATCAGAGCTAACGGTGGACCCAGATCGAGTCGGGAATGATATACACCTACAAAAAGAAAATTCGGCTTTGTTTCTTGTCCCGCAAATCCTTCACGGTCCCGAACGGCCGCACTAGCAAGTTTAGCGGTGGCCCGCCTTTCCCACACCAACAGCGCCCCAGAAGTTACCAGCCTCCTGGTTGATGTCGCCCCGTCCCTTTGTCCGTGTCTATCGATTGCCAGATAGCCCCCGTTATTTTCCAGATCGAACTCCCTTCTAGACCATCCTGAAACGTTTATTTAATGCCATCGCATCCATCCCTGGGGCCGATCCCATCCATGAAATATTGACTGCGCCCCGCGATTCCGGGTCATAGCTGATTATATTACTCGTGTTGTCTCTATAATATCGCCGTGCCATTTTCTCCAGACCCGACAAACCCCCGTCGTCCACAGTCGCCGTCCATTTGCCAATGTCTCGTCGATCGTCTCGGGCCGTTCCCGCAGCGGAATCTCCAGCTGCACCAGCACCAAAAAGGCGCGCGTCTGCTAGGCTCTCCGCCAGCGCAAACCCCGAGCCCAAAAGGCAGAAACCTCAAGAAAGCAGCAAGACAGAAGCAAAGCCTGTCAGGTCCACCAAGAAGAAAAGCAAATATTTTCAAACTGAAAATTCCGGCGACTCCAAGTCCCCCTCCGATCCCTCATCGGAGCCAGAGGATCCCACGTCGGACTATGATGCGCCCGCTAGTGGCGGTTCGGAGGAGTCGCCCTCAGCCGAAGAAGTGGCTAGCAAGCCCAAGGCCAAGCAGACGAAAACGAAAAAGGCCGGCAAGGTGAAGAGCGAGTCAAAGGAGGACAACGCAAGCGCTGAGTCCGACTCAGCCGCCTTGGAAGACAAACAGCTCTGGAAAGAAGGCGTCAAAACCGGCCTTGGCCCAGGAAAAGAGGTCTTCATCAAGAAGCCCAAAGCGAGGGACCCAGGCGATGTGCCCTACAAAGATCATACGCTGCATCCCAACACGCTCCTCTTCTTGAAGGACTTGGCCAAGAACAATGAGAGAGCGTGGCTCAAAGGTGAGAGCTCCTTCAATGTCGGCGCGCGTATAGCTGACATGTACTCCTCTCGCTGCAGCGCACGACGCAGACTATCGTGCGTCTAAGAAAGACTGGGAAACCTTTGTCGAGAGTTTCACGGAGAAGGTTACTGAGATTGACGAGACGGTTCCGGAACTCCCTGTGAAGGACATGGTAAGTGCCATAGTGCCTTGGAGAAGTAGACGAATCCTGAGGAGAGGGGATTCAAAGCAGAGGACGACAGTTGCATTAACACTTCATGTCTCTAGGTATTCCGGATACACAGAGATATCAGGTTCAGCAAAGACCCCACTCCATATAAGGTATGTCTATTCATGGGACAGCAACCCATGTATCGATCCGCATCATATTAACAGCCACAGACCCATTTCTCAGCAGCATGGTACGCCCTTACCCAGCGACGGATTAGTCTTTCGTCCGTCTGATTCATCCTAGGTCCCGCACCGGGAAAAAAGGCCCTTATGCTGCGTATTATGTCCACTGTCAACCCGGATCTTGCTTCGTCGGTAAGTTGTGTCCAACTAAGCCGCTCATCCCGCGGTCGCACCAGGTCTTGAGCTCGCATTTCGACGTCGTTATATCTCGCTTCTATATCCACGTTGTCTCAAGCTGTAGACACGTATCATGGCGGCTGCCATAGACAGGAAGGAACACTCGCTAACGAAATTCGGCGTTCAGGGGCTGGGCTCTGGCATCCGGAGGCCAATAAACTCGCGCTGGTCCGACAAGAGATCGACAGTAACTCTCATCGTCTGAAGGCCGTACTGAACGAGGAGGGACTGCGCCGTGAGTTCTTCGGTGGTGTGGACGATGAGGAAGGAGCCGTGAAAGCCTTTGTTTCCCAGAACAAAGAATCGGCGCTGAAAACCAAACCAATGGTAAGTTAGACTGTTCTGTATGAGGCCAGCCATGGTCTCTAGCTTCAAGCACTCAACCCCCATTTGCATCTCTCATCGGATCGATCGACTGGCGTTGCACACGACGCGTTCCGAGGGTGGTTGATGTCTTCCGGGCGCACTCCATCAATAGGGGATGGGTCTCCTGCTTGTTAGCATCGCAAAACAGCGAGATTCATGCTGCAAAGAAAAGGCCATGATTCCGTCCCATCTCAATGGAGGAAATACTTCAAAGCAGAGGTCAATGCTGCCTGAGGGGGCACCCAGGAGGCTCGGGCGCTTCACCATCGAACAGTTGAGGGCCCGACGGTTCAATATTCCCAAGGCAGCCCTCAAAGGAGCAGTAACACCTTCGAGGGTAGAATCATGAACCCACGTTGAGCTCTTTGATGAAACTCCCTGGCACACTACCAGGTCATCAACTGTACCATGGTTGGGAGCGGGTCTGCTCGGGGGTGTCTCGCTGGTGCAAGCGCAGCCGCGGACGGGACGCACCCATGTCTGTCGGGGGGCGTTTTCCAGGGCAGTAGCCTGAACACAAACCCCTGGGGGCTCGCTTTGGGTCTACTCTGTACTATTTGCTGCGCCTACTTTAGCACGGCAGGCTCTTGTCCCACTGCGTGGAAGATTTTTTGACACCGTCTCATCTGTTTCCATGGTTCAGCAGATGCTTTGCGCAGCGGGTCTTGGGGCTTTGTCCAATAACAGTACTGACCTGCTCATCTCGTCTCTAGGGCTACGACTTGGACAACGAGAACATCCAATTACTCCGCCTGCGCAGTTTCACCATTGGCAAGCCTCTTGCCGATGAGGAGCTCCTAAGTCCCGAAGCGCAGGACAAAATTGCGACTTTCATTGGCATCTTGGAGCCCTTTGTAAGCTATCCCTACTAGTTCCCCCTGCTGGCTTCTCCGCTCTACCGCGCTTGCGTCTATTGGATCCTAGCCCCCCATCGTATCAGTACGAGGTCCTTTACACCCCTGTCCCCTCTTCGTCCCCTTCCCTCTTCGAGCCATTTCAGCGGTGTGGCTTCGGGCACGACGGCGATACCCACCTTTCCATCTGCTCTACTGAGGGGGTGGACAAGGATGAGACATGATTGAGATGTGGGAGAATAATCTTACTGACAGAGTGACGTTGTCACCTGATAGGTTACGTATCTGAACAGCGTCGTCATGCCCGATTCTGTGGAACTCGATGATGTCTCTGAGTCGGACGATGCAGAGTGAAAGGTCCTGTGTTCTGTCTTGGAGATGACGACAGTGTCACCAATTACGCTGAGGAGGTGTGTAAGTATTCTTTATTCTACAATTTTTCGAGTTCACTCCCGTCCCCTTCCAATCTGTCTCTTTGTTTATCGGGCTTTGTCCTCGCCCTGATATCCATGTTTCGGGTCGCCCCGTCCGTTGTACGTAACCGGCTTTCCCAAGCCTGTTGATGGGAGGAAGACTGCCCGGGATTTACATAGCCCTAAAAGGGCTCGACGGGTTTAGAGCTTTAAGCCCGAGCCATACACGCAATGACATGCGTTTTGTGTTTCTGTTTTTGTTTCCCTACAATGAGTCGTGTCCTGTAGATTCAATACGCGGAGGACAAGGTTTTTTTTTCCCTGCTAAGACCTCAGGCTGTCTCGTCCTAGTGCCGGCTCTTCCTTACCGCTACTCCCCCATCCCCCAATGACGGTGACCGCCATGTCCAATCCTTGGGCATGGACAAGGTCATAAGCCCCAGACCATGGTTATCCTGACGTGCATGGGATGATGGCCTGCTGTCCGCGCGCCGCAACCGGCCCGTCGGGCATCCCGTCAGCTCCACGGCTTTCCCCCATCTTCAGCAGGTAACGATATCCACATCCACCTGCACGCGGGCGAATCCGTCCATGGCGCTCACGAATCTCCTGCTCGCGATGTGCACATCAGCTCTGCATCAATGCCCAAACCTGTCAAACGCAAGACTACGCCCTTGTTTCACTCCGTAGTAGGCTGGGGCAGGGTGGGGAATCGGATTTTCGACGCACGATCCATTCCCTTCTCCTATTCCTGTTCCAAATGGCTGATCCCGCGTCCCTTCGGGGGGGTGGTCCATCGCCTCCCCCGCCCTTCTCGCCTCTCGTCATCGCGAAGGCGCAACGCAGAACGACCGGGCGGACACATCGTCCCCAGATGAGGATTCGGACGCTGCAGGCCGACTGCACGGCCGCCTTTGTCTGGCTAGAATAGATGCAAGCCATGAACTTTGTCGTTGTCGGTTGGCTATTGTGATTTGACTCGGCAAGATCCTAGTGGAACTTTCTGCTCAATAATAGTAGGCACGCTCATCCATGCCCTCCCCGAATTGCCTGATTCAGGATCGGAGACGATCATTGTTGGTCTCCTCAGTTGAGAGGTCAGATTTTTCCATGCCCTTTTCCGAGGAGTTCTTTTCTTTCCGTTTACCTACGGAGTATAGAGTGGTTGGCTGGTGGACGATGGTCAATGTAGAACAACTCCTTGAAAAGATGCTGTGTCAAATGTATCTCGCTTTCTTGATGGAGCTGATAATATCTGCGATGATAATGCAATTGACCTTTATATACGGAGTAGAGGTGGTGGTGAGGCGATGAGGGAGATCCATACTGTGCGGACATATTACCCTTCCAGCTATCGGCCCTCGACCTCCCAATCTGCATTATTGGCATCTGTGTTGACTGGATGTTTGGTACACCAATGCACAGTTTCTCGATCGTTCTCCGTACGTTTATTGTTGATGTGGTTGGTTGTCGCGATTTGTTGCGCCTCGTTATCGAACATACCTCGGGAGATTGTGTAGAGGCCTGGAAGAGCCTGATACACAGAATAACTATTTCTATTCAATCTAGCGTATAGAATGAGATATCTATATTTGTCCCTTTGACGACTGCCTCAGAGATGAGTTTCCGGAGGTCCCTTTGTGGGACAAAAGCAATATATATCTTGACCGTATCCGCGCACCCCATATCGAAATCCCTAGCGGAACGTAGAATGTCCAGGACAACCGACCGAGCAGTGATCAAACACTTTCGTGACTACACAAAGTCCATTGATGGTGTCATCATCACTGATATCAGATGTAGTGCGAGCACCTCAGGATCAGGACCAAGTCGAGGTAGAGTTCTCCACGCCGATAAAGGCTCAGTCTCCTTGCATACAGCGGCAAAACACCGGGCCCTGTTTAGGGAACTGACATCTGGAGAACGCGAAACTGAACCATGCGGGGGGACGCGAGTAAACTGGACATCAATGTGATACATCGATCGAGGGCTGTGTCCGGTCACGGCTCTGTCTACGACGGACGGAGATACCGCGGCACGGCAGGACCTAGGATCCATCTATTCGTCTGGAACGACGGCTTTTGGCTTCGAAATTAGATAGATAGATAGATAGAGAACAGCTCGAATCGACACCGTACGGAACAGTTGGGGGCGATCTTCCGCGCTTCGAAGCGCGTCTAGGTATGCGCCCCGTTTTCTCTAAACCTCTTTTGCTGGTTGAATCCCCTTCTGGCCCTCCCATTCCCGCTGGGGCAAGCGCATCAGTGCTAGGCCCTTTCATCTCTTACTCCGTACGCTTAAAGTTAGCTGAGGGCTCTGGGACCAATTATCCGGATCGTCAGTGGTTGTGGGGGCGTCTGTCGGTTGGTAGCGATGGATATCATGCGGCAGGGACCTGCCTGATCGCAACCGTTACTCAGCTTGGGCAGAGACCCCGGTCAGTCTTTGTTCTTGCGTCGGGGGCTGTGGGTTGTTGTCTGGATGACCGACCGGCCCCCTTCGCCACCTCGTCTCGATGGCTCGAAGAAGCAAGTGCTTGGATTGCGAACCAGAGTCTAAAACTAGAATAAGATTCCATCAAAATGGGAAAAGTATCCCACCTGCAAGCCCGAAGACGGGCCTAATCCCTAGAATGTCAGGCATCCATCACGATATCCGTTCGTTCCCCTACTTCCGAGTCTAACCTGTGCGATCGTCACGCGACGAACGAACATGACCTGATGGGAGAAAGCATGTACAACTGAATAGCCTCGTACAGCGTGTCACATCCGTATGCCGGGTCATCACATTGGTGTCTCCAGTTGATGCGCCCGGAGCCATCGGATGACTCGAGGTGGAATGAGGGAGGAGGATCGCGATGACGATAGTAAACAAACTGACGACACAGGCACCAGCCCAACCCGTCCAAAAATTGCAAAGACCAAGCTTGTGAGCCTAAAATGACAAGGCCGACAAGGTACCTACCAGGTACACCCTCCTGCTTTCTGGACACCGTAGTTTGTAGCTTTGTCCCGACCCGTCATCTGCTCGCTCTGCGCCCATGCACCACCGCGTTTTCTTCTCTCCCCTGTTAATCGAGGACAGCAAAGGAAAAATGATGGCCTGCCCTGGAGGGAAGGAGAGAGCACGGACAGGGCGTTTGGAGGAAGCGCATGCGTCTTCGGTTCCCTTCGTCGAACCCGCCTAAGCCCACCCAACCCAACGCAACCATGGGCCGTCGCCGTGCGCTTCCACCATTAGCCCGTCACCAAGTGTTCCGTACGCACGCACGTACGCCAGCCCAAGGCGGCAGATAAAGTAGAGATAGTCTTTGCGTCGGCGTGCTCTCATAGGCCGGGTTGAATCACGTGACTGAATCCGTATGCGGGCTAATCGATGATCACAGACGGCGGCGCCCACCTTAGCAGGCATTCTGTTTGGTGCGCTTCCTTTTCCTTTTCCCTTTTTTGTGGCATTCTTTTTTCTCATTGGGACTTCAATTTCCGTTTGCTTGTTTTTTTTTTTTTTCCCGTCGCCCCCTTCCTCTTGTGGACGAGTCAGCGCTATACCGGTTTGGCTGCTAAACGCCGCCATCAACGGGATAGCAACACCACCCCCGTCGCTTGTGGGAGGTGTAGACCATAAGTGGACAGGAGGATATGCACGTTGCCTGGGCGCCTGAGGATTCTGGCCGCAGAACTCGCTTGCGTGGTCGGTCGGTCGGTCGGTCGCCCCAAGAGGCTCGCCAGCTGTGTCGATGGGGCCCTCAGGATCTCGCTGACGGCCAAGGCGACTCGACGTTAGCTGAAGTGGAGCAGACTTCTGGAGATTCCGGAGACAAAGGGCCGGACGGAGCTGAGGATAGTCAGAGTAGGTCGACACTAGCCCGCAATTACCTGCGTGGTGAGTGGGTTTTGGCGGCAACGGAAAGACGCGGACGGCAATGCACCGCGCCGATTGGAACATCCTTTTTTTGATGGATTTTAATAATTAAAAAAACGTGGCAAGGGAGGGGAGGGAAGAGAGATAGAATAAAAAAAAAAAAATAATTAAAAAAAGCAGTAAGACTGCGCGAGGCGGTACGTACCGTGGAACCAGGTTACCGTATTGGTAATACTGCTGGAATTCGGTTTCGGTACCGTACGGAACGGAACCTGCCTTGTCTGCTAGGCACCAAAGAATTCAGATCGTGGTCATCTTCGTTAGTCCAGCCTGATATAAGTCAGGAATAAAGCAGGATGATGCGCCTAGTGGCTGTCTGGACCGCGGATCCAACGGGAGGAAATTGCAATGAAGATAGCTGATAGTGAGCGCGTCTTCGCACAGCCCCATCAAACCGGAGTTGCGTTGCTTGAGCGTGTATCACGTACTCCGATCACTGTCAAATTCGTCAACAATGCGAATCCATCGCATCATGCTGATGGAATCCTCCGAGACCACGTGTGGTGGTAGGATCTCTTGTGGAGGGAGGGAGCGAGAGATTATAGGAACCGGTGTTAATGGGGACGACTGAGGATGAGGCTCCTTTGAAATCCCGCCTAACGCCAATAACGCCGCCAGGAATATTTATTAATTACCTGGATGCATTCAGGGAAGGGCCATTCTGGCAAGAAAGTACCTGATCACCGGATTGAAGCACTGAAGCACGGAAGCCGAGCCCATCCTGGCCTGGTCGCATTTCACCGACATTATTTACTTCAACCTCATGCATAAAGATCGGCGGGAGTCGGGGCGGCCCGTCGTGGACATGTCCAGGAGACGACTAGCGACAGAACAGCCATTCTCATGAATGGTGGTTGCCCAACGCCCTGACACCAAGCACCTGCATCCGGATCACACCAGCCTCTTCCTCTGGTTGGTGTCTTCTTTGCGGCCGTCATCCCCCATCCTTCTTACCATCGCTGGTCAAGTTGAGAAGGCAATTTTTCTCGCGGCCTCTCCGGCCAGTCAATCACTCGACCAATTCTTCGTATCTCTCAGCAGTCCTTGTCTCACGTCAGGTTCTGAGATGGTGGACATCTCCTTCGGTATCAAAAGTCATCAAGCGTCACTCGGTCTTACCCAAGTCACACGATCGATGTCATGCAGCCCTCGAGTCCTTCCAACCAGACCTTACTCCGATAACAAGCCCCTCCGAGGACTAAACTAAATCTGAATCATGGCGGTGGGGGTTGAAGGGGCGCAGAGGTTTTCCCGTGTGATTAGGTTGCAGGAAGTTGAACTCCGGACGATGGAGGTGTGATGAGGACCACTTGACAGCAAATCGCATGCGTTGCCCGCGATTTCTTAACTTCCACCTAACCGTTAGCTCCCATCTCGCTCCCATGTGCTCGGTGGGGTTCTCTCGTCAAACTCCGACCACCACGGCCGCCGCCAGAGTTTCGCCCCGAGAGAGAACGAGATTACGCACGACACAAGGATTCTAGCCAGGTTCGCAACGGGAGTGATTGGCGCACCCGTCAGCAGACCCCGCAAACGAATCCCGGTTCTTGGATGCGATGCACGAAGACGTGACCAAAAAATATCGATTTCCTTTTTCTTCGCGCCCCGGCCGGCCGGCGGTTTCTCCTTTGAGAGACAAACGAAGCCAAGCTACGCTAATGCAAGTTACCATGAAGTGCCACCGATCGGGTCGGGTCAGGACAATACCCTCCTGGCGTCGTCCCAGGGCTGTAGCACCGGGAAACTTAGGGCCCTCCACCGGGAACCGCGCCCACTCTTTGCGCCCCTCTATTGATTCTATCTTCAGATGTCGACTAGTGGCGCTGAGATGATGATTTACCACATCGCGTCGCGGCCGGAACTACGGAGAATACTGAAGATGTCGTTGAGAAAGGGATGGCCTCGTTGGACAGTCGGTTTCCTTCTCTACTCCGTGTGAGAGAACAAAATTGCAGGTCAATCCGCACATGATTTGGCAAAAAGCTCTGGCTGATGCATGGACTCTTCGAGTAGCGTTACGGACGGACAATGTAATGGTTCTGTAACCATCAATTTGCCGACTGAGACACCCCCAATACAATCAACCAGGTATATCAGCATCGTCGTTGTCGGCCGCGGCGGCGGCGCTCTTCTCAGCTGAAAACAGTCAGCGGATCAGCTTCATCTCCCCACCATGACGATAAGCGTCGGGTCAATTCACCATCCAGCGTGGCCCATCGGGGGGTGGTCGTGAGCACCGACGACCATCACTGCCTCACCGCCTGAACCTCGTTTGCCCTAGCTCCCACCAGTCTCCACAGCCCAGGACAGAGAGATCATCGAATGCGTTGCCCCATATCCGCTCGAATCCACACTATACAAGAAACACGCCCCTCCCCTCCTTCATCGCCACTGCAATTCGAAGCAAATCGTGCTCATGGGGTTGACGGATGGACCTCCATACCTTCCAGTTGCAGTTACCACCGGTCTTCCGGATCCATGGAACGGTCGATGGACGGGGTGCGCCGATCCAATCAACGGCATAAGGTACATACGGAGTAACAATACACACTCACCGCACTTGTATCACCGGAACCGATCATTGTCCCCCCTCATCAGGGGAGGACCTCCCTCTGTCCCATGCACTCAATAGTGATAATCAAAATAATCAAAAGGGTCATCCGACGCCAATCAACTGTCGTGCGACTACGGTTCGGAGCGCTCCTTTCCTTGCTGGATCCAACCAGCACCCAGCCCTCGATTTCTTGAGGATTGTCCTTGTGCATCCAGAAATCCAATCCCCTTGCGGCTGTCGCTTAAAGCCTTGAACGGACCACTTGCATCGTTCTTTTCTGAAGCCCCCAAAATTCTAATCGCTTCTGCGGGGTCAATCCTGTCTCGCTCATCTTCCTTCTCGTCCTCCTGACCTCTCTGGGTCTCGTATCACTAGTCTGGGAGTCTTGAAGTGAAGTGGATTGCTGGTTACCGGCACGGACAGAATCCATGGGAAGGGCCGCTGCCCGGCTCATCAACCCACGAATCCAGCCCCGTATCCCTGTCCTCGGGACGGGTATGACGACACGGCACCGCACCAGCACTTCACCTACCAACATCGTTTACCTTACAGGCAGAGTAAACATCCGCAGACTTACGTCGGTGTTGGTCGGGATTGTGGTCGACTATCATATCCCAACTATTGAACAGAACCGGAGCGATTGTTCTGGGAATTAACTAACAAGAACCTGCGTGATCCGATTGTATACTCTTATGTACTGTCCCGAGCCAACCTCGACTAAGTGCTGGAACATTATCGCGTGGGCGTAGGTTGAGACCCCTTCTGGACGCATATGAGGATGATCAGCATATGGAAGCAGATGAACCAAGTCCGGCGTCTCCAAGATCGGACGCATGAATCACGCGACCGCAGATTCGAGCATTCCATATGCATTGCAACGCAATGTATACCACCTGCCCATTGACAAGGCGCTAGATCGTGTGCATCTGTCTGGGGCTTAAGAAAATCCTCCCAAAAGGTCCAGTGCGTTTGTCCCCATGTCCCTTGCGGACGGGCTGGGCCGTTCGCGAATTGATCCCCCGATCGCCGGAATGCAAGGGATCCTGCCGCGCATGAGTACGGGTTGATTGGAATGAGGTCCCGATCGATCCGGGGCGATTTAGACGAGATGCGACGCTAAATATTCAATATCATGAATGGAGCCTTGACTTCTCCTCGGTCGGACTCGGTTCGTAGCCGGTCGGAGATTCAATTCTTCATGACTCTTCTGGTTATGCACGGTGCCGAAGATTCCAAAATTGGTAAGTGGTCTAATAGGTGCAGTGGTCTCTACAAACGAGCGGCGACACGGCCTGCGATGGGTGAAGGATCAGTGTGGTAAGGTACCAATGCAGAAGTAATCGATATAGGACGATTTGCAATCTAGTCCATGGCAGGGCTGTTTGCTTGACTCGTTAACCCCTACCTTTCCATATGTATGTGTGTCCCAATCGAGGTTGGTTCCCCGAGAAGGCACCCTGTCGGCTCCCTTGATAGCCCAAATACGGCGGGTGAACGAGCCGCTGCATGCACGCGGGCGCTACTGCGAGGCGCACATACCGTACCCGTATGTATGTACCGTCCAGGGAAGCTTCCCAAGCGGTATGGACAAGATAGCATCATGGATGGTTGAAGGAGAGAGGAGTAAGCAGCGAGGCACCCACTTCGACGGATGAGCCACTACACCCCGTTCGAGAATATGCTCCGTAGGAAAATAATAATAATAATAATAATAATAATAATAATAATGGAACCCCTGTGAGCAGGAAATGATGATATACAGTGACAACAACAGTTCCTCCGAATGCTGGTACACTAATCGGTCCCCAACCACGGTTCACAGCGCCCTCCATCAAAACCATGTGTCGTTTAGACTGCCCCGGCCGAGAGCAACGGAAATCCCAGCAACCGGGCTTTGGGCCTTCCATTTTTCCTCGATCTTTGGTACCCTTATCCCTAGTGCAAATTGAGGACACGAGGCGGCGGGGAATCGAAGAGGGGCAGGACAAAGGGATGAAGGTGGGACGGTCCTGAGCAGGATTGTCGTTTGTTTCTCCCTTTTGTGCTGTGTTGGACTCGTCCGCTTGAGGTCCTGGCCGTATACATCCAAGCTTTTGCTGCCTGTCAGAAATTAGTGTAACGTGAAATGCGGAGTTTTCTTCTAGCAAACTCCCTGTCTGCAGATACCAACGGAGGCCGCATGACAGTGGTGATTATTAATCTTCTGCAGGTCTGCATGACTGTGTATGTACGGAGTATGGGAGGATTTAGTGCGCAGCACCGCCTGTGGTAGGGCTCTTTTTTTCCTTTCGATTCTTTTTCGCCATCCACGGGCCGTCAGCCCCTCTTTCCTTTCTACTCGGGCATTACCCGGGGTGGATCCAGGAAGTAGAATCCCTCTCCCCGAAGGGAACCATGGATGTTGGTGAAAACGAGGCTTAAATGCCGGCGTATTGCCTACGTATGGTGTCTCACTCTTTATTTGGGACATGAAGAAGGATCTAGGAGAACGCCGCTGCGTGAGGATGGGGCCTGATCCTTCTGCGTCGAAAGTGGCCTTTTGTCCTGCTCTTTAGGTACCTACCTACTGCAGGCCGTTCCCATCTAGGTACAGTACGCAGACCAAAGCCCCAAACCCGCAGCGGCTCATGTACTGAAACTGGGATAGCTCGATGTGTGTCAGCCGCAGTCATACGAACTTTGGAAAGGGCTGGTGTGGCGAGGTTTAAAGAAAGAAAAAAAAAGAAAGAAAGAGAGTAAATGAATGAAACTGATTTCTTTTGTTGTTTAATATCAACATCTGTAGCGTACACTTATTTCGTAGGTAACTTAGGTAGCTAACTACCTAGGTATTTACCTAGGTATCTAGGTACATAGTAGGCACCATAAGTCCAGATAAAGTACCGGTATGGTCCGCCATACCAATGTAATTACCAGAATAATTAACCACTAACTCGGCCAAGCTGCAGGAGCAGTTGATTTTTGGGCATGAATTAGCGAATGATAAAACCCAGAACGAACCCACCAGCTGGAGACGGAAGGTCGGTGGAGGTCACGGCGCCTTTACCCGTCCCGGCGTATCCTCAGGCAGCTCCGTCATGCGGCGTCATTTCGCGTCTTTGGACAAACCTAGCCCCTCTTCGGGCTCTAGACTCCCCATAGTTGCGCCCCGAGTGGCCGGTGGGCCCTGCCAAACGCCCAACCCGAAGGGCCTCCGACGATTCAGGTGATCCCCATGGAACCATCAATACTTTAGCTGCGTCTTAGGAGACTCCCCGTCCATGTCTATGGGTCGCTGGCGTGCTGGACAAGGGTCCACCCATGCCTGCGGACCGTTCTTCTCCCTCTCCACCCGTCTTCATCAGTCCCAGCCTACAGAAAATAGATCTTCCATGTATCTGGTGAAATTTACTACGAAATGGAATAGTAATGTGTAGCATATGTTTCTTGTCCTCTTTTCCTCTTATTCCTGCATATTGGATGCTGATCATCCCCATGTTCGCTACCAACCTAGGTAGCCATCCTATCATCCCCAGTCCAATATCAGCCATCGCCGGGTGATAATATCGGCTTTCCGAATTCTCATTCGAGCAACGAATTAATTAACTACCCGCGTGCTTTGTCCATGGGAACCAATGAGAGTCGCCTATCCCATCCAAGCCGATACTTCAGATGGAAACGCGGCCACGAGGATCCTTTTCTGGCGAAGAGAAAATTCCGGACGGACGGTGAGGATTGCAACCCGCAATGGTTCCCAATCCTCGCGGCGTCCCCAGTTTCGACCCATTCGACCCAGAGGATGGTCTGTTGCATCCCTTGGGCGAGATCTCCATCTGGCGAATCTTCCCGCCTTTCCGCTTTCCGTCAGCCGTGGGCCTCGCACCCTGCGTCTCGTGTCGCTTTGACGCGCTTGACCCAACCGTTTTGCCTCCCGGACGGACCGGCGAGTCGGCGACCCAAAGAACCATCGTTATTTTTTTTTGACTGGGTCCCGGTTTGAATTATTGGCCTTAGTATGGGTTTTTCCTAGCCTATGAATTGGCATGGTTTAGCTAGCACCTACTCCGTACTGGAGTAGAGAGTACGTAGTCCATCGCTCTGCACGCATGTCGAGCTGAAAGGGGAGAGGGTAGAATAAAATTCTGAGCAGAATCTAATCTCATCATTAGGCATGCACGACTGGCTGGAACGAGTTGAATCACCTCCGTCTTCGTGCGTTTGGCTGTATCCAATCCGGCCATCTATCAATTTTAGGTTTGGCAACTATTCATCGCTGAGTGAGATTATTACCGCTGCTGCTTTCCATTGGATTGAACTTCTGCAAGAATAAGATGTTGTCATCTTTAGACCTCTTCATCTGTGCCAGGCATGCATCTCCTTCGCACTTTTGTCACATGGAGAAGTGTGTTTTGCCCCCTGCAGAACACTATCAGCTGTCTATTTTAGTCGAGCCCCGTAGGTGGGCTACCTTGCCCGATATGATCTTCTTGTCTTTCACTCCTGGGAGAAAGGGAGGTTTCAAAGGGAATTCCGTCCGCGGTCCAAATCCCCCAGATTCTCATCAACTCCTTGACTGCTTAATGTACTCCGTATACTGAGAGTGACGCGTTGCATCGCACATATCTTCTAACTTGTTGAAGCTCCGCCAACTAGTACCTTTGTAACAATAACACATTTTCATTTCTTTTCCTTGACTTGCCGAAACCCACTTCTTGATTGTCTCTGCTTGGCTTGCTCTTCATCCTCGGAAGCAGAATTTGGTACCTTGCTGCCCTACCAGGTATTTATTACAAACAACCGAGACAGAAAAGAAAAAGAAAATAAGAAAATAATTTTTATTAAAAAAAAGAGCAGAATTTGGAGAGCAAAGGAAAAAAAATCCAACGCTCACGTCATAACCAAAATCCCCGAGGCTCTTTCTTTTCTCTTTCTTTTTTTTTTTTTTCTTTTTATAATTTTCTTTTTCTACCCTTTGTCCCTTTTTATTTTATTATTTTTCATTTTATTTCTATTTTATTATATTTTTTTTTTTTACGTTCCCCCCCTTCTATCCCACCTACTTTACCTACCTATCCTTTTCGGACTGACCCTTGTTAATTTGACCACCTCGACATCTTTACCGCCTCTCTTCCCTCACTCTGTTTTTTCCCTTTCTTTCTCATTCCTCCATCGACAAACTTCCCCCCCTGGTCGTTTTTCTTCCAGCTGCCGTCGCTCCCGCCTTCTTCGCTTCCTCCTGCGGATTTAGGTCTTATTATTCCACCTGTTAATTCGATTTTTCTCTTCCAATTGTCCTTCCGGTTTCTTCTCCTCCACCCCGGCTTCAGCGTGACCACGAGGCTATGCTAGTCTTGCACATCACCCGACGGGAACTGGAAGACTGTTTTTGATTTGACCTCCGATTCTTTCTGACTGGCTTGGACTCCGCATCTCCATCCTGGTCGCCTTGTACACGCACGCACGCACACACACCACTTCCTCAACTTCGGCTCGTACCTCGACCGGTGCCATACGCCTCGTACCATACGCTTACGTATCGTTACCGCATCCACCGCCGTACGTACGACATACATACGCTCCATCCGCTAACCACGACCTTAAACACGATCCGTTCCCTTCCAACCGCATCCAATCCTTTTTCTTCCTCTGCCATACGGACGGACAGACAGGCGTACATACATACATACACCACACAAACACACGCACGCCAACAAACACACCCCTGCTTGCCCTGCTCCTTGGCTCTTCGCCGAACGACCAGCGGATCCGACGTGACTCTCGACTCACATCATCCTGCGTCTGTCCTTTTTTCGACCCTTCCCACCCCCGTTCCGGTCCGTTCTTTTTAAAGCAGCCGTCGTCACCCTCCCTCTGCTACCCAATGTCCAGCAATCCCCACGATTACAGCGACCCTAATCGACAGGGACAGTATCCACCACCTCAGTGGAACACTAGTCAACCTGAAGAGAACCCGTCCGCTCATTATCCGCCGGCCTCTCAATATCCTGTATGTTGATAACATCCTCTTCCTTCGTTCAGATTCCTGCGTCATCGTGTCCCTACTTCTGTCTACAACTTCAATACCTCGTCATTGCCTCCTCTGCTTGCTTCTCTTCCTATCGACTGACTCCAATCTTTTCCTCTTTCTCCTCTCCAGTATCCTCCGGCGTCATATCCTCCTCCCACGGCAGACCATCAATATCCTCCACCGCCTCAATCCCAATATCCGCCCCCGTCCAACATGGCCGCCATTCATCCGCACGTCCAGGGCCCCCAAGATCCCTACCGGCTCCCGCCCCCGCCAGGTGCTTACCGCCCTCCGGACATGTATGCACAACAACCCCCGCCGCCTACTGTCGTCTATCAAGCTGCGGCCCCCCGCCAGCGCACTGCCATTGCCTGTCGCTACTGTCGGAGACGGAAGGTATGTTCTATCTTGGACTCCTGTGAGTTGCATGGTCTCGGTTGACTCCAGTCATCTGGCAGATTCGGTGCTCGGGGTTTGAGAACTCGCAGGATGGCCGTTGCAACAACTGTATCCGCTTCAACCAAGAGTGCATGTTCACCCCGGTCTCCTCGCAAGCGCAAGCCTTCGTGCCCGCCCATGCCGCGTATCCCCACTTGAGGAATGCTCAGAACCAAGGTCGTCCCGGCGCTGGAGTCATGCTGTACGGTGCCCACGGCCAGCCTCTTCCTCCGCAACAACAACCCCAGCCTCCCGAGTCGACTCTCCCTCCGCCGCAAGGAATGTACCAGCATCCATATGGAGCTGCACCCCCACCCCTTGCCTCTGTGCCTCAGGAGCCGGTAAAGCTACCCTGCCTATTCCCTGTCCGACAGGGTCGCCTGGCGTCGTACTAATTCTTAAAATATAGCGACCCATTGGCCGCCGCGGTTCCAGCTCCGGCTTCGAATACCCGGATCCTACCAACCTTGCTCCCGTTACTCCCGCCACTTCGACCCCGGGCTACCAGCCACACCCTGCTCCTAGCCCATACTACCCTCCTCCGCCCCCGAACGACCGACGCCCTTCCCCGCAGGGTTACCCTTACGACAGCCGTCATTCGGCCTCTCCACATAGCTCCCCCTACCCCCCATTGCACCCAGCCCAGGGCGCCATGACCCCCCCACCTACTTCAACACCTACCAGTTCCTCCCGCGCAGGACTGAACGTCCGTGATATGCTCAATCCAGGCGATAGCCAGGGTCGCTCCAGCACTGACAGCGACATGCTCAACGCTTTGAACCGACGCGGGTTGAACCAATAAATACCGATTCCTCTTCGCACTGGATACGATGACGTCATTGGATGTCAATCGCACCAAGAGGATGAAGGTGTCAACGACCGACGATGGGTCATCGCGGGGCTGGAAGTGGAGGATGTACGATCGAGCTGATTGTCGCGAAAGGCTTGTGTGCTGGCCACACGGGTGTCTAGCATGCCTTGTGCATACGCTACAGACCTGGGCGGTGGCAGTTGATAGATGGAGACTGTTTACGACGAGTTCGAAAGGCAAGATTTGCGAGTGTCCCGATTACACGGCTGGCGAGAAGTACGAGTTGACGAACGAAATTTCGATTCGAAGGCACGCGATATCCGCGTCGTGCATGTGGAAAACGCAAACGAGACACCCCGGTGGAGACGAAGTTAATGAAAAAAGAAAAAAAAAAAAATATTTTTACGCCAACAAAACCGACGATATGAGGCCATGGAAACGAGAAGCAAGAGTCTTTATGAGATATACGATTTGGATATTGGATTGCTCTGCTATGGTTGTTGATTTACTGTCAGTCACGATCTACGCCTCGGACTGCAGTCGGTTCACGTCAGGCAGCTGCAATCCCTATCTACGCCCTCTTTTATTCCTTTTCCGATACACCACCACGGATCTATAAATTATTTGGGGCAACCCACTAATGCACTTTTTCTTTTGCTGTTTGCGTCTTTCATGAATTGGATGCTCACACGGTCCGGCATGGTGCTCTCGCATGGTTTGCGAAGGTATCTCTACGAAACGAGTCCTTGCTCGAGCTTTCTTCATGAGAACGATGGCACGATTTGAACACGCCCAGTTCTCGCATGATTATTTCTGCTGGTTGTCCACAAGCAGCTATTCTACAACCTGCGCCAGGCAACCGCTGGGCTGTCTGCCATCCCGTGGAAGTAATGTGGACGGGCGTTGTACGCATTGAAAATGGATGGCTCTTTGTCTCTTGACCATCACGAAGCGAAATATGGTGTGGGTTTCTGCTACAATTTTTTATGTTCCGAGTTTTCCTTGAACTGTTTCGCAAGGGAGTTTACTCCTACTGGCGGCGATTTCTTTGCGTTCTTTCTCACCTTGCACTGTTCCAATACATCTCGGGAGGTTTTCTGTCTTGCGTTTCATGCCTGATGTGCTTCTTTCTCGGACTTGGGTTGGCTTGAAATGCTTGTTCACTATTGGGTTATGGTATTGCGCCTTCATGGGAAAAAAGGCGGTTATCTTTTTTTGTGTTTCCAACCCATGCTGTTGTTTTGCCCCTGTTTTCTTTTTCTTTTTGTTCTGGGAGGCTGTCTGATCAATTTTTCTGTTTTCATGACCTGCAAATTACACTTCACGCGTTTGCTTTTGGCCGTTCTCAGCATCTGTGCATATTGTCTGTTTTGTCTGTGTCTATTGATATCAAGGTATATTATGTCTCATGGTATGACGAGTCAATACTCTCTATTACCCGTGAAGTCCATGGGACAAGTCTCCGCGTAGTCCAGCTGGAGGTACCAACTACCTAGTACCTAATCAGAGTGTATTGCATTCTCTCCATACACCCTCTACAGCTCTGCCTCATCAACCTTACGGAGTACATGATAGATAGAACCTGGCTGGTACGTACGGAGTACAGTCTCGGAAATCATATCCATCCTCCACACCGGTGGGACCCGATCCACCGACTCGGCCATTGGCCTATCTTGACCGGCAAACGATGACCGCATGCTGATACCGGAATTGCTCTCCAGGATGCAGGTCTGGTGCGTGCACGTGATCGTTCCTCGCCCTAATATTCATCCGTTGCAGGCAGACAGGATAAGGCAGTGGTCTACTCCGTAGATGCGTATCTAGCCATGTATATGGGGAAAGATGGATGATATTGAATTAACAATTAACGCATTAACCTCGAGAGAATCTTATGCTAAAGAAACTAGCTCTATCCTGCCGTTACTCGCGCCGAGGGCAGAATACTACCTAGAGAGGGTTGATGATGCATGCAGCGAAACAGGCACGCTATCCTGAGGAACGGGAAACCCACAAACGACAAACGGTACAAAAGAATGAATGGAGTCCAAGGAAAGTGTGGAAAAAGACAGATGAGTATGATGCTCATTTCGCTGAGTGTGAATGAATGTCTGTTCTGGAAATCCAGCGGTTTGGAAGGAGTGGATGGTGATGGGAAGGAGAGGGTTGAGAAAGCGGCTGGATCATATGGTTCAACGAGCGTGGTGACTTGGTGTGTATGTAGAAAATGAGTAAATGCAACAAACGACCAAAGGAAAAGAAGAGATCGTCTGATCCAGATCCAAATCCAAGGATCTTCTCAAAATGTCAAAACGCAGATGGTCCGCAGATGCTTGAAATGCAGGTCAACCATGCCATGCAAAAACACAAAGCAAAAGGAGACAAAATGGGCAAGGAAGGAAATCAAGATGGTGCCATCACGGGTCAGGAAATGCATCCAGGATCCGGGTCATCTTCCTGGCGCGGGATGGATCCTCGACGATCAGGGCGCGCTGCCTCATCACGTTGTAGAGAGTGTCCACAACCTTGTGGAAAGATGAGGCTGCGCCGCGCTCCTGGCGGAAACGGACCAGACTGATATTCGCCTGACGGCCGTGTTCGAGGACGGTGTAGAACTCCGCCGAGAACTCGACGGGTCGTAGACGGAGGACTGTAGTGGATGGTCAGTTGCTGCTGGACGCGGATGCTTACAGCATAGGAAATGGACTTACAGTTCACCTCGCCCACTTTGCCGTGGATAATACTGTTGGCCTTGTCCAGGTACACCTCCTCCAAGCCGTATTGCTTCCACTTGCGCAGGATCTTGTACACCTCCTTGCGGGCCTTCATTTTCGACGCATTGAGCGCGACCACTCTCGTCGCCGGTTTGAAGTGGAATACCCGTGCGAACCAGTTCTGGCTCTTGCCTTCAGCCCGTGGCCGCGCGGGGAGAGGCTTATGCTGGTCAACCGGCCGTTCTGCAGGCTTCTGACGGATGAGTGTAGATTCGGGCTCTGCGGTTTCCGTTTCTGCAGCCTTGTTAGATAGAGAGGAGCTGGGGCGGGCTGCGTATGACGCACCTGTGAGAGGCTCGGGTGAAGACTTGTTGGCTTTCTTCTTCATGAACTTTCGGAAGAAGCCCATCTTGGGCTTCTCGGTATCCTCCTTGTTGTTCTTGACGGTTTCATGGGGCATGCTCATGCAGTCCTCAGCCAAGGGGTGGACTTCGTCCACGGCAATGGTTGTGGCGACGGGTTGGACTGGCTTCTGGTCCACAGGGCTTTTGCTGGGAGTCTCAGTTGGCATCTGCGTCTTATTTCTAAACCACGGCCATTTCTTCGTTTCTGTGGCCCGCGTACTGGCGCGCTTTGGTGTCACGGGAACTTCTGCAATCGGGTCCAGTTCGCAGGGCTGTCTTCGGGACAGACGGAGGTTGGGGGAGTCGACGTTCGTCGGGCCCTTCTCATCCGACGGCATCAGCTTGTATCCGCCATGCGTTCGCTGTGTGCGGTTGGCGGTGGCTTCCTTGTGTTTCTTGTACACTTCCAGAGGTGTGGCATCGCCCATGGACTGCAGGGAGCTGTGAGGGACCATCCGAACGGTTCTCTTGCGATAGCGACTAAGGCTATTGGGCGGGGCATCGGTGGTAGAGTGAGATGAATCTTGAGAGCCGGTGTGCGTGTCGTTGACTTGTTTGCCGCTATCTGTGGACTGGTTGTGCTCTTCTGAAATGATAGGGAGTGGTTTGGCATCAGAGCCTCGTCTGATGAACGAGCTTCCAGAGGACCGGTCTCGCCTGTCCCGCTGTCGTAGCTTGTCCTGTTCGATCAAACGATCTAAATGAGTGATGACCGTAACGAGATAGGGCGGAATCTCGTCAGAGCCATCCTGCGTCGAGTGCTGGATGAGCTTCTGGCGGGTTTCAGTCAGAGAAGCGCCATAAGATGTAGGTGATGTGGGCGATGGCGATGTCGCTTGTCTCTTTGGGGTACCGGCCGTGGCCTTGCGCGGGGAAGATTCTGGTGACGCGATGGAGACAGATGTTGGAGGCGTCGACGCCGTGGACGTGCTGGCGGTGCAGTTCGTCGACGCGGATCCCCCATTGAATGCTTGCTCACAGATCTGGCTAAGCTCGTGCGAGACCTTGCGCGCGTCATCTTTCCAGATGATGTCGGAGTCCCGTACTTTCCTCGGCTGGGAACAGCTCTTGATGGTGACTCCTGCGCCGCGTACAACGGTAGGTTGGGCCGGGAGCATAGGGCTGCTCTCTCTATCTGCGAAGGGATTGCCATTGCAGTCGATATCCAGACTGCTCTGGCTTGGTCGCTTCTTAACGCTGTTCATAGATGCATACGCCATCTTTTGCTTGCTAGACAAGGAGCTGTGTGAGCGATTTCGGACATGTTGGAAACAGACATTTCGCTTATAGCTGAACGACTTGGGCGTCGGCGGAGCGTTCATGGTACGTCGCAGACTAGAATGGGATGTCCGTGTTTGGAAAGACTTGATGGAGGTCAATTTCGACTTCTTGTTTCGTATGATGGCAAAAGGAGAACTAGGAGGTTCGTCGTCCTCGAATTCATCCACCTGCACATAGGGCTCTGGGGGTGCCTTGGTTTTAACATGCGCCTCTTCATTGAGCTTCTTGTTGATGATTGCTGCATGAACCAATTGAGAATCTTTCTCAACGGCCTCGTCCTGGTGGGAGCGGAATGGGTCGCAGACCTCCGTGGAGGAGACCTTTACCTCCTTGATTGACTTTTGGTCCTCTCCGTTGTCTTTCACACTAGATAGTCCGCCCCTTCTCTTGGCCACGCGAGGTCGGTGGCTATTGCGGTTGGACGCACGGCGTCGTGGGCCTTTCGAGATATGGTGGTAATCACTAGCCGAGTACTCGAGAGGCTGTCCTTGGTAGTTTTCGAGCTGCTCGTTCCGGAACTTGACCAATGCGTTATAGAACATGCGCTCGTAGGTTGGTCTGAACAGTCAGTCACTACATCATACAGGTAGGATCAAGATTTTTACGTACTCTGGTTTCAACAGTCGTTCGATCAGCGCGTCTGGCTTCACATCGTGCCACAGCGTCTGGAGGTTCCTCAACAGATCCAAATCGATATCGTGTCGGTTCGTCACCAGGGGGCCACAGTCTTGAGCCGATAACGGTGGGGGAGGCCCTATATAGTGATTGGCCATCGCTTGGTGCAGCTTCTCATATTTCTTGAGCAGAGGATGTGACCACATTTCGAGCATAGTAATGCGGTCTTCGGGTCTTTTTTGCAGAATTCGGTCAATGAGGTCGGCAGCCTCGTCGCTGAGTTCCCGCGGCATATAATACTCCCCTTTTTTCACCAGACGCAGGGTGTTGGCGAGATCACCTCCGTCGAAAGGTAAATATCCGGTCAGAAGAGCATAGAGAATGATGCCACAGCTCCATATATCGGCCTTGTCGCCGCGGTACTTCCGGCCGTAAATGATTTCTGGCGCGGCATAATGGGGGCTTCCGCAGGAGGTGTTGAGCCAATGGCCCTCCGGTTGGAGTGCGGCCATTCCAAAATCGGCGAGCTTGACGTTGTGCCAACCGTCCAACAGGATGTTCTCTGGTTTCAGGTCACGATGGCAGATATTGAAGCGGTGGCAGTATCCCAGACCAGCGATGATCTGACGGAATAACCGAACTGCTTCTTCCTCTGGGAGAGGCCCATTGTTCGAAACGTAGTCGAAAAGTTCACCACCCTCAACGTATTCCAACACCAGATATCTGCGTAATTTCAGTCAGCCGTCGCTTCCAGAGCTGCCGAAGGGGGTAGACCTACAATTCTCCCCTGTTTTCCCACACATCATACAGACTGATCACGTTCTGGTGCTCAATCAGCTTCATGATAACTACCTCGCGCTCAATGCCAGAAGGCATGGGCCGCGTGCCTGTGTTGCTGAAAAGGCCGATGTTGCGATCCATCGCAGCGATACTTTCACTCTGGGCAATTGCGGCCGACTTCTTCGAGACGATCTTGATAGCGGCCGTCTGTCCAGTCAGTGCGTGTTTGGCAAGCCTCACACGCCCTGTGGAACCCCGTCCCAGCGTACGCCCCAGCTGCCATGGTCCAACGTGGGTTTTTCTCTTTCCTTTACTCGACACGATCGAGGCTGCGGAGAGGGCTGAGTTGCGGTTCGACTCCGCCTGAGAGTCGGCCACGGGAGAGAAACAAGCGACGTCTGCATTTCCCTTGGTGGATTGTGGGCTGGTGACAATCGACATTGGTTCCGGGGTCGGAAGGCGGTTCTGCTCTGCTTCGTAGCGTTCCTCCTGTTCAGATCCCGGGGGTTGGCAGTAATTCAGTCTATTGGTGGCATCGGAGAGCGGAGGACGCATTGCCTGTTTGTTGTTGAGGAAGATGCCTTTCTCATCCATTACTGGGCTCGACCCAGACGATTATGACGCGATGGCGCTTGCGCAGAACATAAGGGTCGGTTTGGCAATTGTTTGTTTCTTTTTTGCTCTTGTCTGTTTTGTTGATGGTAACGACTTGACTGGGATGGGTCAGACTCTGTATAGGACGCGTGTTTGTGTGATCTGACTGACCTCCGGACAAATGAGAGACGTGGGATGGAGTCGTTGTGCCCCAGGATAAATGATGTCACTTAAATGAGGACAACGCGAAGATGTCCTAGTAGAAAGGAAGATATACACCAAGCAAAAGACAAGATGAACGGTAATGAATGGCTGATCCTGCACGGGTTTTCTCCTTCCCTAGATTAGTCGCTTCGAAGCCATCGATCAAACGAACAGAAACACGAGTTAAGGAGCGTGAGGAGGTCGGGTTAACAAGTCGAGAAGAAAGCAACAGACTCTCGGACAGCGCTTGTCGAGTGGTGAAGGATGGTCCGAAAGAGAGCGTGGGCTGGAAAGAGACGACAGGCCCAGGGAATTGCCCAACAGGCGGGAGGGAAGGTGGTTCGACCGAATTGGCGCATACCGTACGAGTGTTCGAAGGCCGTGGAATGGGTCGAGAGTTGTTTGTTGTGTGTTGAATTCCAGAGGTTCCCCCGGTACTGCATAGTGTGGAATGCACCAGGACCATGGTCATCTCCGGCTTCTCAATGTTGAGCCCGTTGATATCTTTCTTCCGGCATGTTTTGCAGGCCGTCATTATTCGTTAAATTCTGATTCAAAAGTTACTTCTGTCGTTGAACTCTATGGGTGGTGCCTGTGTTGAGATGTTGTCTTCCTCGACATCGATTGCAGTGGGGATTATGGATGCATTGGGAATGTCAACACCCAAGTGAAGGGGTTACGAAATCATAAACCTCCCAACTTCGTCCCCTTCGACCCATGATCTTCACATCCGTCAAATCTACCAACCCCCATGGCACTTGCTCGTGTGACAGCGGGAGAGCGTCGAAGTGGTCTGGCGTGGTTGGAGCCTCTGTGGCTGAGGACCGTCAACATTCCCCCCTTGAGGATCCCAAGAAAGGGGGGAGGCTCCATCTCGCAGACGACTCAGCTATCAGAGGTCCCTGGATTAATTGCGTGGGTATGCCCTTGGGTTTAATCAACCGATCGCCTACAAATGGGAAGCGGAGTCCGAATCAAGGGCGGTCATTTTGCTAGTTGATAACACCGCGCCGGCCACATTCCTCCCACGCACTCGTTATTAATCACGCTTAATTACGGGGTACTTGATGGCTTGAAGATGGCAATTGAAGTTCCCAAGAATAATTGGCAATTTTAATCGATAGCCAAGTTCTTACTTCAGCAAAGAGATAAAGGCCCGTAAACAAATAAAAGGCATAAAGTACTGACGCGACCCCGGATATGCAGCCCAGTATGCAGGTTACAAAAACGTGGGCGTTGTCTCACTTTCGCCCCATCCGCAGAATTCTTTAATCGCTCTCCATTTCTCAACCCGGTCTCCCTCCTGATGAAAAGATTCTCACCAATGCTCCTCCCCGATTGACACCTCGTCCACGTCCACGCCATCTACGAACCACCTCCCCTCACCATTCCCGTCCGGGCCCAAGAGCACGTCGTTCCCACTCATCATGCGCTTCCGCATCTTCCCCGTCGCCCGATCAAAGGTCCAGTCCTCGAGACCGTAGCAACGCTTCCAGCGCATCCCATCCTCGATATCCTGGTACTCATACCAGAACTGGACGGCAATGCGATCGTCCGTGAAGGAGAAGAGTTCTTTGCGGAGGCGATAGTTGGTCTCCCGATTCCATTTGGCCGTCAGGAAAGCGACGATTGCTTCTGTTCCAGAAAAGAATGAAGTGCGATTGCGCCAGATACAGTCGGGCGTATATGCCTGAGCAACGCGAACGGGGTCTCTGGTGGAATGTGGTCAGTGTGCGATTGGCGGAATCTAGTTCCAGGACCGGGACAGGGGCAAAATGTGTGCTCTGGGTGTCACTTTCTGGACGGATCAATAGGGAAGCGGGCGGTGTTGGGAGAGACAGCCACGAGGCAGTTGCGTAGCTTGTCATGCAAGGGGGATGGTGGGGGGTTCATTCCACATGCCAGGGCCAGATGGATGCGCAATTTCAAAATATAAAGAACAATCAGAGGGCAAGTAGAAGCCATTGGATAAGGCAGCTACTCTCTAGGAAACGGGTTTGATGGCAATAGCTTGGACGCTTACTTGGTGTTCCAAAGATTCTGCGCGATCTTGACCTTGGCCCTGGCGGATTCCGCCGTGAAGGGAGGTCTGATATCGGCCATTGTCTTGAGCTCAAGGATGAGTAGCGAAGATGTTTAATTCTAATTATCAGTAAAAGTAGATTTTTGGTACCATCCGGTTGACTGAGATGTCGAGTGAGATCTGACGTGGGAAGACATGTAGTTCAGATTGTCACGTGCGTCTAGACCATAGGCTGATTAGTGTCCATAAACGTCTTAGTACTCATTGTAGAATAGTACAATTTAGCACGAATACGACTAGATGGATGGATGAATTAGGTATATATAGATTGGTAAGTGCTATGTCTACCTGATTGTTGCAAGTAGCAAGGATGGACTACGCCTCCACCCACGACAGATATATATTTCCTCCTTGAAGGAATCCAAAGTACCTTACAGATTCTACCCTATTACTAAAACACCCAAATCTTGATGGATTATCAAAGGACGATCGATTCTCATCACCCTAGCGACTCCACATTATCAGATTGCGATTCCTAAGAGAGTGTCTAGACTGTTGGGAGTTAGTCAGCTCCAGTCGCCACGAGAGAACCAAATCTTATCTGATGATCGGGCCAACATCCGAGGCCAATACCCGACCCGAACAGACCACTGAAGATGATGATTCATCTCGATCGAGAATGGATCAAGACGTCAGAGGAGAATTCTCGGGGAAGAAAACAGATTCCCCGCCACTTCCGTCGGCGGTGAGACCCGGAGGGTGCTGGTCTCTCACATCACCGGCCGAACATGGAGAGGATTTCCGCACCTCTTTTTGGAGGGATGGGGGTAGTTAGTATCCCGACCGACAGATCAAAGAACGGCGCTAGTACCCAAGACACTCGGGATGACGAGGGGTGCATGATTGGGTCGATATGAGCCGTTCAGGGCCACCCTGTCGTCATTGGAAGGTGAATAAACGGTGAGAGGATCATGGTCAATAATAGGCAGTAATAATAATAAGAGAGCGTCGTTTCATATGCATGCTCTGGTACAAGGACGGAACGGGAGAGATTTGTAAAGGATTCGGTCTAGAGATGGTGGGGCAGTCTCGGGCGGTCTTCTTGATAATACAGCCTGATCAATCGACCAGTTTCGGTATCCTTCTTCTTCGGATCACCCCATGGCTGGCTCCGATAGGAGCCGCTGTTGCTCCCTATCTTAGTCAAACAGACCTGCCGACGTCGATAAAAAAGTGGGCGGTGGTTCCCCTGGGTCCCCACGCCGCTCAAACTTATATAACTGCCTTCCTCCCCTCCCCTCATCGTCTTCTTATCTTCATCATCCATAGAATCAATCTCCTTCACACTGCCTAAACACCACACCATTCAATCCATTTCATCTACCAACCCACCAACTCACTAATCATCAACATGTCTGGACTCAAGGCCGGTGACAGCTTCCCCTCCGACGTTGTCTTCTCGTAAGTGCTTTCGCCGCTTCCCCTCCAATTGCCTCAACCCCCCCTCTAACACCCTCTCCAGCTACATCCCCTGGACCGAGGAGAAGGGCGATATCACCGCTTGCGGTATCCCCATCAACTACAACGCCTCCAAGGAGTGGGCCGACAAGAAGGTCATCCTCTTCGCTCTTCCCGGTGCCTTCACCCCCGTCTGCTCCGCTCGCCACGTTCCCGAGTACATCGAGCGCCTCCCCGAGATCCGCGCGAAGGGTGTCGACGTTGTCGCCGTCCTCGCCTACAACGATGCCTACGTCATGAGCGCCTGGGGCAAGGCCAACCAGGTCACCAACGATGACATTCTCTTCCTTTCCGACCCCGATGCCAAGTTCTCCAAGAGCATCGGCTGGGCTGACGAGGAGGGTCGCACTGGCCGCTACGCCATCATCATCGACCACGGCAAGGTCACCTACGCTGCTCGCGAGCCCGCCAAGAACCACCTTGAGGTATGTCATTGTCTTGTCTCTATCATCAATTCCTTTCCGACCATACTGACAATTCCTAGTTCTCGAGCGCCGACGCTGTCATCAAGCACCTGTAAATGCAGCACTACGACATATCCGATAGATGACCTGATCCGAGTTAATAGAAGGCGAGGAGGTTCTGGTGGTGGGGTTAATGAAATAGAAAATTAGACTTATTTTCCCACTAGAGAATACAACGCAATAACGATGCTATGAAAACAAGCCCACGTTCTCTAGTAGATAAACATAATCCAGAGTATACAAAGTACCATGTAGGATCAATTAAGCTTGATTACCCCAGTTCTCCCGACGATCGCCCTGTGCCTACTTTGTACTATTATTGGTGTGTGTGCGTGTATCGGCCGAGGGGTGACGCGCTAAAAGCTCTCCCAGAACGCTCCGACAATTTTGACTTGCTCGCTCCAGCTCGCGCCAACACCACAAGGCTGACGGTAGCGCCCACTTTTCCCCCTCTCCTCCCCGGGGAAAACCTTTTTTTTTTGGTTGACAGTTCGCTCGCTTTCCCACCATGGCGCCGAACCCCGCCACGAAGCGCAAATCCGCCTTCCCGGGCGCCCAAAATACCTCCGGGGCCGCTCGCAAGCGTGCCAAAACCTTCGACGCCCGCACCCTCGCCGTTCAGTCCGCCGAAGCCGCGCTCTCGGCCTCGGGAGAGCTCGATGTCGCGTCCTATGTCGACGCCCGCGGCTTCGAGATCCGCGCCCTGGAGGCCGGCATGCAGCGGTCCAAGACTGCCCTGACGAGCCGCGCCTTCCAGAAGGTGCCGCGGTCGCTGCGACGCCGGACGGCAAGCCACAACGTGAAGCGGGTTCCGCGTCGACTCCGGGCTCGCGCCAAGAGAGAGGTACGTTGTGACCTGACCCGGCCTGACCTGCAGGATTGGGACGGTAGCTAACGTCGGTCTGGTGGGGACTAGATGGTCGAAGATAACACGCCCACGGTGACGGCACGCCGCCGCAAACCGTCGGAACAGATGCGCCTGCGGCTCGAGACGGCGCGCCGACTGCAGAACCTCAACTCCAAGACGAAGACCAAACGCGCCGCCGCAAAGGCCCAGCGCGACAAAGAGATTCGGTCCCAGCTCGAAGCCGACGGCAGCCATGGCTTCAGCATCGCGCCCCGCGTGCCCAAGATCAAGAAGAATCGCCTCTCGCGGCCCCCGCCCCCCGATGCCAAGTACAGGAAGCGCCAGCGCGGCAAGACCTGGCTGCCCACCCACATGTTCCATGCTAAACGCGCCCATCTGGCCACCGCCAACGATCCCCTCTGGCGCTTTGCCCTGCCCCTGTCCCCGACGGAGAAGAGTTATAGGCCCTCGCATCGGGCGCGGGGTTCCCGCGGCGCTGTGGCGTGGGATATGAGCTATATGTCTACGATCCAGCTGGAGGGGACCGAGGCCGGGTTGGAGGCGGTTTTGAGAGCAATTGGGGTCGATGGGGAGGAGGCGTGGGGCGTGAAGGGAAGGAAGTGGAGGGCTGGGACGAGGAGTCTACGGGCGTGGGCTTTTGAGCGTGGTGATCGGGGGAAACCGATCGCTCCGGTGACGCTGGTCCGGTGTGCGGAGCCGAAGGGGGAGGATGTTGAGATGGTGGATGCTGGTGCTGGTGGTGATGATAGGAGGGGAAAGACGAGGGACACGAGGAAGCTCTTCGTCCGAGTGCATCCATCCGCCTTTCTGCAATTGTGGAATGAACTGCTGGATGTTTCCAAGAAGCAGAACCCCCCAGTCATGGTTGAAGACCTGCGCTTTGAAATTGGCAGTATCGATATCACTGGCCCCGGGTCGACAGAAGCGTTGATAGCGGCGTTGAGACCAACAGCTCCAAACGGGACTGGCTTCCCAACGGGCAGTCCAGAGGCTACTTGGATGTCGTTGTTGGGCGTTTCGAATCCATCATCCTTACCGCAAAACGCGCTTCTGGCGTTCTCTGTGTCGGATCCCCGCCTACACTTCCCCTCGAAGACTCTGAAGCCTCCATCGTCGGATGCGGCGATGCAAGAGATGGCCGTTACTTTGTCGTCGTGGTCCCCGGATGCCACACAGTCTGCGCCGGCGCTTTTTTATCGTCGGGAACGCTTGGCAGCGACGCGTCAACTACCCAGTCAGAAAGCGATCAATCGTCGACGCGCTGAAGCCGGCCCTGGACAGTATCCGTCGCCTCAGCCATCTGACCCACGGATTCCAGTGATGATCCTGGCTTCTAGATCTGTGACGCAGCCGAGGAACAGCAATGCTCCTGGCACCTGGACTGTCCTTCTGCCGTGGAAGTGCGTGCTTCCAGTGTGGTACTCGCTGATGTACTATCCCCTCTCCAGTGGCGGGAACCCTCGATTTGGCGGTCTGAAGGAACAGCAGCAGTTTGCCTTTGAGAGTGGTGAGCCCTGGTTTCCAGGCGATTTCCCGGGGACTCGCGCGGGCTGGGAATGGGGTTTACGTATGAGAGATGAGGCCAAACGAGAATGGGAGAGACGCCCGAAGGGACGCAGGCCTGAGTTTGGTAGTCTGGACCTGGGCGACGGGCAGAAGGGAGAATTCGGACAGGGATGGGCCTGCGATTGGGAAGCCCTGGTCCAAGGAGGAGCTACAGGTGACAGCAAGGAAAAGTCGCATATCGAATCCTCGAAACCGACCTCAACAGCAGACGATGCCGATAAGCCGGAAGCTGAAGCTGAGACCTGTCCGCCGCTGGCGATTTACCATCTCACCCCAAACGAAGCCGCCAAAGCAATCAACAATCCATCAACTCCCGTTCAGGAGGCTGCTCTCGCGACGGTGAAGATATCACTGTCCAGTCGGGGCACACCTGTCCCTCAGGCTCGCATCTACCGTCTCCCTACGTCCAACCCGGAGCTCCGAAAGAAATGGCGTGCCCTTGCATCTGAAAAGCCCAAGCGCGACGAGGGCCGCAAGAGCGCGGCTGTGAGGGATGAGGATCCTCAGCAGCGGCTCGCTGCTTCGCTTCTTTCCCCGGACGAGGGTCCTAGTCAGGAGCACCTCCCTCTGCCGCCGGACGAAGATGTCATTGGGTTCGTGACTTCTGGGAACTACAACCTCTCAGAAGGCAAGGGCACTGGCATTGGCTCGATTCTTTTGTCGAAGGTTGCGGGCCCGAGCTCCAGCAAGAACCAGGCTCGCGAAAGACACATGTGTATCATTCGGGCGTCGGGCGAGCGCGTGGGAAGACTCGGTTATTGGGAGCTGGTTTGATCTCGGGACCGGGATTGAAACGTTTATGATTAGATGATACCCAGTGTCTTGTAGAACTAGAGAAAAACGAACTGCATTATCATGCGAGACAACAAAAGTTGAACCGGTAAAATGGGTTAGCTAGCTATACATGTACACAACATAACACGAGGCATGCAAATCTAGGTATTGTCGAGCAAGCCTTCTTGCTTTTCCCCGTCCATCACCACCACAACTCAACCCCTCTAACCAACGATGCGATCCACAAACGCCTCCTCAAGTCTAGCAACCTCCCGCTTGAATCCCTCAACCTCCTTCCAGCAGTCCAGAGGCCGCCGGTCATTCAACCGGAGACAGCTGACGACATCCGCCTTGGCTTTGGCGACGCCCTCATCCAGCTCGACCAGCTTCTTCCGTCCCTCCAGCTTCGCGCGCAGCTCCTCGATCTCCGCGTTGACCGTCTCGCGGCTCAGGTTGCGGTTGACGGGCTGCGTCTGCGCCGGCGGCGCGGGCGTGTATTCGCGGCCGGCGAACGGGATGCGCGGCGCATCCAAATCCAGCGATCCGGCCGGATAGCTGGCGGGCGATGTCGGGGCGGCATACGTCTGGGTTGTAGCGCTGTCGCGTACCTCCGCCAGCCGCTTCTCGATCTCGGCGAGGGTCTGCTGCTCGCGTTCGCGCAGACGCTCGAGCTCTTGGGACACGCGGGCCTGGATTTGCAGTTCGAGGGATTTGGCGCGCGAGGAGTCGGTCTGGAGGGGCCTGTTAGTTCTTCCCGGTCCCGGTGGGTTGGTGTTGGGTGGAATGTGCGTACCTCAGTGTTCGACTGGAGGGAGTCTACCAGGTTGGCGGAGAACTGCACGGGCGAGCCACTGGTCGATTGGGTCAGTTGTGTTCTTCTTGCTGTTGCACGGTCCAGTCTGTTTCCCTCTGTCGTCCCTTCGGGAGACATCCGGCAGAGGCCGCACTGCACGGCGTGCCACTGAGCACGATGCCGCTCAATACGGTGCATCCGTCATTGTAGACAGATTCAATTGTGCAAGACAGTAACCCTCCAATAAATTGTCCGGGCAGGGCAATACGTACCCCGAGAAAACATGTTTGGAGCCCGCCGAAGCTTCGGGCTTGGAGCTGCCGGCGCCCATGCTGTGTGTGGGAGTGTGCGAGAGGATGGGGAAAAGCGCGTCGTGGGTGTTCCCTCAGTGTAGGACCGGATTGAGTTGGAAATCGCAGGCGGGATCCGGTTTGACGTCGTCGAGAAGTCGGGACCACAGCGGTTCTTGCGTTGTTCGAGGAGTTCGCATATCACCGTTCATTCTGCCGATTTCCGCCGGGGTCACGTGTTACATTGCTTAGTCATGTCTGCACAACGTGAACGTGCATGGGCTTCTATTCTTCTACGTTGCTTCTAGAGGGTCTGTTGATTGTTATTATGGGGATGTTGGGGGGTCTTGGTTTCTTTCTTTCTCTGTCTCTGTTTGTCTCGGCCTGGTTTCAACACACCTAATAGGATTGTGGTTGGAACGGGCGTGAGTGTTGCTTAGCGGCAGTCCCGAGATTTCTTTGAATGCAGACCTGCAGACAGGTGTATCACCATAATCCCAGTTGATAGTACTACTACCTAGGCACCTTATTGTCCCAGTAAAATTGCCCAAATCTCAAGATCTAGTCTTATCTGGTTACATCTACCAGGCATCCTACGCCAATAATCATCGCTCAACTAGTACAAGCAGATCTAACTATCCACGGTCAAGAACTAAAACCACACCATTCTGCTCCGTCTCCATGCACGTCAGCCACCCATGTCACCCAAGAGCATCTCGTGTTGGGAGCATGATTGGCAGTTTCGCACCGCCCAGAGGGATTCCCGTCTGTAACCTCCGTGCCCTGTCGCTCCTAACCACATGTTTCTCACCGGCGTGATCCCCACACGGTTTCATGGCGTCATGGAAGGGACCGAGTGGATTTTTGGATCAGGCTGCCGACCTACCCCGTTCGTGCGCTGAGATCGGGATGCCTTTAGTACCGTACGGAGTACAAAGTGAACAGAACACAATGGACAAAGGAAGAGAAGTCACCAGTAAAGAAGACAATTGTAGAAGACCGCGCAGAAAACGAAGGAAGACTAGAAAACGGCTAACCCGGCCGTTCCCGCTTGGCGTGGTGGGACGACGGACTGACCTCATCGACAGGAAGTAGAAGACGAAGCAGGCGTAGAATAATTACCTACTACTTTCTCTGTTTCTCTCTGTATCCATCCATCCGCCCATTCATTTCCACCCTTCTGCTTCTCTCTGGTCTTAATTTTACTTAATCATCCACCCCCCTCCCACCCACTTCTGCCTCTTTCTCATCTTTCCTAATCCTGTCTGGTTCCGTGACCCCCTCCGTGTCGAATTTCTTCCACTGGCTTCCCAAAATCACCCCGCCTCATCGCTCGGGCTCTTATCTTCCTCCTCGACTTCCTCTCTCTCCTTTTGCTTCCTCTGCCTCCTCCCTCTTCTTCTTCTTCTTCTCCCCTCAATCTTCCGTTCCGATCTCTCTCTCACCATGTCGTCCCCGGTGTTGGACGAGGCCGCGCGCATTGCCCGCGAATTCGATTACCCCGCCGAGGAGGTCCAGCGCGGGGTGAAGGAGTACATCCGGGAAATGGAGGAGGGACTGAGCAAGGAGGGCGCCACTCTCAGCCAGATCCCAACCTACGTCACCTCCGTCCCCAATGGCACAGAAAAGGTACCGCAATCCCGTCCCCATGGTCACTGTCGCGCCGCGCGCCATAATGCTGACGATGCCTCCCGCAGGGCCTCTACCTGGCCGTGGATCTTGGCGGCACCAACTTCCGCGTGTGCTCAATTGATCTCCATGGGGACACCACCTTCTCCCTCACCCAGTCGAAGATGATGATCCCGCGCGAGTTGATGGCCTCTGGCTCCTCCAAGGATCTCTTCCACTTTCTGGCGCGGCAGATCGAATCGTTCCTGCGCATCCACCACAACGAACACTTTGAGGCGCATGAGCGCCGCCGACTGCAAGGCGACGTCGAACAGGAGCTGTTCGACCTGGGCTTCACCTTCAGTTTCCCCGTCCGTCAGATGGGCATCAACAAGGGCACCCTCATTCGCTGGACGAAGGGTTTCAACATCCCCGACGCCGTCGGCCACGATGTGTGCGCGCTCCTGCAGAATGCCATTGACGACCTGGGCCTGCCGGTGCGCGTCGCCGCGCTTGTCAATGACACGGTTGGTACCCTGATGGCTCGCTCCTATACGTCGCCCGGTGAGACGGGCACGTTCCTGGGCGCCATCTTCGGAACTGGCACCAACGGCGCCTACCTGGAGAAGCTGGACAAGATCACGAAAATGGCGACGATCGAGCACTCCGACTATGATAAGTCCACAGGGGAGATGATCATCAACGCTGAGTGGGGCAGCTTCGATAACCACCTGAGCGTCCTGCCGAACACACTCTACGATCAGCAATTGGACGCCGAGAGCAACAACCCCGGCGTGCAGATGTTCGAGAAGCGCGTCTCGGGCATGTTCTTGGGCGAGATTCTGCGCCGTGTCATTCTCCACATGTACCAGAATGAGTCGCTGGATTTCTTGAAGTCCTCCGCCTCGGATGTCGTGGTGCCGGAGAACTCCAACCTCTTCCGCCAATGGGGCGTCGATACCAGCTTCCTGAGTCTGGCCGAGGCCGACAAGAGCTCGACCCTGGAGCAGACCAAGACGGCGCTCAAGGACCACTTCAAGATCGAAAACCCCAGTGACCGCGACTGCAAGGCGATCCAAACAGTCGTGCATGCCATCGGAAAGCGTGCGGCGCGCCTGAGTGCCGTCCCGCTGGCCGCCACTCTCATTTCGACGGGCAAGCTGCAGAGCGACGATCTGGTAGACATCGGTGTGGACGGCAGTCTGGTCGAGTTCTACCCCAACTTTGAGGGTTACATGCGCGAGGCTCTTCGCCAGGTGCCGGAGGTAGGCACTGCTGGCGACAAGAAGGTGCGCATTGGCATCTCCAAAGACGGCAGTGGGGTGGGAGCTGCTCTGATTGCCCTCGTGGCGAGCAGGGAAAAGGCCAGGACCAAATCCCAATAGCCTGGGCAGTTGCTGGCACGCTGACACGAATCTTTTTTTTCTTCCCCTTTACGTTTTCTTTTCCTTTCTAACCCTCCATCTGTGTCCAATTAAGTCTCATTTTGATGAGTGATCCAATGAACCGAGACCATCTAGAAAGATGACGATGTCTTCCTTTGCTTCATTCTAGTTTTCCCCATGAGTGAGACAGGGGCCAGGTCCGAATCTGCAATCGCACGATGGGGTTTGATGTTGGCGATGGACGGGGAGTGTACCATATCAATGGTTTATCTGGAATGGCGTTTGCATTGTGTGCATTTACCTTGTGGAGCATCTGTATCAGGGTAGGGCTAGGAAATACACTGGGTTTGGTTAAGGGTCAAATACTACCTAGGTACTACGGAGCACTAGTAGTCAGTCTCCTGGCGGTCTTTGTTTGCCATTTGGAATAGGGCTAGGGCTAGTGGGGCAGTGGCGCCAGACTTATAGTCTGTCCAGACAAAGGATGATCGCTGCACCAACCCTGCTGGGGAGACACACCAGATTGGGAGATTGTTGGGCCATTCGGAATGATTTCTTTCGGAGACCGGGACCGTTGCATTGATTGATCACGGCTGCACGGTCTCGGATAGTGGTCGATCCGAGGCAGAGGTGACCGTGACCGTCGTCTCGACCGGGTAGAGGCAGACTCCGATGTATAAAGCTGTCGTTCTCTGTGAGATGATGAAAAGGGGTGTGTTTGTTTGTTTCTGACCTGTCTCTCTATGTGGCTGTTCGTAGGTCCTCGTAGAAGGGTGGGCAGAGAAGATGAGAAGCTATATCGAATGTATACAGAGACGCACTCTATCCTCACAATACCTTCATCCTCTCGCATGTTGCGTAGTGTAGACAATGCCATCCTATTTTGCCACCATCGCTCATCACCGATGATACCTAAGGTGGGACAAAGATGGCGGATGGTAGTCATGCTCGGAGAGATTCTCCAATCTATGCGCGTCCATGCCAGCCATGGTAGGACAGCAGGCAGTACCTTGTCTGCCATACCCTATTATTATTGTAGACGCTGTGTTCTTCACGCGGCCGTCGGATCTCTAATGTTCCCTCTTTATTTTTTTTTTTTTTTCTCTCTTCTTTTCTGGCTCCCCTCCTCTCACAATCCTCGATAGACTGCGGTTTCGCGCCACTCGCCGGCTGGTTTCATCCTCTTCTTCATCTAGCCATCCTCTCCTGCTGTTGCCAGAGGGTTGGTAGGCCGTCGCTCACTATTTCCCCTAATACCCGTCACTATGACACCTTCCCCGGACAGGGAAGGGCCTGTTGAGCTCGAAGCCTCTCAGACAACCGCAACTCGCGAAACTTCTGTCAAACACGAGGCTGTCGGATCCGATATGTCTACGGGAATGGCCAGCGAAAAGCCTTCAACGTCTGCGCACCAGTCCACTGCCGCTTCTGGCTCTCAACAAGGCATCAAATCGAACAAAGGTGAGGAGCCGCCAGAAACGCAGTATTTGAGTTCCTGGAAACTGGGCTTTATCGTCACCGGGTTGAGTCTCTCCACCTTTTGTTTGGCATTGGTAAGTACTCCGAACCAGCCTTGTCTAAAACCGCAGGACACCAGTCGCCATATTGACGGTACAGCGTTGTAGGATAATACTATTCTGGCGACGGCAATCCCTCGAATCACCGACCAGTTCAAATCTCTAGAAGACGTGGGTTGGTATGCCAGCTCTTACCTCCTGACAACGTGTGCGGTGACCTTGGGCTTCGGAAAACTCTACACCTTCTACTCCACCAAATGGGTCTACTTGAGCGCTCTCTTCATATTCGAACTCGGATCCCTGATCTGCGGCGTGGCTCCCACTTCTGTCGCCCTCATTATCGGACGCGCTATAGCCGGCATCGGCTCGGGAGGTCTCTTCTCCGGAGGTATTATCATCATCGCACAATCAATCCCTCTGGAGCGACGGCCGATTTATACCGGAATGCTCAGCTCCATGTTCGGCGTAGCCAGCGTGGCTGGCCCATTGATGGGAGGCGCTTTCACAGATCATGTCACCTGGAGATGGTGTTTCTATATCAACTTACCCGTCGGTGCAGTGACGTGCGCATTCATCGTGCTGTTCTTTAAAGCCCCCAAGTCCGTCAAAGATAAGTCGGGCTTCAAGGATCAGTTGGGTCAGCTGGACCTCCCTGGAACAGCTGTCTTCGTTCCTGCAATCATCTGCATACTGCTCGCGCTGCAATGGGGAGGCACGAAGTATGCCTGGAGCAACGCCCGGATTATCGCCCTGTTTGTACTTTTTGGTGTCCTGATCATTGGATTCGTTTTGATACAGATCTGGCGGCAAGAAAAAGCTACGGTACCTCCGCGTGTGATCAAGCACCGTAACGCCTGGGCGGGCGCTTTTTTCCAGACCTTCATGGCTGCCGCGTTCTTTGTCACGGTCTACTATGTAAGTAAGGCTGAAACCACTGCCGTCCCCAGCTTGCTAATTCCATGCGTGGCAGATGCCTATTTGGTTCCAGGCTATCAAGGGAGTATCGGCGACCAAGTCGGGCATCATGAGTCTTCCAATGATTCTGGGAATGGTCATCTGCGCCATTCTCAGCGGTATCCTGGTCACTGTCTTTGGCCATTATGGGCCGTTCTTGGTGTTGTCTCCCATTCTGCTTGCGGTCGGCTCCGGACTCCTTACCACACTGAAAGTCGACTCCGGCCACCCGGCCTGGATTGGGTATCAGGCGCTCGCAGGCATGGGCGCGGGATTCGGCATGCAACAACCCCTGATGGCCGTGCAGGCTTCCCTCCCGTTTCCCGATATACCTACCGCGACAGCCTTGATGATGTTTGCGCAGACTCTCGGGGGTGCGATCTTTTGCTCCGTCGGCCAGAACATTTTCACGAATCAGCTCCTTAAAAACTTGATGCATGATGTTCCGTCGGTGAATGCACCTCAAGTTATCGGTGCAGGGGCGACGGAGCTCCGGAACGTTGTCCCAGTCGAGCAACTTCCGGCGGTTCTCCAGGCGTACAGCCGGGCCATCACCGAGGCATTCTATGTCTGTGTGGCTACGGCTGTGCTTTCGTTCGTCGGAGCCTGTCTTGTCAAGTGGGTTTCTGTGAAGGGGAAGAAGATCGACGCACACGCAGTGTAGCCGTATTTCCGTCTCTATCACCGTGATTGATACTGGAGAAAAGGATAATAATATGCTAATTTGCCTTGTACGGATGCTACGGCGGCGGCTTCATCGGTGTGGCATTGAGAGAGGTGGATATCTTTGCTGATGTACAATTTACTCAAATCCCAAGATTAGTGCTTTGGAGCAAATATCTATTTAATATTACACATTCAAACCCTGATAATCGCAATCAAACAGCCGCATAGAGGCTGAGGTAGACGCCCCATACGACGCCGCAGGCGCTCCCAAACACCACTCGTCGATCGACCGGCACGACCGTGTACATTAGGACGGATACAAGCGGCCGATACTTGAGCCGTGCGATCATAATCGGACCAAAGTCCTACGTCAGTCAGCAGTGCACAGAGACTACCTAGATAATCAGTGATACGCACCTCACAAGTAAGCCGATAGACAGTCGCCCAGCTCATCCCCTTTAGAAGATTAATCAGAACAATAAACAAGACGATATTCATGACCGAGCCCACGGTCTGATCGAGGAGAAACTTCATCCCGAAATTCCACATGCCGGAACGCGGTCTCGGCCGCGAGGGCTTCTCCTTTCGCGGGAGAAGATCATCTGGCGTGGAGGGCGCGACGAGCGCGACATTGCCGCTGGTACTGCCGCTGGCACTACTGCTAGGATCGGGGTTGCGCCAGGACGGAAATCCGGGGAAGGTGGCTTCGACGTATCTCTGCCAGGAGAAGTTGATGGGGACGATGATGATGGCGTAGGCGACGAATTGGATTAGAGCGATTGTGTTTAGGGTGAAGGGTTTCTTTTGGAGGGTTAGTAGTGTTTATCTTGGTACATCTAGGTACCAGGGACTCAGTGAGTGACTCCGTCTGGGACAGGCTGTCTACGTACGTTTTCTTTATGGCGGTCTATGACTTGGGCGATGATGTTGGAGAGGGCGTTGAGGATGGTCGATTGGATGAGCGTCACGGTCAAGGGGGAGGGCGGCATTGTAGGTGTGCTGCTGCATCACATCACCCGAAGTTCGGCGCTTACTAGCGAGGGACGGGCATGTCTGAGGACAGTCTCTAGGGGTGAATTGAAAGGATGAACGAGTCTATCTTGTTGTGAGGGCGCAGTAAGTTCGTAGAATGATTAGTTGTCATGTTGATCGTCAAAGGATGCCTATGCCTGCACGTGTCCGGCACGTGTCCTCTGCGCCGCTTAATTGGGCAGCTTCTTCGACTTTACCTACACTTCTCCTTACTCTTTATCTTCATCAAGGTACTTGTGCGAGTGTCATCAGTCCATAACATACATAACTACCACTACCTAGTCCTACGGACTACTCAGCTCTCCGGCGGACAATCACGTTCGGTCCCTGCTTGGCGCTGGTGAAATGGTCCACCAACGCCAGATGGCCCTCTTCGTCTTCGCCGGTGCCATCGGCCTTTTCCAGGTCGTATAGGAACATCAGCCGCGCAATCGTTAGGCGCATCTCCATAAACGCCATACTTTTCCCAATGCACCCGCGCGGCCCGATACTGAACGGGCAGAACGCGCGACGCGCCGTCTCAACGTCCTCTTTCGTGGTCTGCCACTCGTCGCCCGTCGGGGCCCGACACGTCGCGCCCTCGATCCACCGCTCGGGCAGATACGCCCCCGGCTCGCGGTAGTACTGCGGCTGGCGGTGGATGGAGAGCGTGGGGGTCCCGCAGTCCGTGCCCGCGGGGAGGAACACCCCGTCCACGACGGCGCCGCCCTCCATGACCTCGCGCGGCGGCGCGCCCGGCACGGCGGGCGCCAGCCGCAGCGCCTCGTCCAGGCACGCCTTCAGATACAACAGCTCGTTTAGCTTGGCGCCGCTGACGATGTCCTCGACCGTGCTGAAGGCCTCGCGGACCTCTTTCTTCAGCTTGGCCAGCGCCGCCGGATTGCGCACCAGGTAGAAGATGGTCGCCGCCAGGGTCGTCGAGGTCGTGTCGCTGCCCGCGATCATGAGCACGTTGGCCTCGCCCCAGAGCTCGGGTGTCGTCAGGCCCTTGCCTGTCTCGGGGTCTTTGGCGTTGAGCAGATAGTAGAAGAAGTCCTTCTTGGAGTCGTGGCCCGCTTGCGCGCGCTCCTTGGCCCGCTCGTTGGCCTCCACCCGCGACTTCATGATGAAGTTCCACCGGTCGTTCGTCAGCCGGTGGATGAAGATCTGGTCCAGGTGCCAGCTATCCAGAGGCATCCACAGGCCACACTGTTCGCGTCAGTAAGAGGACAGGAGTCGGGAGGAGACTGGCAGAACTCACCACATAATGCCGGTTCGCCGCGCGATCGACCAGCTCGATCATCTTCCGCCGGCCGCTGGAAACAAGCATGTCGAAGCTCTTGCCAAAGCACAGCTCGCCCATAACGTCATAAGTGAGGTAGCTGAACCAGTCGCCGATGTTCTGCACGGTGCCCTTTTGCTCCTCGGCATGGTGGCCGTCGGCCTGCGGGCCCGCCAGCGCCGCACACAGCTGGCGCACATGCAGCAGGATGACGTCCTCCATGCTCTTGAGCGCCTGGTCGGAGAACGCCTGGCTCAGCACGCGGCGCTTGCGCCCGTGCACCGTCTTATCGATCACGTTGTGCGTGTTGTACACGCCCTTGATGGCCGGGAAGGCATTGTAGAAATTGGCCTTCTTCAGCCGCTTTCCGTGCCCGTAGATGTCGTGTAGACCCTGCGCCGTGTTGACGGAGACGAAATTGGGCGCCACGCGCACGTGCGTCCCGTACTCCTGGTGCAGGCGATGAAGCCACAGGTGGCGGTCGCCTTTCAGGCCGTGGTATAGTTGCACCCAGGGCGTGACGGACGCCAGGACGGGGCCTTTGATCCGGCGCAGCGGGTGGAAGAACCGGTTGTAGATGACATACCCACTCGTCTATCAAACGGTCAGCAATGGGGGACCCATTGGGTGGAGAATCGACCGCTCCTCGACGAAAGAAAGCAACTGGAGAGACTCACTAAAATGCCTAGCAAAACGCTCACCCCCAGAAGCAGCCGGGGCAGCGAAATGCACCCCCAGATCTCTTGGACAATCATGGTTTCCGTCTCCAATTAATGACTGCGAAATGACGCCGACGTTGGGGATGCTCCGAGAGTAGCCGACGGCAACCGTGCTTCCACAAGCCTCAGCAAGACTACTTGGGATGGCCGGATTTAGAATCGCGCGTAAATGGGATACAGTCCAGACCGTTGCGTCGATGGTTTCGCAGTCGAATTCTGTCTCACCCGGACGGCTTATATATTTTCTCTCCTGCTCGGCTAGACACGGTGGTCGTTTATGGAATACATGCGGCCATGGGATGGGTAATGTCATCATCAGCTAGGAGGGGGTGTATCATCTGCTCCTTCGCATGCTGACTCCATAATCTGGAACGTTCTTCTTACCATTGGGCGATTGTGTTGGTTGTAGGAACCTTACGGAAGACAGGGATTAGTTATGCTCATAATGTAGGTTTTCATTCCTATCGATGGACACTGTCAACCCTTCATATGCGGGTGTGTCCCTTTGTTGAGCTCACGGTTTCTGCTATCGGAGACTGTCCACATAGTTAGACTGTCTCTAACAGTTTGTCTCTAGCGCTGTATCCACCCCGTTTGTAGCCGGTCTCACTGACATTATACTGGCCATTGCGTAGCGTCTTATCAACGGAGACCGGGGGCCACATCCCACAGGCGTTATACCCCGCGAGCGTCCATCAAGCCTCCGATAGGCCCATATAATCGAGCGGGAATTGGAGTGGGAGGCGGACAATCCGCACTTAGACTCAAGTAGGCAATGCCTCAGACGATGAGCGCGGATAATTCCCCTAGGAATAGCCGTACAAGCCGCCATCAAGAATCCACTGCTCATTGTCGTCGTTGTCATCCTGCACCCGTCGCCATGCTTGCTTCCGCTCTCTGCGCGCGCTGCTTTCGATCGGTTTCCCATCCGCGCCCTTCCACACCGGACGCATGAGCCCACCCGCCGCAAGAAGCGGGTTGCGACTGAACGCCTCGCCGCCGGCCTTCCGAGCCGGATCATAACTCAGGTCCTCCTCTGCCTCGGGCTCGGCAGTCTCCGCGCCAGCCTCTGCCGCCGCGGCGCTCGAGTCGGCCGTCCCTGCAGACTGGTACACGCGGGTCACGCGGCCGCCCTTGATATCTAGACTCATGACGGTCGTCTTCTTCTCCCACTCCGGACGCGCCTTCTCCTCCATCTCGCGCATGATCCGCTGCTGCTTCTTGAGCGCTAACGCCCGCTGCGCCGGACTCATCCACAGCGTCGATGCCACGTTCGGCGTCTCAAAGTCCGCCGCCTCGTCCACCACGCGCGTGCGCCGCGCGTTCTGCGCCTGGTACTGCAGCAGCTTGTCGCGGTGCGCCCGCGCCGCATCCAGCTTACTCGCGCCGGGTCCCGCACCGCCCGGCCCGCCGTCGCGCTCGCGCTGCACGCTCTCGTTGTGCGCGCGCATCTTCTCCTGCCCGCGCTCCGCGCGCAGCTCACGAATCATGCTCTGGATCTCCTCGGCGGAGAGCAACGCCGCCCCGCAGAACGAGCACGGCTGCAGCCCCTCCAGCGCGCAGATGATCTTCCCGCAATGGAGGCAGTTCGGTGCCGGCGCAAACACCGGGTGCAGGGAGCCGTAGCAGTTGCATTTGGTCGTCTTGTCGCCACGTAGCGTCGGGTTCGTGGAGACTTCCAGCGCGGCGATCGCCGCTGTAAGGTCGGAGATGTTGGTTGTTGTGAGCGTGGCGCCGGAGGACTTGGGCGTGGCGGTCCCGGTCGTGGTCCGCGAGGAACCAGCCCGCGCTGCTTTGGACTTGACGTTCGGGAGAAGGTCGGAGAGGACGGGGCCGGCGGCGGAGGGCGGTGATTTCTGGGGTGCGGGGGAGGGGGCGCGCGAGGACGCGGATGAGGGCGTGGCGTCCAGGTGCGCTGCCGGTCTCGTGCGTGACGATGTAGGCATGTAATCTTCCTCCTGAGTTGCTTTCATGTAGCCGCCTGATACGTCTCCAAAGTTCTCGGGGCGACGGGGCGGTCCGGTGCTGTGGAGGGGTGCCTTGGGCTTCTTGGTTTTCTTCGAGCTGGTGGGTGGTGCGGGGCGCGGCGAGGCATTGTTGGAGGATCGTTGCTGCTCGCGTCGTGAGCTGAAGGAGGAGACGAATTCAAAGGCCGCGGGCGAGTCGCCCAGGAGATTCTTGAGGTGCTCGGCGCCGTCTTCTGTCGAGAGGCTCGCGGCGTAGGTGAGGATTTGCGTGAGGGAGTCTTCGTCTAGGGGGAGCAGCTGGGCGAGACGGGGGAGGCCCCAGGAGAGGAGAGCTGAGTCGGTCATTGCAGATAAATGGGTATCGGGGGAGAGTAAAGAGGGAGCATGGAAATCGAGTGAGGTGTGCAGGATTACATGGTGAGTGTTCGTATGGTGGTTGGACGGAGCTACGCATCTTTCCTGTTTGGGTGTCCGAATCACATGATGACATCTACGACATCAACACATGCAGCCACTAACATTACTATGGATAGAAAGATTGATCTGTCTTGCATAGCAACTCTCTTTCGATACTTCATCCTTTGTCTGGCTACTGCCCAGACTAATGTACTATACATGCACCTAACATCTATCCTGGACAGTCAAGCAAATAAACCAACAGAATCAGAAAAGTAAGAAAATGAAAAAGAATGCCGAGTACCCAGACTTTTCGACATGATGAGCAAGTCCAGTTGACGCCTTTGATGCCGAGTGTATTTACGTCAAGATCGTTAAGAAGAAGAAGAAGAAGCAAGCAGGAATCAACGAAAGAGACTATGTCCAACGTCTCGTCCAGCAAACACACCTGTATGTCTGCACGAAAACCAATAGTAAATGGGTATTTCAGATGAAGGCAAATACCGCGACCCATGCTATGCATTGTCACCGTTGGCCTCGCTTTTAATGTCACCATCTCCCGAAGCCGCATCTGCCGCGGCCGCCATGTCCGGCGTCACGCCGTTCTTCAACTTGCTGCTGGGTGCTGGCGGTGGTTTTTTGCCTGAGAGTTTCTTGGGAGCTCCCAACTTCTTTTTCTTGGGCAGCGCGGACGGTGTTTCGTCATCTAACGGGCGTTTCGAAGGCGCGGATGTCGGCGTGCTGGCCCCGTTCTCCATTGGGGTCTTGTTGCGGTTCACTTGGCGGCCGGAGAGTCCCAGACACCGGTCCAGATGTTGGGCAACTCGCGTCACAACGAAGTAGCGGGGACAGTTGGGGCATTTGACCGTCGGAAACGATACCTTCTCCGGGGCTGCCTGTTTGAAGGAGCCATCCGGTGTGGTTGGGGGGCTGGACGCTGGCGTATTCGCCGTGTTCGTTTGTTTCTTCTTCTTCGGATTTAGTTTATCTGTAGCGAATGGATTCCCGTGCACGTCGTGTCCTGGTTTGCTGATCATCGGCTGTTTCTGACAGTACTCGCGATACGGATCCGGAGGTGGGCGCGCCCCGACCCCCGTTGTCGGGTACAAAAGACGCGGTAGTCGACAATCAGGGCAAATGATCTCCTTGGTGGTGTGAAGAGGATTCCCTTTCAGATACACTTTTCCATCCTCAAAGACCGCACCATCTGTCTCCACCCGGAGATCCTTGAGTTCTTCTGAGTCTGGGTTGATTGGACCTGTCGGTTTCCCACCAGCCTCTTCACGCCGCCGGGAGGCTTCTTCTTCGGCCTTTTGTCGTGCGGCCACCACGGCTGAGCGCATGCGCGCGACCTTCTCGTCCCGGTGGACTTTGGCGACAATATCGTGGATGATGTTGTAGAACGTATCGTTGAGGATGTCGCAGGTCTGACATCGTTAGCGGAGGGGTCTGGATTTGCGATGGCTCCTGCATCGCATATGGACCTACCAGCTTTGCAATGGTCCCCGAGGGAAGCGAGCTTCCCCGTTCTTCTGATCCGTTCGCTTCGCCCATTCTGTAGAGGTTCTGTAGGTGCGCATAGACCGTGAGCTGAGGCAAACCGATAGATTCGAGACCGGAGTGAGGAATAGAGCAATCACAATAACGAATGGAGCAAACAGACCTTGCTATGAGAGTACCACAACAAGACTGAGGATTGAAAGTCCAAGATCGTGTGTTTCTGGGGATGCTCCAGATGTTCAAAACTCGGCAGATCCCGACGATACCAAATACCAAAATCTGTACTGCAAAAAGGATATCCCTTTACCCGGTTCTTCACTCCATATATTCGTTTTGCCGGAGGGTACAACAGTCTCTTGAATGGAAATGTCGGTTACTGGAAAGAGGATGGCAGTCGGCAGAGTCGGGCCAAAGGACCGTCCGGTTGATGCCGATGCGAAGGAGCGGCAAAACGTGGATAAATCGATGCGACACTCGAAGTCAAAGAGAAACACAGAAAATTGTCTTCTCCATATGTCGGCAACGTCTAATGAATGTGATCTTTTGACCGAGGCGGAGGCGCCACGGTAGGGAGCATCAGCGGACTGAACGGATCACAAGGGGCTTTCGCAAGGACGACTCACAGCTGCGAAATTTATATAGGACGAGCGCGCAAAATGACACAGACCACAAACACTCGACGAGAGATTCAGGCCAGAAAGAAGCCAGTGGAGTTGAACACACTGGCGGAAGAGTCTGAGGGAGACAGGAAGAGAGTGAGAGAGCGAGTTTCCAGCGTCTGTTCTGCTGCGTTGGCCGACCGGTCGATCTTATCTTATCTTCATCTCCGCGTTTTCCAACTTGCGCTGCTTGCGGCCATCACCACCACCACCGCTTGTAACTACTTCACCACCTCATCCCGGGACTTCGAGAGATCTCTACGCACTGGAATTTCTTGTCTCCTCTCCCAGTCATGGCGTATCAATTCTTCGCAAAGGCTCACCAGAACAAGTCGCCCACTTCCCCGCCCCTCTCGCCTCCTCATCCCTCCTCATCACCCGTATCCGGCGCCAGACACGCCCGGCCGCCACGACCACCACAGCCTCTAGTCGTTCCTCCGCCGTCCCAGTCCTCGTCAGTCAACATCTCCACCAAGTTCAAGCCTCCATCCAGCAAAGACCCCTCCTTTCAACCCCCGGCCTACCCGCACCCCGTCGAGGCAGGCTACCAAACCCCGCATCCGCATGTCACCATCGAGTCCGTCAGCACCGCGCACATCCCGTCCCTGACGCGCATCACCGGCTTGCTCCTCCCAATCCGCTATCCAAACTCCTTCTACACAGCGACCATCACCGACCCGGTCATCGCGTCGCTGTCCCGCGTTGCCATCTACCACGACCATCCCGTCGCGGCCGGCCCAGCAGCAGGCACCACGCCGTCTGCGTCTACCGCTGGCACCGACAAGGTGATCGGCGGCATCCGGTGCAGGCTGGAGCGTCTCCCGCCGTCCGGCGCAGAAATCCTCCCGCAGTCGGAGACAGCGCACCTGTCCCAGCCAGAACCGACCAACCTCTACATCCAGACGCTGCATCTTCTCTCCCCGTACCGTGGGTGCGGCATCGCCGCCTCCCTGCTCAACGCGCTGCTGTTTGCCTCGAACCCGTCGGCAGCCGGCGCCCGCGCGCCGCCCTACCCGCTCTCCGACCTCGTGAAACACTACAACATCCGCACTGTCACGGCGCATGTCCACGAGGCGAATGAGGAGGGTTTGAAGTGGTATATTGCGCGTGGGTTTGAGGTTGAAGAGGGCGTTGTGGAGAACTACTATCGGCGACTGAAACCGTCCGGTGCGCGGATCGTGAAACTGGTGCTTCCGTGGGGCGGAGAGTCTGCCGTCAAGACCACCGAGAAGAACCAACGGTCGCCACAGGGCCGCGAAGATGAAGATGACGACGATTGGGAAAAGGTCGAAGCAGAGGATGGAGACGACCCGGAGGAGCACGGGGTCCAACCCGTTGCGGACTCGCCGCTCCCGGAGGTCGAGGATGGGTCGAGTAGGAAACGCAAGGCTGATGAGGAGCCTCAGCGGTCGTGATCTACTTGCCTTTCTCCCTTGTCACTCGTTTCGTTGGTTACTTTGCGTCGATTTTATTTGTCCATGTTTTTCCATGCATTGAGGATACCCTACACGCCCTATCGAGATGTACAACCCGCTCCGTCTCGTCTTATCTGCTGATCCGTTAGATGTATATACATGGCATATGGTTGGCTAGAAGGCTGTCACTTGATAGACAACTTTATATTTACATCTCATACCAAAGACTGATACATCACTACGTACGGTTGAAGATTAAGTGTACACGAAACGAGTTATACTATGTAAGGTCATACATGAGATCAGGGTATCGCGCTATCGCAGAACAGACGCCAACGCAAAACATCAAAGAAACTCATACAAAACTACTCATATATTATAATTCTCCGCATGCAAGAATATCTCGTCCTTGGACGAGTCAGTCAGAACCCGCTGCTGGAGCCGGGCCACCGAGTCCGACACCACGACTCGCATACTAGGGGGCCCGCACACAAAAACGCACGTTCTCCGACCAAACCCCTTCGAGAAGTCATCCAGCAGGCGCGGAATATCCGGCCGGACATAGTCAATGCGCCACCCGTTCCGCTTCTGCAGCGGCAACGACGCGAAGCGCGTGACGACTTTCATTGTCGCGGGCGGCTGCTGCACCGGAGACTGGTGCAGCGACGACTGCGAGAACCCAAAGTCGAACGGCACCTGCGTGAGGCTCTGCTGGCTGCCTGTGCTGCCGACGTACGTCGAGACGCTGTCCGTCGAGCTCCCGGTGTAGTGGCGGGTGGTGTTGAAGTGCGGCGCGACGTACGCCTGCGGTAGCGCGGTGATGGCGTCTTCATTCTCGCGGCGCAGCTCCTTCTCCCTCTCGGCGTCGCCAGCAGCCTCCTCGCGGATGAACGCCGAGTTGCGCTTGTCGATACCCTGCAGCGTGTCGTAGATCTTCTCCTGCACGATGTCGCGGGAGAACTGTGCTTGGCCGGGGTGGGTCGGGTCGTCCTGGCCGAGGCCGGTGAGGAAGAAATGGCAGTGCACGGTGTTGGGCGGGGCGTAGTCGCGGCAGATGCGCAGCTCCTCTTTGAACCACTCGATGGATTCCGGGTTCCGGAAGGCCCAGATCACGCGCACCGACTTGGTGACCGCGGCGCCGTCGCGCATCTTTTTGATCAGGTACAGGAGCTGGCTGGCGATGGCGGTGATGCCGCTGCCGCCAGCGAAGAAGACCACGTCGTCGAAGGCGGCCATCTCGCGGCGCATGCCGCCGTAGGGGCCTTCCAGGAAGGCCGTCCAGGTTTTGTAGGGGCCGTGTTCGAGAGCTTTGAGGAAGACTTTCCGTGTGAAGCCGCCGAACGGGCGGAAGACGAGGGCGAGATCGCGGTATTTTTCGCCGTACTCAGATGGGAAGTCATCGCTGCATAGGGAGGCGATGGTGAACGGGTGCCGTTGGTACCAGGAGATCCCGGGCATGCGCAGGTACACGTATTGGCCGGGTTTCCAGCGCATGCGTGTTGCGACGGTGACTTTGATGGCGTTCTGCGGGAGGAAGGTGATCGCCGACTCTTCTCCGATCATGAAGGATAGCCGGAATGGGTTGGTCCAGTTGAGGTAGGAGAGGCGAATGGCAAATGACAGTAGCCAGATGGCGAGGGTGGCCCAGAGGTAACTCCAGGATGATAGGAAGTTCTTGCTGTGCCAGAAGATCATGGCGAGGAAGACGATCGCGACGGGCTGATGCACGGCCAGGAAGAGCTCGTACATGCGAGACCGGAGAATGGGCAACGAATGGAGACAGAGGAAGATCAGCGGCGCCAGGGCTGCGAATCCTGTGCCATAGATGTAGATGTTCCGGGGAAAGTATTGCTGGTAGTAAATGAGGACGCCATGTTCCCAAACGGGCGTGACATAGAACGGAACCATGTGGATCAGGCTGAGGATGAGACAGAGATACCCGGCCCATCGATGGAGCACATTGAGCCTCTCGTGGCCGATACCCGTCAGCATTGTGATGAAGTTCGCGCGTGTACTCAGCGCCACAATCCACGGGATCATTGCGACGGCGATCATGCCGGCCCGAATGGCCAAGGGCGGAGATCCGATAGCAATGGACGAGTAGTAGAGAGGTTGCGGGACGAAGGAATAGAGAATAACGAAGAGCAGGGCGGCCAGGATCACGGCGGACGCACCCAAAGAGGGCAGCACGATGCTTACTGGACCAATTCGCAAAACTGGAAGAGGCCGGTAGAACAACCACCGCACAAAGGCAATGGTATTATTGAAGGGGGCGATTGTCGAGACCGAGGACTGCTGTTTTCTGTCCCCCGTCAGGGTGCCCGGTGCTGGAAAAAACTGGGTGGTGGAGCTGTCGGTGGCCGCGCTGGGGAGTTCATATTCGTCTGGTGAGCTTGCGTACGGCGATGATACCGTGGGGTTCTCTTTATATAAGGCGATCCTGATCTTGTCTCCCCAGGTATGATAGAAGCGAACGATGGTGACGACGGCGAGGAGCACAACGGCGAAATAGGTAAAGCCCCGGCCATATTTGCCCGCCTGAGACCATGGGTCTCGTTGATGCTCGGCGATCTCAGCGGGAGTCGTCGAGGCGGTGATCGGAATGACAATGCGCTTCGCGAGGGAAGCTATAGAGTCCCATTTTGGTGGCATTTCTCACTGTTATGGAGGTGAGTGTGTGTCGCGGAGGGTATGCTGTCTCGACACCAGGCTAATGAAGCCGTCCAGGCCGTCCCAGCTCCATACAACAGCGTCCAGTTGTAGTTTCTTCCTGATCGACAATACAGACGATGTATCTATCACGGAAGAAAGGTCATTGGAGCGACGACTCGAACGATGAAACAGACGAGCCCTTTCTGGATCGCCCTCAACGAAACAGGCGAGGGGCGAAACTGGAGTGAATTTGGACAGTCTCGAGGTAGACCAGAGACGGCGATCCGTCCTGGACTCGTGGGTGAGACGGCCTTGATAGGCGATCATCCTCAACGGAGCGGAAGAGGGGAAGCCTGCAGAGAGCTTTCAACCGCATGGTGTTGATTGGATGTCACACTGCTTAACTCGAGCTGACTGCAGGTCAAGCACGGTGTGAAGAGAAAAACCGCCGACACTAATGCGCGATCGTCTCGCTCGTCACCTGCAACGCCCCGTTATGCGCCCCCATTGGCCCCCAGCGTCTCTTTCCGGGCGGTTAATCCGTCCGTGCGATTCGTGGCTGTCAGCGTCTGACCATCCATCTCTCTGTACACAAGTCGGATATGGTACGTATCCTTTGCAATCCGGATCCCGGTCCACACAGTCACATCAATTTATTTTTGAGGTCTTTCAAGTAGTCTTGTACCGGCTCATGGCGGTTGTGGACGGCATAACTCAGTGCCGTGCGCCCATATAGATCCAACCGCCACGGGTTGCCTCCATGCCCAACCAAGAACTTCACAGAGTCGAGGGAGCCAGCTTGCGCAGCATACTGGAGGGAGTACAGAGTCAGAATCGATAGTTCGTCGCGAATTCCGGATAGCCTTCATCAAGAAAGTGATTTACACGATCCATGATACGCGGATTCTTGCTGTATAGGTATTGTAGGATAGTCGCTCCGTTCGAATCACGTCGCATAGAAGCGTAGTGCAGGAGCTGGCCATGTTCAGTCGATCCTCCATACGCAAAGAGGAGTTCAAGTGTTCCAAAAGAAGCCTCGAAGATCGCATACGACAGAACAGTCACATCTCGCATCCGACATCGTTTATTCGGGTCAGCGCCGTGGTTTAGGAACCGTGTTGCCATTTCTAGGTCGTCGAGAGCGTAGCTAGGATTTGTCAGACTGAATCATGAAGGAAGCAGACGAGTAGTACATGAGAGCAGAAGGGATCATGCTATCGATGTTGGATCATGTGTTGATGTCCCAGCCATGATCAAAAATGACTGAAGGCTCTCATACTGTTTCTCTCGGGTCGCTTTGGCGAACAATTCGAAATTCATCGGCGCTCCATCATCCAACAGTTGCACAACTCGAGCGGCATCTCGCTCCTCGATCGCTGTAAACAATTGTTCCGAAAGGATATCCATTTCGCTGGCAGAGGCGGCACGTTGAGGGGCAAAAGAAAGTTTTCCTATTGTATCTACCAGCTACAGTTACAGGGTTTCCTATCATTCAGCGAGTTGAGGATAATATAATGCCAGAATCAGCCTGTGACTACTGCACCATCTGGCGGTGGAAGTCATCTCATTGGAGACAACACCATAAATATATACAGCGGTGAAGACCATCGGTCTATGGTCTCAATCATTCCCACCCAATATCCCAAGCTGACCTGACTCCCTTTTCCAGTTTCATGAATCAGCGTCCTATGGGTGACACCAAGGAGCAGTCATCATCCATATGCCCTCGTCGCCATCGTATCCCACAGTCCCAGCACCAGTCTTGTCGACAAAATCCACCTGTCCATCAGTTAGCTTCCAGTCTCATGTCATATGAACAAGATCACATACATGTTATCTGCTTACAGCCGCCTATCTTCTCCGTGGCCGCATTGCAGTATGGACAAGGCTTGGCGATCTCTGCAATCATCTGCATGCTAAGGTACTCCTCCTGCGTGGTATTGACCCAGCCGCGCCTTAGTCCAGGCACGCGCGGCGCTTCCTCTAGTATCTCTCGGCGACGCACGCTCCTGCGTGGGACATCTGGTACTCTAGCTCGACTCGTTTCTTCATACTCCGCGCACGTCAAGCCTTCATGCCACGCAGTGTTCCGGTGAATAAAGCATGTCCGGGTCCCACATGAGCCACATACAACAATCGGGTCCTCCAGCCCATCCGCATGAAGCTGTCCATATCCACAGTCCGGCCGGATACATGTGACAAACTCTGCATTTTCCTCCAGGACCTGCCAGGTGCGCATGCGATCGTAAGCCCGAAAGGTCTGTGGACTCGCCCAATGGTGGACTTCTTCGTCGGAAAGTTGCGCGCAGCAAAGAGGACATGTCACTGCACATGTGCTTGACGACGTGACTTGGACGCCCAGGCTCCGTCGGAGGCATGCCACACAGATATGCGACTCAGGTATCCCCGAATGGTCACAGGCAGCTGCGATGGGCGAGTCTGGAAAGCATCCGTCGTCCAGGTGCCCGAAGCAGACAGTGCACGTCAAGCGGTTTCGTTTTGAAGCGGTTTGAATGCTTTCTGAACTTGAGCTGCGCGTCGGCGGCGGCGGCGGCATTAACGGCTCTTTGTGGAGTAAGGACAGCACCGTGCTGGCCGTGGCAGCATCACTCCAGCAGCCCATGCCTTCCTCCGACCAGGGGATGTTGGAGCGGATACTGGGCCTCGAACTGTCGTTGGTTGACGCATTCGCTTGTGGTAGTCTGGTGGAAGGTGAGCAGCTGCGTTGAAGGCGATGATGGTAGCGGTTACGGAACAACCGCACGGGCTGAGCATGGCTATCAACAATGAGGGCCTCCTGAGGGCTTGGTGTCGAACAAGCCGAGCTCATGTTGGTTGGGTGATATTGAAACGTCGTTCGGTGTTCTTGCGCTGGGCCCATTCCAAATCTCTGCCCTGAGTAGAATATGTTCCAGTTAGAAGCGAGTCTTCAGATCATCCCCCATATCCAGGAAAAGACGAAAGCGGTCGAGAAGATGTATATGTATCTTGAACGTGCTAATGACTTGTACCAGACAAAGGAAACATAATCAAAAATAGAAAGACTACGAGATCCTTCTTGCACAAAGAGAGCAGTGTCCTCGCGTTGCAGGTGATCAGAACCAGTTCACTTCCGGCCAAGAAGGACTATCAGTTGATGAATACGAGTCTCGAGATCCAAAAATGCCATTTCGACAACCCACAAAATGATCGGGGTTGCCTTCTCGGGGAGATGAACAACAATCCACTCCGTTTCTGTATAGGCCCTATGGGACCAATTCGTGTAGAAGTGACAAAAATGGCAACTTGAAATTACAATCAACACATCTGAGTGTGTTTGGGACCTGGCAATCAATCACTGAGAAGCTTTTAAACGATGTTGATCAACACGAGACGACACGCATATCGACGAGGTGAATGCGCTACCGGAGTTAATCGGGGCATAGAGTCGGATAAAGCGCGAGTCCTGTGGGGTTCCTGCCGTGGTTATGGATGACTGTCGCCATCGCAGAACAGTAATGCACGAATGTGCAAAGTATTGCCCCCAAGTTTCGTGAGTTAGGTTAAGAAGGGTCCGCCTCGGGTCCAATAGGATCGACGGCATCTCGTATTCAAATATAGACAAGTCGACGATCCTTCGAGTGCGTTATGCAATCGTATGTCATCGGTACCTAAAGAGATCCTAGTTGATTTGGATATCTCTTCCGTGCCATGGTTGAACCACGACGGGCGTGTCCGTGACAGCCTGATAGCTTGGATGGATATATATGTCTCTTCGTATTACCACGTATTTCTTCGGGGCTCCGACTCCCATATGATCCTTCACGGAAGAGACAATCTTTCCTTGTCTCAGTTTGAGAAAGCGGCTAATTATTGGTTTTGATAGATCTGTGGCATACTTGTGTTGTGCAGTGTGTTGGATGCTGTTGACGGAGTTGACAGAGCGTACGCCATTATGAGAAAGAGTTTCCATCAACCGGGGCAAAAAATGTCATTCAAATCCAATGAATGTAAAAATAGCAACGTGTAGTGCTCTCCGTCCTGGGTACAGGACTAAAGAGTAGCTGAAGTAAAGCAGTCGTCGCAGGAGAATTGGAGGTCTCACCGCCTTTATAGAAGTATTCTGCCGCGCAAAAATAAGTTCTCCAACAAGTCCGAAAGCCAAACTCCCCACGTCCAACTTCAAACTCCAGTCCACGACCTACGATCATTGCGAGGAATTTTCCAGATTTCAGCATGGCGTCAGCAGCAACCCCCGCTGCGCAATCAACCCCTCCGTCACTCTCCCTCCCTCCCTCACAGTTCGCCCGCCTCCAACCTCACGCATATCTCCTCGCCCACCTCTCCCCTCCACCAGCAAGCAACCAGCCTTCCATTCGAGCCAATGGTCGCGCGCCGTCGCAGTTTCGGGTGACCTCCGCTAACACAGGCTCCCTGACCCATACCAATGGCAGCGCTGTCGTGCGGATCGGTGATACGACAGCCGTCTGCGGCGTGCGGGCGGAGATCCTGCCCACCGAAGACATCGCTTCGTGGAGCGTATCACGCTCCGAGTTTTCATCCGCTGCTTCGGCGAACAACAAGCGGCGGAAGCTCGACGACCCGACACGCGCCCCGGCAGAAACTTCCCCAGACGACGAGGACGCCGACGACACAGCGCACATCCAAGACCTCAACCTCCTCGTGCCCAACCTTTCTCTGAGTACCGGGTGCGCGCCAGGCTTCATTCCAGGTGCTCCTCCGTCCGCCCTAGCCCAGTCCCTATCTCACCAGATCCTCTCCTTGCTGCATAGCACGCGGCTAGTCCGGGCAGAGGACCTGCGCATCTGGTACCAGCCACCTAATCTGGGGCCGGAGGACCTGGAGCGGCACAACGAGAGCGAGCAGATGGACGTGGATGCGCAGCAGGAGGAATCCACGCAGAAGGACAGAGAGATCAAGGCGTTCTGGGTGCTGTACATTGATGTCATGATTATCTCCCTGGCGGGCAATCCGTTCGATGCTGCGTGGGCATCTGTCTTGGCGGCGCTGAAGGATACGAAACTCCCGCGGGCGTGGTGGGATGTGGACAACGAGACTGTGGTGTGCTCGGATGCTGTCGCCGATGCTCGCAAGCTCTCGCTGCGCGGACTGCCGGTGGCGAGCTCTTTCTGCGTTTTCGAGGCTGATGCGGCAGCTGGTTGGAGAGCGGTGATCATTCCTGACGCGGAAGAAGAGCGGAAGATCGAGGAGAGTAAGAAACAAGGTATCCAGCGGCGATGGATTCTCGCAGATCCGGATGGATACGAGGAGGGTCTGAGTCAAGAGAGGGCGTGTGTCGTCGTTGATAGGGAGCAGGATGGCAAGGGTAAGCTTGTTATCGCGAAAATGGAAAAGAATGGCGGATGGGCACTCGATACGCCCGAGTTAAAAGAGATTGTCGACATATCCGCAAGACGATGGGAGGATCTACGACGGATTCTTGAACAGTGTTGATTATCTATACTTTATAAAATAATTGAATGCAGCCGACGATACCAATCTGGACTCTGGTTTGACATGACCTCAAGACTATCTAGGATGAATGAGCTGGTGGGATAAAGATACAGCCTTTCCAGACACCTATCAATGCTTATTGCCTATGCGAGGAACAAGATAGAAAGAAGGTCATTATGGTTCATCGCCAGATGCTCGCATCGGTCTCGACACATTATTAGTTCGTAGTAGCAGCCGTTGTTCTAGGACTCCGGCGAAGTCTTTTTGCTGGAGGCTCATCGCCCTTGTCGGACTTTCCAACAAAGGACCAGTTTTCTTCATCATCCATGGACTTGGAACCCTTCTGAGGGTTCTCCTCGGCCTTCGACTTCTTGTTCCGGGGAATGTATACCGACACAGAAAACAGATCCAGCGGCTTGCTCTCATCTTCGTTTTGGTCACTATTCTTGGTCTCGGAAGCTTTGTCTTCCTCCTTTTTGCTCTCTTCTTCAGAGGTCTTCTCATTCTGTTCTTCCTTTTTCTCAGTAGCCTTCTTCTGTCCAAAGAGGAAACCGAAGAGTCCGCCGTTCTTTGTCGCTTCATCCTGATTTTCGTTCTTCTCTTCTCCAGAATCCTCTTCTTCGTCCGCGTCGCTGAATTCCCACATCTCGCGAAGCTCGCCTCTGACAAGGGCAGTGCCCCACAGAGATAACAGCACGCCGGGAACCAGGTACAGAAGGGCCGGCTGAGGGTGGTTGAAGCATTGCATCACAATGAGAGTGGCAAGCATGCCTAGAATGTAACCAGTAATGCTAGCTTTAAAGTAAGGCTTGGGGAAGGATCGAGCATCGTGATAGGGAGGCTCTAGCTCAGGCTTGGCTGGGGCGACAACCCCCGACCAAAAACGCTCGCCCCAACCTCCGGTGGCAGACTGGTACAAAGGCTTGGTCTGCTCCTGGCTCTTGCCCTCGGCCTGCGCTTTCTGGACGCCTTTCCGCTTGTAGTAGAGGAAAAGGTCGAAGCGGAGCGCCAGCCCCACCATGATACCCGGGATGATGATATCGCCCAGCCCCAGCATGGCCAAAGACACCGTGTCTGCAGGTGCGCTAGGGTCTGGAGGACGCGGGAACAGTAGCTTGATGGGCACGTCTAGATTCTTTGCGACGGTCACCATAAGCGGGGTGTAGAAAACAAAATAGATGTCGTAGAAGAATAAGGCGGACAGGAGCAGCGAGCCGGTCACGAAGGTAGATGGCGACAGTATTTGAAGGGTGCCGTAGCAGAAGCCGAATCCCAGGAAGTTCGTCAACCACCAGGGTTTCATGATGAAGGTGAAGTAGTAAATCACTGGCAGTGCGATAAAGACACTGATGAGGTCGAGAACACCCACAGGGGTTTCAACTTTGAGGACGCGGTGGATGTTGATGCGGAGTTTGGCTCGCTGGTAAACCACGCCGCGATACTTCCAAAGGGCCGCGAGAACGGGTTTTGGTAGCGGAATGGAACCAAAGATCCCCGGGAATGGTGAGTGACGGACACTCTGGGCTCCTGGGTCCGACGAGGTGAAAACTTGGTCTGCTTGCTTCGACTTCCAGAGTTTGCCAGCATGACGGTATTTTCTGGGGAACACATAGGATCTCAGAACCGTAAGGCTGTCTTTCAAAAAGGCCACAGCGAATAAGATGCCCATCTGGGAGAAATAGAAGCCCAGGATCTTGTTCAATAGTTCAGCTCCCATGTAGTTGATCACCAGATACAACCCACCGAGCGTGAGGCCCGCGGTCAATGGGAACATCACGGCATCGCTCGGTTCTAGGGCTTCCATTTTGCGGCCGTTTCCTTGCTCCTCGTCGTCGTCATCATCATTGTCTGATTCATACCCTTCTTCCTTCCGATCTTTCTTAGGCCGTTCCGCGGCGGAGGAAGGTCTTGACAGGGACGCATGTGCGCCAGCATATATCGGAAAAAGCGCAGAAATTATCAGATGTCCGTACATGGGAAGAAGCGGCTTGGATGCTGTGAAATGATAGATTGCCTGTCCCAGGAACTCGGCGAAAGGGCTGACCTCAGCCATGGCGGGCGAGTGAGGGACGAGGTCGGAGGAGAGGATATGGTGGCTAGAAAGCCTCGTAAACGGGGTAGTCGTGGGGTTTCAAGGTTTTCGTAGCTAAGGTGGATCAATCCATGGTTAGGGAGTGTGTTGCACTGATTGTTTACGAGAAGGAGCTCGCGAGGGGTGGCATCAGTGAATGTTCTGATGCCAAGACCCGCTCTTCACTCCGCCTCCAACGCTCCTCGACCGTCCTTCACTCTGAACCACCCGGACAATTGCTGGAACACTCCTCAAACGTCATTATTCCCATCATGGCCACAGACGTCGCATTCGATACGAGCATGGTAAGCATCGTTCCACAGACTCCACCGGCTATCTGTTAATCCTCCTACAGGGCTCGTTCACGGTCGAGCTTTACAATGCGCATGCACCCAAGGTCCGTCAACCCCGTCAATGCGCCCAGCGCCAACCCACTGACACTGTGACATTCACTAGACTTGCAAGAACTTTGCGACTCTCGCGCAAAGGGGTTATTATAACAACGTGATCTTCCACCGCATCATCCCGAATTTCATGGTCCAGACAGGCGACCCGACCGGCACGGGTCGTGGAGGAAGTTCCATCTACGGCGAGAAGTTTGAGGACGAGATCCGCTCGGATCTGAAGCATACCGGGGCTGGAATCTTGAGCATGGCTAATAGCGGACCGAACACCAACGGGAGTCAATTCTTCATTACGCTTGCGCCGACGCCGTGGCTGGACGGAAAGCACACCATCTTCGGCCGGGTCAAGAGTGGAATGCGAGTCATCCAGCGCATGGGACTGGTGAAGACGAACGGCGAGGACAGACCGGTGGACGAGGTTAAGATTATTCGCGCCAGAGTGGTGGAAGAGGGAGGCGATGAGTGAAGAAGACCGAGCAAGATCGTTGCAAACGTATCTAGCAGACGACGTGACCCGCGCGCGACTGCTTTTTATAATGAAGGGGAAGATGCGATACGTCCAATATCCATCTTCCAGATCGCCGGACAGATTTCAGTCCCTTTCAACGCTCGAGTCGGGGGCTACACTGTCCCTCTGCGCGCGCGCAGCTTGCACGATTTCACCATGACTGGAGCGGTCAACCATGAAGCTGGCCGCCGTACATGACTTCGGTCCATACTTCTACGAGCAGAGATTATTGCGAGTTTAACAGTCTGCAGGCAGCGCAGGCAGATGTTAGAGTAAATGGATAGGTAGCGGAATGTATCACTACAAACGAACTCCTCCGTCAGATGTTTCCATCCAGAGCAGCAGATACAGAGTGACAGGGATATGATCTACCACTCCCTCAAGACAACAAGACCAGTGAAGGCTTGTTGAAAATAGACGGTGCTGATACAGGAGAAAGGCAGTCCGTCTGTGCAAGCACCAGGAGTGGTGAGTTGGAAAAAGAACGACGAGTGTGGGCGGAAAAAAGCGTCTTTAAGTAGGGTGAACTAACCGAATGCGGTATAGTGTAGCACATGGCAGCACCCTCGTCGATTATGTAGAATACGAAGACAACAACACCGTCAGTCGATTATGCCCATATAAACATCCATTTCTTCTATAAAATATCGACAAGATGACCGTAGTTTCTCCCCTTCTCCCGACACTCTTTTTTCATTGCTTTGGTTATTATTTCTTGCCAACCATAGTCGCTCCGGCCGCAAAAACAGAAGCGCGTCTGAGCTCCCCCTTCTAGAGTACAACCTGGAAATTAGCATGGAGCTACTCCAACCAGCATGGTTAAGCTACTTACAAATGCTCCTAGTAAATTCTTATTCTCTCATACTTAATCTTCTCAGAATAGACTTTATACCGTGTTGATGCTTGTCCTCTACTTGTCAAGGTCTTCATAACTAATATGTTGGTTGGTTGGTCGCAGATGCAAGTTGGCCCCAACTCTCAATACATGAGTAAACCAACTAATGCTTGCCTAGGTAACTATTAGCTAGGTGAGTGCCTACTATCTAGGGACCTAGGTAGGTACCTAGGTACTGTCTGATCTTCCCCCGCGAATCAGAGGACTCAACTAACCGCCCTGTAAATTGGTGATGCATTAGCAGTACATCGGTCTATCACGCCCCAAACTAAACTTATTAGGCGCTTCGCTCGCACGCTCGCGGGTCAACGCTTGATTCCTGGGAGGTAATCCGTCTTCTTTCTTGAAAAATATTTTCAGTGCCAACGAAACCGACCTCGCTTCTCGTTGGGATAAATCCGCATCACTTCGACTATGTCCCTTTTCGGATTCTCCTTCTATAAGACATTGTTCCTTCTTTCCACGCAGGCAGTTCAAATCCCGCTTGTTCTTGGGGCCCAGTGTTATTGGAAAACTGGCACAGCCACTATCGATGAATATCAGCCCTGTTTTCCAGAACGAGCAAACAGCCCCTGTTGCGGTCTTAATAAGTCGGGTCAACCCAATGACATATGTACAACAAATGGGCTGTGTTATGCTCAAGTAGCCCCGTACACGGGGCATATCCTCCTCAATTCATGTACAGACCAGAGCTGGGATAGTTCCGACTGCCCTCAAATATGTCCAAGCTGTGAGTGTCCATGGCTGAAGCCCTTGGATTAAACTACACGCCATGCTAATCAGAACCCAATTCGACTGCTACAGCAATGAAGTCAAACACAGCGATATGGCTCCTGCCGTGTACCTCAAGTGGGAAAGATCGCTGGTGCTGCAGCGAGGATGGGTCCGATTGCTGCAATAATGATTTCCAACTAGACATTGGCCAGCTGGTGCTTCCGGCCACCAACTCTACCTCGTCACCCTCGAACACCACATCAGTCACCACTGTCACAAGCACCATGCATGCAACCACTCAGGCTGATTCCAGCTCCAGCTCAAACGTAGCAGCAGTCGGGGCGGGGGTCGGCGTCGGCCTGGGTGCATGTCTCATAGGAACTATCGCTGCACTTTGGTTCCAACGGAGGTTATATCTCAGGAAGGTTCAGGAGTTGAAAGAACTCCAGAGCAGTTCATCATACTATACACACCCTAATATTGCTTCCGAGTCAGGATATCGCGCGGAGCTGCCCCCGAATCACAAACGGGCTGTATATGAGCTTGGAGAGAGGGATACAAATTGAGAGGCCGCAGTGGATCATTGCGACGTTCATTGTTCATTGTATATAATAATAAAGAGGCTAAAGTCTAATCGACAACAGCACAATAAATAGCCATCAACCGTTTTCCACCATCATGATTCTCATGCCATTTGCACTCGGCTGGTCTGTGCTGTGATATCACGTGATAGCTGGCGGGTCCCGTCGCGTGTATTTCTTCGCTTGTTCCGCCGGCGCCTTTTTTTCTCCCCTCAACATCTCTCGTTCTCCGAACGGATGAGCTCGTACTCTCCACCCATGGGCAGTATCGTCCATCGAAAGAGGATTCTTACTGCCTGTCATCCTACGTGATGGTACTCGGAGTGCATTGCAATCCTACTCGTCCAAATCCTAACCTCTCGCAATGGAGTCTCTAGCAGAAACGCCTTGGGATGTAATAATCTCTGGCACTGGACTGGCCCAGTCCCTTCTGGCACTGTGAGTACTTCCGTCTACCAACAAAAATTTCCTTGTCTAACAATCACTTCTAGAGCCCTCTCTCGATCCGGTAAGAATGTACTGCATGTTGACCGGAACCCATACTATGGAGGATCCGAAGCTGCGTTCAGTCTTCAAGAAGCCGAGGAGTGGGCTTCTAAAGTAAATGAAGGTAAATTATGACCGGTACTGCCTTCTTTTCGCGTTTGCTGACTGGGATGGATAAGGTAGAACCCGAACATTTCCCCTTTGAAAATGCAACTGTATACTCCCCGGCGGACAATAATCGCCTGTCAGCCTCGCGGGCATATACCCTCTCCTTGTCTCCACAGCTCATCTATGCCCGGTCTCAGCTTTTGCCTGCCCTGATCTCTTCCAAGGTCTACAAGCAGCTGGAGTTTTTGGCTATTGGGAGTTGGTGGATCCACAAACCCTCAGACAGTGCCAAGGACGATGATGGTGCCGCTACACGTGGAAGATTGTACCGAGTACCTAGTAGCCGTGAAGACATCTTCGCTGATGATCTCATAAGTGTCAAGTCGAAGCGGACACTAATGAGGTTCCTCCGCTCCATTGGCAAGCCATCTCAGGAGGACGACACCAACCCCGAGGATGAGGTGCCTGGCGTCCCTCTCTCAGAGTACCTGGTTTCCAAATTCCACGTTCCAGACGAGCTTTTTGACCCTCTACTTTCTCTTTCATTGTCCCAATCTTCCCACGGTCAAACCTCCGCTGCATATGCGGTTCCCCGCATCAAACGACATCTGGCGTCGATCGGTGTTTTTGGGCCAGGCTTTGGAAGTCTAATGGCAAAATGGGGCGGTAGCTCCGAAATCTCCCAAGTAGGCTGTCGCGCCCTTGCTGTGGGCGGTGGCATCTACGTACTGGGTACTGGGATCAAGTCTATCGAGGCTCCAACTCTAGGCGAGACTGATGCAGACGCACTCTCTGAAGTTCGTTTAACAGACGATACAACGGTCCGATCCAGGTTCGTGGTCGGTTCCAACTGGGAGCTTCCTGCACAGGATCGTCCTGAATGCCAAAGAATCTCGCGCTCGATTACTATCGTCTCATCACCCCTTGAGAGTTTGTTCCCGGTCACAGCGGAAGGTGGTCCAGTTCCTGCAGGAGCTGTCATCGTGTTTCCGGGAAACACTCTTGGCCAGACGGATGATGCACCGCCAGTCTACATCTTGGTCCATTCAAGTGAGACTGGCGAGTGCCCTCTAGGACAATGTGAGTTACAGTTACTTCTCATTTCTCTTCCCCGACACTTTCTCTTCCCCTACAACGACACTATTCGTGTCTTGGCTCATATGATGACTATTTCCCAAAAAAACTTATCTACATTGCCTGTAATCATTTTGATGAAACAATACGGCCTGATCATGAGCCCAATTGCTTTATTTGATATCAAATATGCACTGCGTGCTAGCATGACTTCTTGCTAACATTTGTGCCAGGCGTTATCTATAGCAGCGTCAGTATCCCGGGTCCTCAGGGGCAGTCCCTCATTGAGCAAGCCATTGGCAAGCTCCTTGATTCGGCTGCCGACCCAGAAGCGAAGGTCCTCTGGGCCTTGTGCTACACCCAGTTAGGGCGTTCGGACGAGACACCCTCCGAGCTAACAGTACTTCCTCATAACATTCTGGCATTCCCACCTCCTAGCCTTGACCTTGCTTTTGATGACTCCGTGCTGGATACGGTAAAGGAAGCGTGGAGGCTGGTGATGGGGGATGAAACTGCTGGCCAGGAGTATATGGTGTTCGAGGATCGAGAGCATGATGATGAGGAGTGAAGGTCTATGGTCCTCTCCGTAGTGCTGTAGTTAGGAGTACATACTGTCACATACTATTCTACAGAGCCCACTTTACGTTATGCTACGTGCAAAATGATCATGAACATCCACTGAAATAGTCCCTTGGCTTGCTATACTTTGAGTCTTGGCAGAGTGTATAGTGCTTGCCTTGGTCTCCCGGAATAACCGTCGTGTACCTATGAGCTGCTCGTCCATTGGGGCTTTCTCTAGGAACATAGGTACCTTGATTATAGCACTTCTCCAAGCCATTTATCAGTCCTTGATCGATTTTGATGCTTGGAAGGCATGGTGTCTTCATGTTACGCACCGCTCGTCCGTTTTCTCGCAGCCAAACAGCAGAGCATGCCCAACAGATTCTTCTATACCCCGTGTTATCGTTCTACTTAATGGAATCAAGGGAGCCATATGGGCTTGGAAGTAAATTCTCCGAGCCTTGTCAGGTCGGGCCTGGGGTTCGCATTCCACGGGTTATTGTCTCCTCTGACTCGACAGGTATATCGCGAGGCGACAGGGAATCATGGCCCCTAACATGAGATCCTAGGGCTTTGCTTCCGAGATAGGACCTCAGCATTGCCATTGTTGTTCTTAACATATCGGAAGGTAGATGGTATGTTTCCTTGGGATGCCCTATGCGAATCCCCGACTGTGAAATGACCACTCGAGAAGTGGTAAGTTTCAAACCAGTTCGAATACAAATGCATTTTTGCAAGGGCTTTTGCAGACCTGAATTAGGCAGGCCATATGGAGCCCATGGAGATAACTCTCCAGCCTTTGGTATGTGCTATACCCAAAGCAGAGATCCGAAAACAGTCATCGACATTTGGGTTCGGGCTTGTGTAGTTTGCGGAAGGGTTTCACCTCTCACGGGGAGAGAAGTTGATGTTTATGGTCAGTACTCTGCAGATACAATTATTCCGGTTTGGTTGTAGAAACCGTTGTTGTAGGTTGCGTCTCGAGTGGGCTGGATAGATCCATATACATGCCTGCCGGTTCGGGAATGCGGCGGATTCCAAGCCGATGATGCTGTACACTCTCGGCTACAGGAGTCAAATATAGGTTTTTATTGTATTTCCAGAGGGTACAGTTCCAGGATAGAGCACCGTGAAGTGTTCAGCCATGCTTAGGGCTCGTGCGAGCACATTAAACTTTCTTTTTGATTGACAGGAATGGAGAGATCGCATCGAGCCCTATAAACGACACATGGTTAGATTAGAGTAATATCCATGTCGTATTGTGCGCCAGCCATGACTTCATTTAATCTAAACTAACATGATCTGCTACTGGGTCTGGACTATGGATTTCCGTGAATTAATCAACTTCCCGCCGGAGATGATATAACCAGTCAGTGACTGGTTATTTGGGCCCAGCTGGACATGAAGATCAACGGTTTCTATTTCAGTGATACTCCAGCTGTATCAGGTCGATGTTGTCACGACTGCCTGCGTGGAGGCTATACCCGTGCTTAATCTACCGACCGGAAGTTGCGTGATAGGGCTGCGCAATCGAGGGGTCTCGACTCTATTTCCGGACACCCACCATGTGGCGTGCACAAGACTGTTTAATCAAGTAATCCAGGGGTAAAAAGTACAGACGGGGACTCTCAGTAAAGGACTTATGTGAAAGCCAGAAAGATTGTTTCACCGGTAAACGAGGGTTAACATACCACTATCTCATAGCGTGGGCGGTTTAATTAAACTAAATCCTCAGCAATCCACATCTACTATGGCGGAATCTCGCATCATGCTGGTATGGGCGGCTAGTCCGGACTGAGCGCTAGGGCCAACCATCCTGTCAAGCCGGTCGTAACGTTGGTTATGCTATAGTTACTGTTGATCCCCGACGGGTTGGTTTCATTTGTCGAGTTATCCTTCGGCTGTGCACAGAGCACAAGGGACGGGGAGAAGACTCAGACAGACTCAGGCGTATGGATTGGTCGGCCAACCGGAGATCCAGGGGATCCAGACGGAGATACCAGGTTCAGGGCTGAAGCGGATGAAGAACCGTACTCGTTCCAGAAATGATATACAGCCAGGCAGGCGATACCGGTGGTCCGAGACTTTTTCCGTGCAAAAGAGGGCAACGAGCAGACGAAACCTGCGACGCACTTCGTATCGCAGCCGTCGGCTCGGCATCCGCCGTCTCGGGATACACATACTCTAGTTACGGAGGACGGAGAGCAGGTTACGTGTATGGTTGGACCCTGGCGGATCTTTGGGCCCTTGATAGATCCCTCATTTTGGGGCTAGGACGACGACTAGCCCAGACTACTGTACAGACGGCGGAGGCACGCAGCGCCAGACCCTGGATAGCTACGAGCTACGAGCCCGAACGAACCTGAAATGGGGGTCCATCTTGCCCCAAGATAGAAATAGGGCCTGGACGAGGTGGATGCCTGGCTCCAGAACTGGGTCGTTCTCCGTAATCTAACTAACTATCTGGCCGTGGAACGGTCGATGGAAAGGGAGAGAACGGCGTTCCGCGGATGGAAGGGTGAAGATCAGGGGGGCCAACTGGATCTTCTGCGATTACGGAGTACACGACTGACGTACTGGGCGTACTACTCCGTACACCTATGTATGTATGCCTGTGACAGTTTATTTGCACTCCTCCTGCTGCAGGTATCCTTGTATGCAAAAAAACGAGCCGAGAATGGACGGGGGGTTGACAGGCGCCAAGCCGAGTGTTCAAGCTTAATGAAGGAGAATTCGTCGCCCAGTCGTCCAGTAGCCACTGGAGAGGTCGATCGTCGAGTTCAGAACTCGACTCGACTGGTGGAATATCGTCACAGAATAAATATCTGAGGCATTGCCCCTCCATCAGTCCCAGCCGCGATGTACTCCGGACTGACTCCAGACGGTACACGCGTCCTCATGGTCGGTATGCATAGTCGGATGGTTGCTATTGGATCGCATGACGGTCGAAGTTTAGGCGGCGACCGGATGATCCTCGATCCACCATATGGTCGCTGCCACCGGGGCCACTTGCTGCTAGTATCGAAGTGGCCACCTAACAAACTACTACTGTAATTGCCACCGCAGATACAGGGACAAGCTTCGGTTCGCCTGCGTGTCTACGCAGAGTACCTGCGTGGACGAGTATTTGGGTGCAGGATAAAAAATAGTAACATGGCGGTGCCTGTCGCCTCCGTATAGTTTATGCCGCTTACTCCATATACTCCGTACTCTGTCAGTCGATGCTGACCCCAGGTGGGGATGAGTCGATGTACGGCGACTCGCGGAGTAATAGGCCTACGTAGTCGATGAGGTTGGGATTACTCCGTGCAACTCCGCATAAAAGGTCTCAGGCGGGAGAAGCCCTTGCTGAAACACGACTGAATCAGAGATGGCCAGTGATGGCGATGTGCTGAACCGCCCGAAGAACATCAACATGTGCGGGCGGTCAAGGGTAAGAAAAAGGGACACGCGGCCCGTGGGGCTTCCCAGACTCCGAGCCCTGAACCGTCGGCGCTGAGTGGCTGGGATGGCGGGAAGTCGCGCTGATCGATACCTGGAGACGCCTTTTTTTCAGTTGTGTCTGGTAATCCAGCCTTGGCTTTTTTTGGTAAAGTATGTTCTTGTTGTTTGGACACCTGCAGGGTTCATGTCTACCAGAACAGGCAGTCTGTTTGATATGCCACGACAGTCGAGATGTTGCCTCTCGAAGACTCCTCCTCTAGCAAGACTCCTCGTACCCGTTGGCGGCCAAAATCGTTGATGTCAGGTACCCGGCCCTAGCCTATTACGACACCCATCGGCTGATAAGAAAGTATATTTAAGATTGCGCTGAAGATGGCCGCAAACATCGACCCGGAAACATTCCAAGAACGCCCCCCCATCACCACTCGTTCATCTTGACGGAGGCCCGGAAAGAAAGAGAGTTCCGACTAGAGGCCAAGTACGACCCTCATGATCCTCGCCAAACACGGTACGACTGCTTCAGCGGACATCTGTAACATCTCGGAAGAGGGGGATCATCCGATTGCTGCAGTGCAGTATCCCTCAGAATCCCTGAGCGTACGATGCATCGTCCCCGATGTATAACTAGCCAGACCCTGCAATGTCGCTTGAAAATGAGGGGTAATTGATGCAGTTCAGATGGAGAGGTGAATTGCGGCAGATACGAAGTACTTCGTAGGTATTGATATCTGCATGGGACAGGCATGAACCATCGAGATCTATAACAATCTACAACAACACCAGATCGAGATTCATATCTACTCGTACTATACTTAATATAGATAGCTATGAATGATGATAATAGGTACTAATACTCCGTAGATGCCAGCACTGCGCCCCGGTACTCTGTGGAGTTCTCCTACAGAGCAAACGTTTGCAAGGGACCGAATTGCAAGTTGAAAATTACCGTCTCCGACCCAAGTGGGGAATCTTTTCTGGGCAACATTTTTCCCTTTGGTCAGTGATCTGCACCCAAAGCGTCAACCAGGGCATACATAAATCAAAATTAAAATCAAAATCCATAAAATAAAAAAGATATGAGGGAGAAAAAAAAAAAGGGTTAAGGCTAAAGTAGCCAGGGAAATGCGGGAGGCGTCAACAGTCGTAGAATCATCGCCCGGTGGCATCATAAACCTACGAATTCCTCGACAGTCCATTTCTATTTCTGTTTCCTTTTTATTTCCTCTACCAACACTTCGACCATCGATAACTACTCCTTCTCCCTCCTCTACCCAAGACCTCTCTGGTGGACCTTACAGGAACCACCCGTCCCAGTGGCGTGCAACAATTGCCCAACCGTCGTTGAGCTTAAGATTTGCAAGATTACTCCGTAATCGATTTTAATTTTACCCAGAGGGGAGGAGCTTTGGCCCCAGCACAACCCGTGGTCCATTATTCGGCATTCCCACTTCGGATCGCTTTCTCTCTCTCCTGTCTTCATCCTTCCCTCATTCTTTCCTCCCCCCTCTTCCCTTTTCTTCTTCCTCCTTTCCTCTTCTCTCGTCCACTTCGTCCTCTTCTCTTCTTCCCTCCATCCTCACTGTACCTTCCTCCACGCTCTCCCTCTTTCCCTTCCAGATCTCTTCTCAAGCCCTGGACTCGCCGTCCAGCCGTGCTGCCCGCTTCCCTTACCCCCTAGAGCCACCGGGTCTTCCCTCTGCGCTCTCCCCTGCGACAGATTCAACTGATATCCTTTTCCCCCCGTCTCAGTGACCGTGTCGCAGGTCTCGACGCTGCCAGCCTCTCGTTGACAGTCAATCCAGGCGTTGAGAAAGAAATCTCTTTTTTCTCTGCCTATTCCACTCGTTCAAAAATCTAATCCCCGGGTTTGGAGTCGATCCTATCCGGAAAACGCCTACAACACCACGACCTATTTGATGTGTTTCGGACTACAACCAACTTGATCTAATACCGACGTCGAACTCCTTTTTTCATGTTGAAACAAGCCGTTAATAATCCCCCCAAAATGCCGATGTTCCGCCTCAAAACGGTCTTCCCCCTCATTGCCCTTTTCTCCATCGGCTTCTTCTTCTTCGCCGTGCAACGCTTCGACAATGCGGCCTTCTCGCGCTTCAAGCACCCCATTGACCGGGTGACCCAGAACGCCCCCCAGATCCACCTCTCGCAACCGACGTCCTCTCCGCCGACGACATCTTCCAAGACCTGCGAGGTGGATCCTGGTGTCATGGCTCCCTTGCCCTTCACCGAGTGGCTCCCGCGCAAGAACTACACCCGTGCCTACTTCCGCCCTCACCATGTCAGCCCCAAGGCCGAATTCAGCTCGTTGGAGGAGATCCAGCAGCCCGTGCTCCCTCCCATGACCGTGTTGGAGCGTGGTATGGTGATTTCCCCCGACAACAAGGAAGCCGCCATGCCATGCCCCCCGATCATTGATGTGGATGTGGCCGCGGATGATGACATTGATGAGACCGACAAGCTTCTGTTTGGATTGGCCACGACAGCGGACCGTCTCGACCGTCTTCTTCCTTCCCTTCTCTACTCGTATGGAAACACCAAGGCTGGTATCATTGTCCTGGTGCCCGAGTCGGACGACGACATTCCGAAGCAGGAGACGTACTTCCGGAACCGTGGCTTGGATCTGCATTTGATTCAATCGCCGCTGGAATTCACCGCCCGTTACTTCGGCCTGGTGCAGGCGTTCGCCGACATCATCCGTACCAAGCGTCCTCAGACCCAATGGGTCAGCTTCATTGACGATGACACTTTCTTCCTGTCCCTCCCAACCATCGCTCAGGAGCTGAAGCTTTTCGATGTGAACAAGAAGCACTACATTGGTGCTCTGTCGGAGGCCAGCTGGCAAGTCGACACGTTCGGCCACATTGCCTTCGGTGGAGCCGGTGTCTTCGTCTCCAAGCCTCTCCTGGATGTTCTGGAGAAGTACTACGATGAGTGCCAGTCCTGGGGTGAGCAGCCTGGTGACCAGAAGCTGGGCCAGTGCATCCAGCGCTATGGCGACACCCCCCTGACTCTCTGGCCCTCCCTCTACCAGATGGACATGAAGGGCGAAGTGGACGGTGTCTACGAGTCCGGCCGCAGATTGAGTCTCTCCACCACTGGAACAGCTGGTACACCAAGGATGTCGTCAAGATGACCACGTGTCGCTGCGGCTGGCCGCCGGTCGGTGCTTCGCCGCTGGGTCTTCGACCAGGAGGAGATTGTCAACAACTCCACCGGCAAGTCCGTTCGCACCTTCTGGGTGTTCACCAACGGCTATTCGCTGGTGAAGTACACCTACGATGAGGACACCCCTGATGATGCCATCAACTTTGACCACGCGGAGAAGACCTGGGAGGAAGATCCTCGGGGCTACGAAGCCCGTCTCGGACCTCTCCGCTGGCGCGATCAGGATGGTGTGACCAAGGATCGGTGGCTCCTTCGGGAGGCCTTTCGTCGTTGGTGACAATGTGCACCAGTGGTATGTCCGCGAAGAGGATGAAGGCCACAGCGTGATTGAAATCGTCTGGCTCGGACCTAAGGGCGGTGGCGGCGCCGGCATCCGGGACTACGCCGTCAACCAGAACCGTCACCAGTGATTTCGGACCTCTTGATCAAGTGCGAAACCACACAACCGATACTGAGGCTGGACCTTGGAATCTGTGGAGATTTTTTTTTCCTTCTTGCACATGATTATCATTCCTTCTGTTCTTCACGTTTCTCTTCTTCCACTTTCTTTTCTGCCTAGTTCTCCACCCGCTACGAGAGAGCCATGCCTACAATCCCGACCCACCAATGGCACGACACCGATGGGGGTTCTCTTTCGACTAGTGACTTCTTCGGCATTCATATTTTGATTGTTCATTTGCCCGGCGTTGTATTGGCGGAGTCCAGAATGGCGCAGTCAAAGATCGGAACTGGTGGTTTTCAGCGAAGAGCATATCTCGGTCGAGTCTCCTGATTGACCGGACTATTTCCCGATGGTCTCCAAGAGGACGTTTCCTCACGAGTCACCCTTTCCTTCATCCTTTCCTTATCGTTTTTGCTTCATGAGGAGGCCTTTGATGCATTGTAAAAATAGAATTCCGGCTGCTTCCCGGTGGCTTCTGCTTTTTGGAGATTAGCGCATTTGTGGTTATGGCCGAATATTATGAGTTAAGCCCTAGATTAGAGATGTTATTATTATTATTATTATCATTATTATCGCATACGCGGCTAGTTTAATTCAATTGTTCATCTGGACGACGTGTGGTTTACGTAGGCGCAGAGGATTGGTTTCAGCGCCATGTTTCACATTTGACAGTAAGAATAGAATTCTCCAGAGCGAACTCGGCATGGCCCCCTCCACCGGGTCTCACACATTGTCTTTGTTTTGGCTGCCTGGTGATTTGCTGGGCGTTTGCAATTTTCACATACGCATTTTTTGCAGGTCGGTTTCTGGACTGGTTCCTGGGCGGAGGATTTCTGGGGGATGGGGGTTGGTGAGGTCATCTAGGTTGGTGGCACCGGATCCCGCCGAGTCACTACGCATGGACGTTTGGAGTCTTTCGGGGTCAGATCTGCTGGTGCCGTGGGGTGCGAGGGTTCTGATGGGGGGTGATACTCTGGTTATCACAGGGCTGGTGGCATCTCGTGCTCGATGATCTGCATTTCGGTTGGGTGACGGGTGCTCCGGGAGGTCTATCTGCCCATGAGAGGTTGGTGGATACTTGGATTGACTGTCCAGTTTGATAGTCACAGCGACTCGACCATGAGTGTTGCAAGCATCGGATAGTCATCTACAAGCGTCCAGAGCTCTCGACTGTAACACATCTTCGACAATCCCACCGAAGTGGCAAGATCGAAACAAGGCACTCGAGGCCGTCGGTACTCGATCGAAGGACCTGCATGGGCGATCTACTCGGCCAGACAATGTCATTGGGCCCGGAGCGTCGGGCGATCTGATGGCCTGAGGCGTCCCAGCTGCAGACCTCCGAACAGGGCGAGTGGCATCTCTGCACGAGGCTGCGATGTCGGGAGGGAGGGAGGTACTGTACAGTACTCCGTAGGGCCAGCAGTCCCAGCCGACGTTGTTTGGGATGGGTGATTGGCGGAAAGTTCTCGGGTATGGCTGGGATTCTTTACGAAGATACGGAGTAGTACATGCCTGTTAACGGTCTGGGGTTGCGGTATGGTATGGAAGCGATCTGATGGAGTTTGTAGATGTACTCCGTACACCAATCGGCTGGGGGGGTGGATGAAGCCGGTGTTCTATGTTTGGAGAGTTTAGGGGCCGCCGTGCGGCTGGACTCGAGGAATGTGCGGTGTTGAGCCCACGCGGTTGTTACTAAGGTATCCTATACGGTGCACCTCAGTCGATGAGAGGTTGGTTGTATAAGAGATCGACCATGTGCTTGTCTTATTCTTCATCAATGCTCCGTACTAACCTCTTGTCTTGAGGACCTCAGGAGGGGATCCGAGACGCGGAGAGTGTCTTACGCGGAAGGGAATGTCTGGTAATGTCGGGGGGGGCGGCTGCTCCAATCAGACACCGATGCCAAGGTACGATGGATCCACCGCTGGGTCTGGACAAAGGGGTCTCTTCAAGTTTCCATCCGATACGGTACGGTATGATACGGGCCCTATCACGGTTTCCCTTACTCGTAGCCACCTCAGCTGAGGGTACATGTGAGAAACAGTATGGTGATAATATTAATGTTAATAATGATAATCAATATAGAGTAAGATGTAGCAGCCATTATATGTGGAGGTTGGAGTTAAGTACTGCGTACTGTGTACAGGTACTTGTAGGTAATGCATGCTGGGCTGTGACGCGTGATCCGAAAGAATGCGACCCACCGGCACGTGATTGCTGACCGCCTGCCTGTCCCAACCAGCACTTTGCCTTCTTCGACCACCTTCTCCTCCCCTCTCCCCTCCCCCCGTTTCTCTTTCCTCTTCTCGTCTCGAACCCAAACCCTGCGAAGCAAACGCGTTACTCGATTTGGTCATCCTCCCTCCCCCTCAAAAGCATCATTCCTCTTTGGGCATCTCTCTGCTCTCTCCCCAGACTCTTCCCCATTCTTCCTTTGACTCGACGCTCCTCCCTTCTTCCCTCGATTCTCGCCGATTCCCTCTCTCGTTGAGCTCATTCGCCATGGCCGACATCACCGCCGTCGGTGACGAGAACCCGTCTCCTACTCACGATGACCTGCAGCAGGCCGCCGGCAACGGCGCCGCTGACAACCGCGGTACCAAGCGCTCTCGTATGAGCGCCGACGACGACGACGATGATGATGACAAGCCCGGTCGCGAGCGCAGAAAGATTGAGATCAAGTTCATCCAGGATAAGTCGCGTCGCCACATCACCTTCTCCAAGCGGAAGGCGGGTATCATGAAGAAGGTGCGTCCACTTGTCGCGTCCACGCTCTCTTTTTCTCTCTTTTGAACATCACCACACTTGTATCCTCCCCTTTTTTTTTCGACTTCTCCATCGACTCTTGTCTCAATGGTGCTGTCGTCGTCGCGGATCTCGATTCGCGCGTCCCCCTCCCCAATGTCACACACACCCGTACCCTAATTCCGTCCATACTGACGAACAATCCGGTCGCAAACAGGCATACGAGTTGTCCGTCCTCACAGGTACTCAAGTTCTCCTGCTCGTCGTGTCTGAGACCGGTCTGGTCTACACGTTCACCACCCCCAAGCTTCAACCGCTTGTCACCAAGGCGGAAGGCAAGAACCTCATCCAGGTGAGTCCATTGACACCCTCGCCATTCACCATCGCGCACCCTTCTGATCAATGCGCCTCACAGGCCTGTCTCAATGCTCCCGACCCGGCTACCAGTGAGAACGGTGTCGATGCCCCCGAGGTGCCCGCCGAGGCTCCCGAGGATGTCGCGCATAACAACGTCAACCCCCAGCAGCAGAACATGCCTCGTCCCGCTGGGATGCATCCGGGTTACATGACCAATGAACAGCAACAGCAGATGGCCTACTACCAGAACCTCCAACAGCAGCAGCAGGCCGGCGGACAATACCCCGGCATGCCTGTGGGTAACCGCATGCCCCCTCAGCATCAGCCCACCGCATAGAAAGAGGCTCCTGCCTCTGTCTATCATCCGTCCTTGGGAGCTGTGGAGTCCAGAGAATCGGTTGTCCTGCCTCCTTGTTCACTGCAACTCGTTCGCTTCAGCTCTCCCCTCGCCCCCGGCCTTTCTGATATTTTACCCAACCAATCCATTGCCAACCATTTTGATCCTCTCAACGTCGAGTTGTTCTTTTCACCGTATATCACCGAATATCGCATACCAAGACCAGAAAACAGCTCAGATCTTTGTTTTGTAACTTGTGTATATCGTCAGCTGTGGCTCGACGTCCCATGTCTCGCGGTTATTATCTCGGTGTTCACAACATCCCTCTGCACTCACTGACGGGGTTGCCTTCTTATATGAAAGAGAAACTGGAAAAAAAAAAGCAAAAAAAAAAAAAAAGGAACCAAGAAAAGGGAGCCATCAACGACGAAAGCGAAGGATGCGGGCAACTTTGTTCGGGACTCCAAAGAGGCTACTAATTATTTCCCGTTTCGTTCATCTCCTAATTATCACCTAGACGACGGTGCGGAAGTGGCGGTGTTTCTGGTGCTTCTTTCTTGACTATTTCTTCCTTCTATCTTTCCTCCTGGCGAAGTGAGTGGCTTCTGTTGATCTGTGTCATGTTTCCCCCTTTATGCGTTTTATAATTTATTGCCTTTGATGTTGCGTTGTCTAATCCTGTCTTTCTGCTTGCCTGATCTCCCCTTTGCGTCATGCCTGTGCTTCTCGTCCTGACGACGGTCTCCTGGCGGTCTTCCTGGGTGTGTCATATCGCTCAGGAAGCCTCAAGAGCTGTCGGTAAGGCATGGGAAGATAGCCTAAGTATATGTCGTTTCTGTTGCGCGATTAAGTATTATGATATCGGACGGTCTCCTGCCCGTGAACCTGACCGGGTAGGATGTCTGTCTGTTAGTGTACGGTATCGAGAAAACTGGATTCCTTACCTCAGGTTGTGTTGTGGCTTACAGTAGATTGAGCTGAAGAGTAATCGTTCGAATTGATCTAAGTTCTACTTGATCCTGATCTAGCTAAGCAAGAAGACAAAGGTATCATGTCGGTACATAAGGAAGCCAATTTGTGGTAGGCTCGAGGACGGACAGTTCCATAGCTGCCTTCGGACACTTTTTCCATCCCCGGCTGTTGGGCATGTCGTGAGGTGATCCAAGAGAATAACCAGTCGTATATATTGATCGTAGTATAGTATAGTATACATGTTCCGTGAGATCGACGAAGTGATTCGTGAGTGAAAGCCCCGAGTCTATCAATGCCTCTCGGGTCAAGGCAGATGATTCTCTGCCTCGTCGGGGGTTGGCTTTCGCCCTGTTACTCGCGACAGATACCCAACGCCGGCCCTCCAGGCACTGCCCAAAGCGCGTCTTGGACCGGCAAGGCGCGACTCGGTTGGTGCGTTCGAGGACGGGTGATCCTCTGTTGGGGTGGACTGATGTCCCCGACGACGGCTCGTTAGGAACGGCTCGTCGGAGCGGTCATCTTGGGTGCCGTAGCTGGTTATTCGGTCCCGCGCGGCCTCGAAGAAAGGACCGATGGAAGGGAGACGATTCTGGATAGGGTTGGTATGGTGGTTCAGCACTGGGGCGGAGGTTCGGCGTTGGCGGCGGACCTCATGGATGGATGGGGGCACCCGGCGCGACGTCCACGTGTTTTGATGGGTGGATGCGGCCGTTGCGCGGCGGGGCCCACGTAGCGAGCCGTCTTTCGGGACTATGGACCCGGTCTTGCTGCGTGGTCTGGTTTTGAATGTGTCGGTGGGGAGGGCGCGGTGAAGGGGGTTGATGTCGGGGTCGGGGTCGTCATAGTCGGAATCGTCGAGTTCGGCCCAGATGGACGCTGGGTCGACGTCGGTAGAGGTACGTGAATCCA